GTCCAGCTGCAGTGAGTCATGAAGTTACTGGCTCAGATGGATGTCATGGTCCACATTGCCAGCATTTGTTTAGTCACCCTCTTGTTGGTTCGTGTTTTGTTAGTCAAAGCTGCCATGGCAGCCCCTTATGTATTTAGTGCAAATATGTTTTTAATTGTTTGGGGGTGTTTGTGGAATTCCTGGGTCATAGTGGGCATGGGTTGAATGGTTTAGGATGTTTGCACTGTGAGGAGACTCTGCCAGTTATGCTCAGGAATTCAAGGCCTTCATTTTGCCAATATTAGTCATTGTTCATTACAACAAGTTAGCTATTCCTGCTCCTCAAGAATGCTTGGCCTGCACAGTTCATTTAATGGACATATTTATTGCTCCTAGATTTCTATAAAGCAGTGTTCAAGCAGGTGATGATGTCTGTAAAAGGGTTTTCACATTTGAGAAAGAACACGTCCAATCTGTTGTTTACCTGTCCTGTGGTGGGGTTTGCTTTCATTTCAGATTTTAGTTTTCAGTTCCAGCCTTCTTTGCTTGGGTTTTCTGGTTGTACAAGTTAAGGGGATATGGCATGGTGGTTGTGTTCATGTACACACTGTAATAGCTGGCACACCCAACCCCTTAAACATTGGCCATTTTCTCATGCTGGGAGCTCTTAGATGCTTCCTTTTCAGTTATTTGCAAAGCTCATGTTAAGTCATTGCCAGCAGTACTTGCCCCAGTGCTCCACACATAGACATTAGAACCAGCTCCAGAGAACTGTACCTAGGTATCATAACCAGATGTTGTTTTATCTTCGGCACAGTGGCTGCTCCTAAATCTACTGCTATTTCAGCCAGCAACTGTGACTCTGCAGTTACTGGCCTGCTTGGGCCGCAGTCTGGTGGGGATTCTGTTCCCGCAGCCACCTGGCTCTGCTGCTACAACTAAAAGGAGCTTTAACTAAATTTTTATCGTTCTATTTATAAACAAGCTTGGAGATCAAAGACTGGGGTGAAAATCTGTACACTCAGAGAGGTTGAGTAGCAACTATCTAACCTTCTCTCCTTGCTGGTATCTCCCAAAAGCCAATCCTCTGCTCCGCTAAAACAAACAAACTCTAATACTGTATCAAGAAGCTGGCACCTGGCAAAGACCGTCTTGCTATGGCAGAAAGCTAGAGGGTGGCAGAGAGCAAGCTAGGGCTGTCCTGGCTTCTATAACAAATCTACTTGAACCGGAGGCACAGATCTCAGTATCTGCTCTGTTCTTAGATGTCTCACCTCTCAGCAACATCACATTAGGGGACATACTCAAGCCTTTGTTGTAGTTCTGGTACCAAAAATTTTTCTATTGTAAAGTGGAGGCTCCAGATAGATTGTTGAATTAGTGGTGCAAAGCACTTTCAAGCTGGACCTGGTATTCCAAGCCCGTACTAAGGAGACTGAGGTAGAAAGATTATAAGGTTTAAGGTCTGCCTGTGCTATATACTATACAGTCTGTTGAAGGTTAGGCAATTTAGTGAGGCCTATGTCAAAAGTATAACAAGCTAGGCATGGTGGCACACGTCTTTAATCCCAGAACTTTTGAGACAGAAGAAGGAGGAACTCTGTGAGTTCAAGGGCCATCCTGGTCCACAGAGTTGGTTTCAGGTCAGCCAGGTCTACATAATGAGATCCCCATGATAGATGATGTATGTATGTATGTATGTATGTATGTATGTATGTATGTATGTATATATGTATGTATGATAGATAGATAGATAGATAGATAGATAGATGAAAGGAAGGGTTGAAGATGCAGCTTAGTCAGCACCTAGAATGGATGAACATTTCCATATTTGATCTATAACAATTCTGTGGGTAGGACGCCCACTGTCATCATTCTACTGACAGGGTGATTACAGGATAATCTAAGTCAATAGTCAACCTCAAAGACAATAATCAAACCATCCCAAACCCAAGATTCTGGGTTCAGAAATTTCTGTGGCACTACATTTCAGTGTCCTGAAGCTGAGTGTGGCCTCCAGTCGTCATCATCTCCAGTCCAGGAGACAAGCACAGACACCAGCAAGAGCAAGGTGATTGGGTGGATTCACTTTTGTTGTAAACTCCAAGTTGAGCAGAGTCACTAATATGAAATTAGCCCCTTTATATTTTGTTCCTAACAATTCTTCTTATGTTGTCTCTGTCATCTCTCTGTTTCTCTGTGCGTGTGCGCATGACAAATATACATGTTCATGTGGGTGTGTACAAGTGTGTGCTTGTACATGTGGAGGCCAGAGGTAGATGGTGAGTATCTTTCTCAGCCACTCTCCACCTCCTGTGAGACAGGGTCTCTCACTAACCCTGAAACTCATCAACGAGCTCCAGGGAGTCACCCGCACCTGGCCCTCAGTGGACAGCGCAGATGTGCCATGCCTGACCTTTTTTCTTTTTAGAATTAATTTAATTTTTACATTCCAATCCCAGTTCCCCCTCCCTCCTCTCTTCCCGCTCCCCCCCCCACCTCCCATCTGCTCCTCCAAGAGGGTAAAGCCTCCCCTAGGAAGTCTACTAAGTCTGTCCCATAATCTTGTTGAAGCAGGACCAAGGCACCTCTCTACCCCACACCCCCTGTATCTCTCCATATAGAATGGGCTCCACTAAGTCATATATTGTCCCAGCCACACCATTGTCACCTACATTAAGGGAGTCTAGTTTGGTCTTATGCAGGTTCCCCATTTGTCAGACCAGAGTCAGTGATCTCTCACTAGCTCGGGTCAGCTGATTCTGTGGGCATGCCTGACTTATGTGGGTGTCGGGGTTCAAACTCAGGTCCTCATGCCGGGTGGCAAGTACCTTACTGACTCAGCCAGCTCCCTAGCCCTACACTCTGTTTTTTTATTTGTTTTTAGAGGCAGGGCCTCACTGTGTACCTCTGGCTGGCCTGGCACTCACAGGGTTCCTCCTGCCTCTGACTCTGCAGTGCTGGGTTCAAGTTGTGCACTACCGCACCCAGCAGTCTTTAACATCTTAAACTGTCTGTTATCAGACATTCAGTTATCACAAAAAAGAAGAGGAAGATTGCAATGTGATAGACTTTTGCAATTTACTTGGCCTTATGTAAATTGACCTTGATAATGTGTATTCAATCATTTTAGGGGTTTCTGAGAAAACATTGATGTTTCCCAGAGAAAAGAACTTGTCCCAAAACTGCAGCATCAGATCCTGGGTGTTTCTTGTCTAACAGCCTGCCCTATAGATTTCAGCTTTGCTAGTCACACAGTCAGTGAGTCAATGACTAAAAAACAAAACAAAAGGATCTGAACCAGAAAAAAACAAAAACAAAACCCCATTTTTCTGTGCTTGTGTGTTATTCACACATAAACATGACACACACATGCACACATATGTGTGCATAGGTGCTTACCTTATGATGGACCCATCAGCCCCATTTTATGCTGTAAATGTGTTAGGACACCCTCCCTGAGTACCCTAGATTACCAACACACTAGAAGATAGCAAGCTACCCTCCGATGACTTTACTGGGAGCTCAGGTCACTGCCCAGTGTCATAAAAACTAGCTCAGGTATGTCTTGAGTGTAGGAAAAGGACAAACTGAAAATCAGAAGCATGGTTCCTACTGAATGCCATTGTTTGCACGCCATTGTAAAGTCAAAAAGCTGTAAGCTGGGAGCTATCTGGAGTGTGCATGTGTGGGAGCATGCATGTCAGTGAGTATGCATGTGTGCATGCATGCAAGTGTCCCCTGCTGGTTCTGTTTCTCCAGAGAACACCCACCAATATGGAACTTCCGGAAAGCTGCCCTTTTTGGCCTGAACTACCCAGGATTCCAAAGTCCATTAAGTGGTAGAGGGGCTGGACCCTGACGGGTCTGACGCCAGAGTTACTTAGGTAAAACCTCAGCTGGCCTGGCTGAGGTTTGTAAAATGCATTGTTCCAGCTGTTTGGTTATAGGTGTCTTGATTGACAGTTGAATTGTCCTCCACAGTAGGATAGTCAACCACAGCAAATGTCCAATCAAAACCGGAGAATTTACCCTTTGTAGCAGTGGACAGCTCTGTATTAGAATAGGTTTCTTACTTAATTTAGACTTTCCCCTAGGAAACACTCAAAAAGCCATTGATCACTGGGAATATAAGTTGCATGTGTTTGTACTTGGTTGGATTATTTACCTTTTTGGACATATTTATCATATTTACCTTTGTTGGATATATTTACCTTTTCTAGAAAAACTTGGAATTCATGTTTCCAGCTCAAGAAATACTCAAATCTAGCAACTACTTTTGAGCTACAATCTATGGCACATTCCTGAGAATCACCTTGAATTTAATTTCCTGGCATTTGCACAAACTGACACAGGTCACTGGGAACATGGATTATTTGTCATCGCTTGCTGCTCCCTTGGTTCAGTGAGTGCCTGGTGTAGCATTTCACAGACTCAAGGCAACTTGTCCTCATCAGAGAACTGGATCTCCAGGGTGTTCCAGTTACAGCAGATAGTCATAGATAGTTCACACAAGGGACGGAAATGCTGGTGGCCTCTGAATAACCAGCGACTGAGTAAGAACTATTGAACCCGACAGATTTGTTGGTAAACATGAACTCTTCCATAGGTTAACTTTGTGTGTTATCAATTATCTTTTATTCAAATAGATTCAGTTTTGTCAGCTTAGCTAGTTGAAATGTGTCTAAACAGGTTACGATTTCAATGCAGTGAGCTGTGTCTTAGTGGCAAGTTACAGGTCTGAACTCTATCCTGAGTGACTCCTGAAACACAGCAGCTGTCTGATAGGAATTAATGTTTGGAAAGCCACCTACAGTAAGTGCTGCAGTTGCATCCTCCTGCCTCTGCCTCCAGAGTACTGGGATTACAGGGGTATGTTGACACAGAGGAAAAGAGAGATAATTTATGATGGAGCTAACTATAAGTGAGCATGAGGTTCAGGTTGCCCCAATGGCATGTTCCAACAAGGCAGTAGTCCTTTCATGAAGCTTTTATAGCAATAGAACAAAGGAACTCGTAAATCAAGGTATTTGAAAAATATATTTGTGGAAACAACAGGCAAGCAGGTTATACAGTAAGGCAGAAAAAATATTTTTATGGGCCTAAGATGCTACTTTATAACATTCTTAGCCTTTGAGCAGTGGAGACTCAGGATCTGTTTGTACACCCCAAAAGGATTTATTTAACAATAAGCAATAAATAACTACTAAGGGAATAAAGTCTCAGATATGGCTTCAGACCTGCAACATTCCAGAAGTTCTTATCAGTCAGTCAACATCGTGGAATTTAACACAGGTGAGGTTTTGCCTGTTTTTTTTTTGTTTTTTTTTTTTTCTGGGAGCATCAGTTCACAGGTGTCATAGCACTCCAGGTTATGCAGGAGTCCTCTTGATTTACAAATTTATCAGCTGATTTATGAAAAAAAGCTTGCAGGGTAACAGAATGTCTGCTAAACTTCATACATTTCTCTCCAGGTTTCCGTTCTGAAGCTACTCACAGCCTCTTGATGCTGTCCATGGCGGTGTGAAATTCCCTAAAAGTCTAAAACAAAAAGACTAAGACTAAGAATAGGAACCTTCCAGACCCATGTGTCACAGGCCTTCGGCTCATTTATTTGTTCATTTGGAAGACTAACACTCCTAACAGCCTGTGTGGAGGTGGGCTTCAAAATGCTATGCAAACTCCAGCATCCTCTCCATTGTTTCACACCGATATCCTCAGCTTGCACTTGTGCTAAAACACACACACACACACACACACACACACACACAATGAAACATACAAAGTGAATTATCTCAACAATTGGTGGTTGCCCTTTTGCAAGTATTTTTTTTGCAAGCACTCCATTATCATGGGGTGTGTACCCCGGGATCCTTCTAAAAGTCCTCACTATTAAAGTTAAAAGGCTGCCCTGTTCTATCCAAGTAACCTGTCACAGAGCCCACCCCAGACAGACACACATCCCATGCATCCGTTCCATCTGTCCTGGAGGGATCTGTCTCTTGAGGAAAAGCCAGAGTGGGTCTGAGGACCTGGCAATCTCCTGGAAGTTTCACGGGGCCTGTCTCCAGAGGAGAGGCTGCCTGCATGACTGCATCGGGAGGGCCTAGGGCTTGTGGGTAGATGGGCATCGGGAGGTTTTCAGCATATGTGCAGCTGGCCAGGGTGCTGACCTCCTGCGTGTTGTTACTGTGTTTCAGGGCAGGGTGCTGGTAACCCTGGTAGGCCACTGTGGTGGTGATCACGGTCTGCAGGGCCCGGGCTCCTGCTGGTGGCACTGGCAGGTACCTGCAGGGCAGCTCTGGGTTGTAATAAGGGCATGTGGTCACAGCCTGGCGTTGCCCATAATCAACCCTCTCTTCAAGGCCAGGTTTTCCATGTGTAGGTTTCCAGCCATGATACTTAGCTGTGAAATCCAAGCTTCTTTCATAGCTGCCATATGAACTGACATTATATTGTAGTGAGTTTAGATGAACCCAGTCTATGTCATCAGGGAGACTGGAAGAATCTTTATACAGGGAGGGATATGGACTTAAACTTGTACCCACAGGATCTGCCAATTCATAACTCCAAGGTGGTCTGGGCAAATAGACACTTGGATTTGAATAATTCTGAAAGGTCAGCACTGCATCCCCTTGAAAGGTGGCCAGGTCACAGGTAACTCTGTGGACATCAGCGTTTGGCAAGGAAGGGCAGGGCTGCGCTGTAATAGGGAAGCTGGTATCACCAGTCATCTCAAGCAGTTCTGTGGCTTCTAGGGCAGGCATGCTACTGAGGTTTCCACTGCAATCCTGAGTACTTCCTACCTAAAAAAAAGGGCACAAATACAGACTTATGACACACAACACATACAATGACATACAATATGTACATGTTGTGAACACAGTCATCTACAGCAACAGCCAAGTGCATAAATAAAATACACCTGCCATTGGGTTCTGCGTGGTGAACCAGGTTCTGCTGAGATTCACACTTTGGGCCTGGGGTTCAGAGGCTGCTGCTGAATGTGCTGAAACAAGGAAGGTCCCCAACAGCCAGACAGGGTGGCTGAGCAATGGATGTTTCTGTTCTCATCCATGTGCTCTTGATAGTGGAGGCCTAGGAGCCACTGAGACCTGCCTTCAAATCCTGTCCCTGTCTCTCCTAACCAAACTGGTGCTTTCTTTCTCTGGGCCTTAAGTCAGCATTGTATAGGATTCAGTTGCAGCCAGCTCTCCAGAGGGTTTCTGTGACCCTGAAATGCATGAACTCTTACATCAGCACTTGATGTGTGGAAGGGCTTGAACAATACCAGGGTCTGCTCTGCACATGCTCACGGCCTGCTCGGCGTGGTTTGGTGGAAACTCAAATGTGATGAAGTTGACTAGGGAAGAGTTATCTGTTTCTTCATAAACACTGTGTTAGTACTTGGATCGTAAGTGTCCCCCAATGATCCATGTGTTTTAGGCCCTCAGTGTGGCACCATCAAGAGACAGCGGACTCTTAAAGTGGGGGATATAGGAGGAGATTATAGATTACAGGAGGTGTGTTGTCCGCAGAGTCTGAGCCAGTTGGGAATTGGCTCCTTCTTTTCTTTCTTCTCTTTTGTTTCAGGTGATGAGGTAAAGAGCATCTCCCATCATGCACTCCTCCCCATGATGAGCTGCCTTGTCCCTGGCTCCAAAGCAAGGATCGCCACAACCAGACTGAAAACTTCTAAAACCATGAACCCAAACAAATCTATCCTCTCTGTAAGTTTATTGTCTCAAGTATTTTGCTACAGTAACAGAAAACTAACAAAAATTGTGAAAAACCTTCTCAAGGTCACCCTATTAATTCAGTGTAGATTCACACATACAATAGTCTCTCCTTAACACAATTTTGCCTTTTGAGGTTTCAGATTTGGGTCACTAGCCCTCCCTCCCCCACCCAGTGGAACATTTCAAAACTAAACAGCACATGAAGTTTAAAATGATTTGAATTATAATGTATGGCTATAGTTGTTTTTCTGTTATAATTATCGATCCACTAGCATACTAGTTTATAAATTAAGCTTTACCATGGTGTGCATGTAAGGGAAATCTACAGAATAGAGAATATTCAGGGCAGATTCAGGAATGCTCTGAGTGATGAGGGTGTTCTACATTTGTTCCTGTGGGACAACTGCCTTTGTTAAAGTCAGCAAACATTCTAATGTATCACTCGCCTATTTTAAAGAAGGGATTAGCACCGCCAACAAAGTGTTGACTTAATGACATTTGCTAGAGATACGTAATTTTCATATGAAATTAAACCTTTGCAGTTGCTACACAGCATTCATATTTCAGTTATCTGTCAGTGTGTCCTAAGTGAACACAGACCCCCGTGGTGTCAGTGCCCATTACCTCAGGCTCTCTGGAGCTCCAGGTGGTGTCAGTGGTCATTACCTCAGGCTCTCTGGAACTCCTTTTCTGTGGTTGGTAGAAAGAGGCCATCTGTCTCTTGAAGGAACTTCTTCTAGCTTCTGTCTCTGACTTACTTTCTGGTTTGGGGTGATCATGAAATCCTTTGGCCTGTGTTAATGAAGATATTGAGTTGTCTATCAATTTCTCTGGAAGGAAGTAAGCTGTGCTAGGAATCAGTCCAAACCGAATGAGGCCTTTCCTTGATTGCTAAGGTTGTTTGTTTTTACTTTTCCTCAAAACTACAAAGTGTTATTCAAAATAAAACGTACCAATACTAGACATCTTAGTTGGTTGTGCTAGTTCCTTCCTGATCCCAGTATTTGGCAGGCTGAGGCAGGAGATTCACAGTATGTATTAGGCCATTCTGGGCTACACAGTGAGTTCCAGGACATCCTAGGCTACCTATTGAGACCCTGTTTCTCAAAGAAAAAAAAATCCAACAAGGACAATAGATAACTTAAAAGGTAGCCGGCAACCCACTTATTCTGTCCCATGAGTGTGACTGTGTTTGTACATCTGGCCCTTAAGAGCACACCAAGCCATGCAAGATGGCATACTGCTGTGATTCCAGCACTTAGTTGGCTAAGGCAGGAAGATCATTAGTTCAAGGCCAGCTTGGGCTATCTAACAAGTGCCAGGTCAGGCTGGGTTGTGCAGCCGGACTTTGTCTGGGAAACAACAAAATCTGGCCAACTGTTTGTCACTTGATTCCTAAGAAACCAGTGAATTTACAGAATATCTGTCATTTAATCTCCAGGACAGATGGCAGGCATTTTGCTCCACGTTGTATGGTTAAAAATACTTAGTACAAATGACGTCTGAGGCCACTCACCTGAAAAAATATTGCGTTGCCATCAAGCCTCCAGAAGTTGGTGACAGGGTATCCGCTGTGCCCTCGGCAAGGAACCAGCTCCAAAGCTGAGTGACAGTTGGGACACACTTTCTCTGCAAATCCAAGAGGGAGAAATATTAAGCTCAGCCTACAGCCTAGCACCTTCCGAAGGAAGTGGAAAGCCACCCTTCCGGCGCTGTCCTGCCCTCACTCTGCTGCTTCAGCCGGGCCTTGTCGCAGATGGCCGGCCGCAGCTGCAGGTGCGAGCCATCCTGCAGGGCGCAGGCGCGTGCGCACACCACCACGCCCAGGCAGGACTTCTTAAGGATGTGGCCATTGTGGTTGTTGGTGTTGCGCATGGCCCAGCCACTCAGGTGGCGCTGAGCCTTCTTCTCCTGGCTGCTGTAGATGAAGCGCACATAGCCATCAGGCCACTCCCGGAAGTGGTCAAAGTGGGTTGGTTCCTGGGAAAAGAAAGTCACAAAAGAGGCCTTAGGAAGCCCGAAACACAGGCACCCTGCCTTAACTTCCTTCAAGCACTGGAAGATAAAACAGGGCTTTTTTGTAACTCTAGAAATCTTCATTTCCCCCAAATTATTCTAGAATACAATGTCAATCGCCAGTCACATGCCTGGCGAATCCTAATAATGCATGTTTCTGAGATACTGACATTTATAAGATTTCCAAATGGCATATGCATATTAATATACTACGTGTGGGCAACAGGGTAAATTATCAGGCCCATTTTATAGAATAGGTCACGGAGACCAGAGAGGTCAATTGACTTGTGAAAGTTCACGCAGCTACCAGGGCCTGGTTACAGATGTTTAAGCCGCAGTTGACTACAGAGCCTGGGCTCCTTGTGGCTGACATTCCATTTTTTGGCGTGTTTAGATGCTGAAGACATTTTCAAATCTTCAGAGAGTCAGGGCTAAAAGAGGTCAGAACGTTTTTCCGATGAAATACAGTTTAATTTGTGAATATCTTGAGGTCAGTACTTTTTCTCCAAAAGCTCTTGGCACTCTGTCCCAAACCTGTCAATCATGTCAACCACGATCCCGGGAGCTCAGAGGCAGTAAGCTTCCTCAGCACCCTTGCCCTAGATCTGCAAGCTTCAAAGGGTACTCTCCTGGAGGACCTAATAATCCTCAGCGTAAATTGTGAGCTTTGGAAGACTGGGAACTATGCCTGACACTGGACTACCTGTCCCCACCCAAGCAAAGGACCATAGTTTGGAATAATGTGTCATATCTAAGTATTGAGCATCAATTTAGCAACAGAGTCTGATGGTCTTTGTCTCAGGCTTTATTTAAAATATGACAAATGTCCTTTTCTATAAAGTTTCAACATAAATGACCCTTAGCATTTTCTATTTATTAGCTCATTTTTTTTCCCTTGAGGCAAACTATTGTGTAGCCCAGGCTGGCCTCCCTATATAGCTGAGGATGACCTTGAACTCTTAATCTTCCTGCCTGTACGTCTTGAGTGTCAGAATTACCAGTGTGTGTGTGTGTGGGGGTGTACCAGCCCTTGACTCTCCCGGCACAAGAAAATAAAAGTATATTTTTTCCCTGAATTTCACAGCTCACATATATATGATGTGGAAGTAGGAAATAAGCATTCTGCTTTTTGAAAAGCAATTTTTTCAGATCTACAGACATCTCACCCTTTCTAGACAATGCCAATATTTAAATTGATGACCAAAATCTCAAAGATGGGGGAAATGCTTCAAGTTAATCTCTTCCAGGGAAAACGGAGAAGAACACATTACAAAGGTAAGCTAAAGACAAGGCTGCAATGACTAGTTTCACATTTTTCTCCCAATGCCTTGAATTGAATGCAATTTGGGGACATTTTCTCATTTGCATAATCTCAGATGATATGAAGCAAGGCAAAATTAAAATATTTACAGTTGATTGCTGCTCTAAAAACAAAAGCTTTCAAGTCTTGCCTTCATTTTGTATATGAAAGATTTTATTATGCTTGTTTCTAAGTGTGTGTGTTTTGTGTACCTGAAATTAGGTTTCATTTCCACTAATGTGTTGACAGCACACACACACACACACACACACACTACAGGATGACAGTAAATCTGAGGAAAATTTGAGGTTGTTATCTAGTTTCATCATTTGATGACCAGACATCAGCCCGAGACTAACAAAAGTTCAAAGTTTCTCTCAAGGTCACATGAACAGTTTTGCTCACTCACCTAGTTAGTCATAAGGGCTGGAGTGAGTGTGTGTGTGTGTGTGTGTGTGTGTGTGTGTATGAGTGCCCACACACGAGGGTGGGGGGATTTTTTTGTTGTTGCTGTTTAAACCTCAGTGTGCTTATCTATTCTCACATGTTCTATACACCCCTGACTAAGAGGCAGACTTCCTGGGCCAGTGAGAATGACAAAGGAGGTAAATGCACTTGCCTTGCAAACCTGGCCATCTATATGCGCGCGCACACACACACACACACACACACACACACACACACACACGATACACACAATAAAAAATAAAAGCAGATCCCCCTACCAAAAAAAAAAAAAAAGAAAAAAGAAAAATAATTTCTATTCACCGGGAAGTCTACACATCTTTGAGGTCATGTCCTTATTGCATCATTTGTATCTGATTCATTTTCAAAACACAAAATTAGACTGTTTCCTATGGAGACTTACAGTGACAGAAGACAACAACAATGTGACACGAATGCTGAGGTCTATCTTCAGAACAGTTGCCCTGTGAAATGCTAAAGGGGACAAGCTGGACACAAGCAAGTGAGTCAAACTCTACACGTGTATATAAAAATAGAGGCCACACATCTTGCTCTCACACCTCTCATTTCTGAGTGTTATCTGGCACAGCATAGAGGCCAAATAAATGCCAAGTCTCAAACCCTGAACTGGGACTTTACTGGAAGCCCACCTTCACAGATGCTAGGGAAGCAAATCTACTCCACTCCCTAAGTGTGCACGTGCACACATAAGCACTACACTACAAACTCTCTCTCTCTCTCTCTCTCTCTCTCTCTCTCTCTCTCTCTCTCTCTCTCTCTCTCTCACACACACACACACACACACACACTCTTACAGGACTGACTTTAAAAGCCATTCGTTTTGATCCAAACACATATCACTGAGTTCATTTCCTGTAGTTGGCTCTGATAATGAAAAGTAAATTTACCCTGAACAGATGATCATTTCACTGTTAGGGAAGCGAGTGTGGGGCAGGGATGGCTCCAGAAGCAGTGGAATGAATAAATCACTCCAGTCTGGACATTTGTTCCAGATTCTAGTCACCTCTCAGTGCCTGGCTAAGCTATGTGAGAGTCATCGGTACTAAAGCTTGCTGAGATTTCTCCAAAACTCTCTTGAATTTTGAAAATGTGAGTAAGGAGTGTGGCTTTTTGTTGTTTTGTTTTGAAATGAGGTGTATTTGAAATGTTAAATAGTCCAGATTGGCCTTGAATTTGTAGCAATCCTCCTGCCTCAGCCTCAGTTCTGCCCTGGTGATGGAGACAGAATGGAGTCTGACCTGACAATTTAGGAATATAGGTCTGTATTTCTGCTGCTTTTAGTGTGTTTCAGAGAAGCACAAGTAAATCATTCTAAGTAGAAACGTCTCTAAACTGCTTTCTGTAAAGTCCAACTTCCCTCCATACCTGATGACCCTCAGAAGTGTGTGTGTGTGTGAGAGCTGAAGACCCTCAGAAGTGTGTGTGTGATCTGATGACCCTCAAAAGCGCGCGCACTCCTGTGTGTGTGTGTGTGTGTGTGTGTGTGTGTGTGTGTGTGTGTGGTCATGTCTCAGCATGAATTGACTTGCATTTTCCCCTTTGACTGGACAGTGTCACGTTTTACCCAGAGCACAGTGTCTTCCTCACCTGAGGCATCTGTGGATCATTGATGTCCCATGTGAGTTTCATCCCGTAGGAAAGCAAAGAGTCTGCATCCTGTGTGGGGTCTGCCGGCATCTGTAGGGGCCTCCAGGAGTCTCTAACCAGGATCCTGAAAGAGAAATAAAAACAAGGAGTACACAGGGTGACTCCTTCCCAAAAATGAGAGGTAGGCTGAGGGGGGTGAGGGAAAGGAGGAGGAGGGAGGAGAAAATAGGAGGAGGGCAGAGGAAGACAGACAGAGAGAGAGGGAGGGAGAGACAGAGAGGGAGTCAGAAGTGTGTATGTGTGTGTGTGTGTGTGTGTGTGTGTGTGTGTGTGTGTGTTTGTCCAGGTGGTGCCCTGTCCTTGCCTGCGGTGCTGAAAAGGCCTCTCTGAATGCTAGCATCTTTACGCAGGGTTACACTGGACCCACCCTGCCGCTCTGCCTCTACTGGGCAACCCCTCGGGCACCTGAAGCTCCAGCCACAGGCTTCCACCTAGTCACAGCCAAGAATGCTGAGCAAAGGGAAACTGAAGCTAAGAAGTTGGCCGTGGGGAGCAAGTAGACCGGTTTCATTTATGCTGAAAACCAAAACCAACTGTGTGTCAACCTCTCTGCTGGTTCTGCAGAGGGCTTGGATTGGAGCTCTGGAAGCAAGGGTTTCCAGCAAAGAGCCCCCCCCCCCTCCCAGAGCAGGTTCCAGTGCGTGGTGGGAAAGGCCAGGGAGCCAGCAGCTGGCACCTGCAGCCTAGGAGCCAGCCTCCTTGGAGCTCTGGGTTCTTGCAGCACTCGCTGTTCCCAAGTCCGTGCGCTCTGTGGTTCGGTCAGAGAGCAACTTCAGCATTCCAGTCAGTCCTCAAGCCCAGGCACATGAGGCTGGGACAGTCCTGACCACCGGGAAAAGTGCTGGGACGTGAACCTGGAGGTCGGTGTCAGATGACACTAGGAGAGATGGTGAGGGAGGGAGGAGAGTAAACTGCACCTGAAGTCCCTCTCCTTTCTCTCTCCCTCAGCATCCATAGTTAACGAGAGGCCAGGGGTTGGTGAGCTCTCAGCTGCCGCGCATAGGACACCCATGGTAAACATAAACAGACTGTATTGGCGGCATAGGACACCCACGGTAAACAGACTGTATTGCCATTGTCGCTGCTATCCCCAGACCACTCTTATCCTCAGCGGCTTAGGAAGAGGACCAGAGAATGTTGTCTAGAAGGCTGAAAGCTCCCCCCACCTAAGGCGATGTCTCTCTTTCATCTGTCTCTTTTTGGCAGCTTGGCGCCTGGGACACTCAATATAAGAAAGCCACAAGCATCTCTCTGGTCACTGCAGTGCGGGATTCCGGACCATGAGCAAAGTTGGCTTCCAGAATCTCCTCCCCGTGCTGGCTTTGCAGCTGGAACCCTCCCATTGTCCGTCGTAGCCAAAACAGATGGATACATAAGTGAGTAAATAAGCGACTAAATAAATAAAAACAAGAGAGCACATCCCACAATGCAGGTCCCTTTTTCCCAGCTCAGGGCCGTTCTGGGGTGCTCACTGGCATCTAAGACCCAGCAGGGCGGCACAGGTCCCACTTCGCAAGCGGAAGTAATCCTGCGGAAGTAATCCCCACTTCTGTGCAAAGCCCGAAAGAGCCGGTGCCTTTTACCGCCAGTTTCTGTGCGATAACCTCAAGAAACAGGATCTTGCTCCTCTCTACCTTCCAGTGAAGAGCTTGCTAGGGAGAGTCAGCTGAAGAGAAAGCGAGGCTTCCCTCCCAGCAGCCTACCGGACCGGTTAGAATAAAAAGAGAAGCGGTGTAGGTTGCCCGCTGGGAGCATTTCCTGAGCTTTCTTCTTCCAGAACGAAGCTGGATTCCTATTTTAAATACGAAAAGTCCTGGCAGATGGTTGTTCATCTTCAGACCGTTCCACCAAAGTTCTTTTCTAAAAATCGCTCTCACAGGGACCTTACTGAAGTGTAGTTGGGGGACAACGAAGTGTCTCCACTTTCCACTGCGCCCTCCTGTTACTACTGACTGAAGGTCTGGGCTACTTCTGTCATTCAGTTGCTTTTTTGTTCGCTTGTCTTTCAATAATTAAGTTTAAACTATTGACTGTTTTAAAATAAACTTAAACTGCTTGCTTAAAATTAAACGTGATAGCTTAAGATAATTTATATTTTGAACACATTAAAATAACTTCAAAAACAGCCATTTAACATGACCTCTGAAAACGGATAAAGATCAACTTCTGACCACACCGCATGCAAACATTGTTAGAATGTTCCCGCCTCTATCCTTTTGAAAGATTCCTAGAGCCGATCCTTCAAACCCAAAAATGATGGGCCCATGAGTCAACTTAATGGGTAGAAGCACTCGCCAAACAAGCCTAAAGGTCTGAGTTGGACTCCATAGACCACAGAGAGGACAGCCTCCTGGAAGCTAGTGCTCCGCCCCCACCACACAAACGGAAAAAAAATGTAATTTACATGTTAAAGGCATATTAGTTTGCTCCGGAGGAGGAAGGAAATAACCTGCCCCACCACACTCAGCCCAGGATGATGGTGCAATCCTATAACCCCAGTAGTAGAGACAAAGATGCAAGAGGAACAAAGGTTTGAGTCCCTAACAGGCTGCTTGAGACCCCGGGCTCAGAAAACAAAACCAAACAGCAAGAAGGTATTCAGTTTGTGAAGAATGAAAACACATGCTTCAGGTTGCCCTATGATTGTGTGTGGTGTAAAATATGTTAGTAAAAGAAGATAATCAAAGTGAAAATATAAATAAATTATGGTGTATTGGCGTCTGTCTTGTTGCTTTTAATAACTTCTGAAGGTTGGGATGCATTGTCACTGCAGGGTTTGGAAATATATGATTCCTCCCAAATTCTGAAAACGATGTTTCCTGTATAATATTTAAAAATTAGTTTTTGTTTTTCTAAAGCAAACTACATTTAAGTTGGATTTTGATCACCACTTTTTAGAGGTTATATTTTTCTTTCCTACTTCAGTATTTGCATAGACTTAAAATACCCTACATTCGTATCTGTCGCATTCTTGATTGATACTTAATATGTAAGAATCTGTTAATTCAAGGGAGGAGCAAGCCTCTGGATTTGCAAGGTTAAAATAGGCAAATTAACTACAGTGTATTGATATCATATTTTCTAGGAGCTGATACATCCGGTACTAGTTAGACAAATTGCCATGCTTGCAAGTTTGGGCTTACTAGCAGGGTTTGTAGATACAATAATATGTTTTTGTTCATGTAGGCAAAGGCCTTCTGTAAGCATCACAGCATAAAATTGTGCCTGGTTGTAATACAAGTTGGGTGTTACACAAGGAATGTTTGGAATGGAGGGGCATCTATCTATTTATTTGTGTGTGGGGGGTGAACACATGCCACAGTGCTATTTGGAAGTCAGAGGACAAGTTACAGGAGTCAGCCCTCTCCCTCTATCATCTGGAACCTGGAGATCAAGGTCAAGTCCCCCGGCTCTGTGGCAGGCTGAGCCACTCTCCAGCACTGTTTGCTTACAAAGAAAACCACAACACTACTTATTTTTGTCACGGGGTTCACATATTTGATATCCCAACAAAAAGCAGCCTGTCTCTAGAACACACACACACACACACACACACACACACACACACACGAAGTGGTTGGAAAACAAGCTATTTTTTAAAAAAATCTGTCTCGCAGGTGTTTCACGTCTGTAAGAGGTCAGCCTGGACTACAGAGTGAGTCTCAAAAAATAAATACGATCGATCCTTCTTCCTTTGACGAAGGTAACATGTAACACTTTACTTTATGGTATCAGGGTTGTATTAGTAATTTCAAGTCCAAGTCCGGTTCAGAAGGACCACAACACTTTCTGAACATGAATTCCCCCTTCCCAGGGATCTTTTGTTTGGTCAGGATGAAGCAGGGAGCCTGACCTGGGGGCTCACACTTTAATCCCGGCCTTCTACGTTTTCTAACTACCTTGGGGTACAGAGTGAGTTCCGGGTCAGTCTAGAGTGCAGAATGAGACCCTGAAACCAAATCAGTCTCAAACTCCCAGAGTGACTCAGGCTACCTAGCGGTCAGTTTCCAGAGAGCACTGGCTTCAGCCACAATGGTGCGAGTTCAGAACCGCTCTACTGCTCGTGAGCTCTTTCCTCGCAGGTGTGCGCCCTGACCTGCAGCCTGACCCTGTTCTAGTTACTCGCGCGCTTGCCTTCTATGATCAGAAACACCGGAGTCTAGTAGAGTTCGGTAGCAGGTTCATCTAATTGGAGTTCCCGGAGAAGACTGAACTTCAAGAATCACCCAGGACGGATCCTCGCTTTGATCTCAGTGGGAATCTCAGACTTCTTAGGAGCAAGCCGCGCTGCACAGCTGGGCTGGGCAGGCGTTGGGGACATCGTGTCGCTAGAAGCCTCGAGATGCCAGCGGTGAGTGATACGGGCGGGGGGTGCGTGAAGAGCCCAGCCTCCCTTCTAGGGTCCCCGGACCGAGGAAACACCGTCCTCTCTGCGCTCGGGCTAGGCAGTCCCCACGGGCACTGAGCCCCAGCATGGTTCGGGCGTCCAGAGATCCGCGGCTCAAAAAGCTACTGGGAAGAAAAAACAGAGGACTGAACTCCACAGCTCTTTTGAGAGAACTGTTGTGCGCTTTTCGCTTCTGCAAACCTCTCTCTTTCCCGGTCCCCGTAACTCAGCCACCAGTAAGAAAAGGACACTCCTGGCGACAGATAGGGTCGTCATTACACTGGAGCGGGCTTTTTAGCACTTCGTTATCTATCATTGGCTAGCCCGCTCGTGAAAAATTTAAGTCTAGATGGACATGGGTCTTTGATTTCTATTTATACATAACAATGGTAACAATACAGCAAAATACACTCGACATTAGGGATTTTAATTAAGTTCCTAGAAATAGGACTGTTAAGCTAAAGTAGATGTTCTTTTGTTTTGCCTCGTGAGAGACAGGGTCTCATTTGCCCAGGCTGCTGTAGACACTCCATGTCACTGAGGATAATTTTGAACTCTCGATCGACCTCCCAAGTGCTGGCTGTACCACAGTAGTGTGACTTAAAAAGAGCCATTTAGCAGAGATGTATCTTGAGTACCCTGCATTTTTCCATGAAATTTTCAGGGGTAAACGAAGAGACTCTGTATGCAAAAGCAGATGAAAATGTACCTTGATGAAAATGTACCAATCCACTACAAGTTTGGAAACCTCTTTTGTGTGATGTGGCTATTTGAGCCTTGAAATTTCACTATACAAGCCCGAATGTTAGGAAACAAATATGAGGACCTTGTGAATCTAATTCCTTATTACAACTTGTAATACAAATTTTGAATATAGGTTTTAATTTAAACATGAATTTTATTAACTCAAAACCCTTTTCTAAATTATGGCACTTTCTGTAAAGTTTATGTTAATCTTGCATGGACATTTAGTTTTTGGTTTGTTTTTGTTTTTGTTTTTTTTGTTTTTTGTTTTGTTTTGTTTTGGTTTTTTTTTTTTTTGCTCATGAGCTGGTACTTTTTTTACACCGGCCATGTACAAGGAAATAAAACATTTTTTAAAAAAGCACTCTCCTATTTAAACCTATGATTAGTGACATGCACAAACAAGACTTGTCCAAAAAAGAAGCATACATTTTCCTTTTTATTTTTAGAACTTGAAACATGTTTTTGACTTTTTTTTTTAAAGAACATCTTTTTATTGCACACAGAAAAACAAAAACCCTCTGCAGTCTGTTAAGGAGGACACTGGAGCTGGCAGGACCCACGGTGCTTTCTGGGTAATGAAGTTTATTTTCTGTTCCATATGTGTTATGGTTGGGAATTCTGGGTGGCTCCTCCGCAGTGCAGAGAAATCTTGGCTTTCTCTATGGTGGTACCACATGATAACCATTCCTGTGGCATTCCACTCCAACTGTCCCCCCTGAACCCTATTGTAAATTACCCTGCACCTAGCATTTATTCCAAGTAGCAGTAGTCAGCTAGGAATGAAACAAATTCAATGCCTATCCTCAGGGAACTTAGCACCTGCCCAGAACCAAATAATAGGTGTCCAAACCCAATAGAGCAGAGTTGTAGCACAAGGAAGCACCTGGCCTGCTGTGTTTAAGGTAGTCCTGGAGGTCCTGCCTTTAAGTTGATGCTTGACCAACTTCTGGGGCAGGAGAGTCAGCTTCACTGAAGGGACAGTGATGAGGACCAGGAGTCCAGACATAACTGTCTGGAAGACCTGAGGCAAGGAAGACCCTGCTTTATTCTAGATGTTAGCTCTAGTTTTCTTTATCGGTTTTTCTGACCCTCAGTGGGAGAGCCTAGGCTTGCATATTTTGATTTAGACTTTGCAACATTTCGGAGTGCCTCCTCCTGTTTACCTGTAATTGAAGTATAGTTTCCTCAAGTCCATGGTTGTCCAACTCAGACAGTGTTCATGGAGAGTGTGAACTCTAAGAAATCCCCAGCAGATGCAGCTGCTGAAGAAGTCCCACTAACCCCACATCTAGACCTTTTGTCGAACGCTAACATTTTATTGAGTGATTGTCAACAAGCATTTTGCTATTTTGTAGTTCCAGACTGATGTCTTTATTGTCTTTTTGCTTGGTGTTATTTCACACTGAATTGTAATTATTATTTGCAGTGATTTTGTTGCCACAGAGGGTCTTTCCCATGCTAGACAACTTTTTTTTTAACCTATGGACTATATCCCCAGCCACAAAATTTCATTTATTCATTTGTTTGCTGGGCCTTGAACCCAGGTTCCTGCCTGTGTGAGGTGAAAGCTCTACCACTGAGCTACATCTCCAGCTCTCACAGAATTTTTGTTGAGTACACCATTATTTTGAAATTTTGACATAAAATAAATTCGCTTTGGAAAATTAGTAACCCCCAAACTCCTTTCCAGCTTCAGTCGCTTGTTACTGATGCACTCCACGGCAAAGGGTTTCACATGATAGAAGAGTATCTCCAGCAGAAAGAGAGCCATGTGCCTCAAAAATACAACCATCTTCTCCTACACCATCTCGACAGGCGGATCAACCGGGCAAGTGGTTTGGTTTTTCTGGGGACTGAAATGCCAATGCATGCGCACTGGGAAGCATTCTGAAATCCATGTGTTCTGATGCCCAGGAACTGGATAAAAATGAGTTCCAGAATTGTTCCCTGCTGCTGAAATGTATCCAGAGATTCTGCAAAGATGACCAGGGCCAAGAGGAGCCCTTGCTAATTCGGCAGGGGCTGATGGCAAAGATAAGTGCACTTTCCAGTTAGGAGACTCGGGCAGTTTAGAAAGTCAGCGTGAGGGACTGAGGGGGCTGCCCAAGTGCTTGCCTAAGGTGTGCGAGGCCCTGGGTGGGGGTGGGATGGGGGATAAAATAAAAACTAGCCTGCGGTGGTGGTGCATGGTTTTAATGCCAGCACTTGGAGACAGAGGGAGGAGGACCTGTGAGTTCAAGGCCAGCCTGGTTTACAGACTTAGTTCAGGACAGCCAGGGCTACACAGAAAAACCCTTTCTCAAACAAACAAACAAACAAACAAACAAACCCAATCCCCAAACAAAAAACTAGCATGAATTTAATTAGTTTGCTATGTTTTCTTCTTTGAAATCAAATTTGGAAAAAAAATGGAGTCCATACTAGTTGCTTCTGCCGCATACATTCATGTGGGGTGGGGCATTTCAGCTATGATTATATCTGAAGTTCTGGGGATTGGCCCCAGACCTACCATAGGCTAGGTAAATGCTCTGCTTTTGAGCTAAGTTCTCACCCCTCAGGTGGAGCATTTTGAGGACATAGAGAATCACATAGTTCTGTAATAAAGGGCCCCTGTACTTGACAAGCCTCTGTGGTGATGGCATTTTGCTGGGGGAAAGGGAACAGCATGGGGCTGTAGACCAGGCTGGCCTTAAACTTGCTATGAGGATGACCTTGAACTTCTGCTCTCCCTGCCTACAGCTCCTGAGTTATGGGGATAAAATGCAAGGCTTTCCCATGCTCCTCTTTATTTAAAAAAAATTGTGTGTGCAAGTGCCTGTGGTACCCAAAGGTACCACATCTTCTGGAGCTGGAGATTATAGGTGGTTGTGAGCTGCCAGATATGGATGATGGGACCCAAACTCTGGTTCTGTGCAAGAGCAGTTCCTCTTCTAACTGCTGAGCCATCTGTACAGCTCTCTATAGATCTATAGAGATCTAGATTTTTTTTTTTCTGAGAAAGACACTTGCTATATAGCCCAAGGCTAGCCTCAAACTCAGTGGTCTTCCTGCCTCAGCCTCTCAAGTGCTTGCCTTGCAGTTCTATGTTGTGTGCTGCTAAGTTCAGCTGGTAATGACATGCTAGGGATCATTTCAGAGACTTGGGGAAGACGAGGCAAGCAGGGAGCTGGTTTCTAACTGTAGACTTCCTGCACAAGACCAAACATAGGAAGCTCATCAAAATGCCCCATGGGTCTTAACACACCTTGCTTTTTCTAAATCCACAATCTAAAAAGCAAAACAAAGCAAAGAAAAAAAAAAGAAGAAAAAGAAGGAAGCAGAGATATTTTTTGCTTATGCACATCACATGAGTGAGAACACTCACTGCCTTTTTTAATTAGCCAGGTAGTAATGCTGAGTGTGTATATTGGCAGTATCTGGAGGCAAAGCTGTTTGCAAATCTTTACTGCAGCTCTCACCTCTATGGGTGAGGTTTCTGCAGCCCTGTTTACTGGAGAGAAGGTGGGAGGGAGGGAATGCAGTGGCTGAAGGCAATTAGGAGAGTGGTGAACCTCTGCTCTGCCTCCCGGGCTGTCTAGCTCCTAGAGTTTACAGAGACCTGATTGGGCCAAGAAGGAACCATTTTAAAATAAACTGACACTCATTCTGGGGCTGTGCCCCTTCCAGGGAGAGAGTCAACTGTAGGTTTTCCCAAACTCTTTTCTGGGTTTTTAATATCACTGAGTGTGTGTTGTATGTTTAGTGTGTGCGTGTTTGTGTGCATGTGTGCCCCGATGTGTGTGTAGAGGTCAGAGGACAGCTTTTCGGTGTCAGTTCTCCTCACTCCATGGGTTCTGGTAAGGAAACTCAGGTCACCAGGCTTGATGACAAACACTTTGACCTGCTTAGTTTTTAAAACATTACAGAGGACATTACAGATGACGGTGACTCAGGTCTGCAATCCCAGCTATGTGGAATTCTAATGCAGGCAGATTATAAATTCAAAGTAAATCTGGACTGAAGAGTGAGCTAAAGAGCAATCTGGGCAGCTTAGACATGGTCTCAAAATAAAAGCTTAAGGATATTCCTTCCATGGGGCTTCTCCTACTCTTGGGAGTTCTTTATCATTCTCCCCTAATAAATCTACGTTTGCTTTTTCCAACAGTAAAAGAAAATAGCAGGTAAAAAGAGAACTAGGGATATAGTTCAAAGGTAGATGCCTAGCATGGATGAGACCCAATGCTCATTGAAGACAAAAGGCATGGTTTAATTTTGTATTTGATGTTCCTTAACTCCTGATGCCCTAATTTGTGCAGAAAATAGGGGCCAAAGAAGAGGAGATGAGCCTCAGGGGAAATGGAGCAGGGATGTCCCACAGGCACTTTGGAACCTAAACCGATTGCTAGGGAGTTGTGAACTGGGATATGCCTCAACCTGGTTTTCTTATTTAGGTCTTAAAAACTATTCGATACTTCACTTTCTTCTATGACAAATTTAGGGAGTGTTTGTTTTGGCTCATATTTTGAAGGTAAAGCCCATCATGATGGGAATCATGGCTGGAGGAGTATGACACAGTTCGTCACCTTGCATCCCCAGTCGGGAAGACCATAGAACCTAGAATTGAATGCTGATGCTTAGTTTTTTGTTTTTTGAGTCTATGCCTCCAGCTTGTAAGACAGTGCCACCCACATTCCTGATGGATTGTCTCTACCTGGTTAATTCTTCTGGAAACTGTACACAGACACACCCAGAGGTGTGCTTCTATAGAGATGCTAAATCTAGTCAAGTTGACAATGAAGGTTAATTATCACAAATGCGCTCCCAATATGTAAAATTAAAAAAAGGTCTCATCAAATCCCTACTGCATTTTGAAATTGAAGTTTCCATGTACTATTCAAACTCTGTTTGCTGATGAAATTGTCACATCTATTTCACGCATCTTCTGAAAGGTGTATTATTTCATGCACATTTTTGACCAACCAGAGTGGATAGGAAATGCCAAGGAGAAAGGGATACTTGACTGTGTACTGTAAAACTAATTGTAGGCTCAGCACAGTGTACTTAGGAGTTGATTATACTTCACAGAGTAAGAATTACCTGCACAAAGTCCATATCTAGCTCTGTCCCTAAGATCTGGGAAGAGTTAGCACCATATGCTTAAGCCGTTGCTAGTGTCCTGTGAGGAAGCTGGGCCTCTGGTAGAGGATGTACCATTGAGGCACACAAAAGCTGCTTAGGGAATACTTTTTGTTCTTAAACATTGATCAACCCTGCAGCATGACCCCCACTTTCCAACTCAAGAGTTGTATATCAACGGTCATGCCACTGATGCTATGTTTAATCAATTATTTATGACTTTGCATGTGTTTTCTTACCCCGTTCTGTCTCTCCTTATGTGTGTGTGTGTGTGTGTTGTGTGTGTGTTGTGTGTGACTAGAGACTGAACCCAGGACTTTACACGCTAGGCAGGTACTATACCACTAAGCTGCATCTCTTGTTTTTTTGTTTTCACGAATGACTGGTCTCAGCACAAGTGGTCCAAATATGACCCATATTTTACTGAGTACATTTATTTCAAGATGTCAAGGAAGTTACTTGACATTCCAAGAATAGCATTGAATTTATAGTCCTATGGGGGAAGAAGAAAGATAACAAGGCCTGAGGTATATTTTCTATAGCCACGAAGGCTTCTGCAGCGATGTCCAAACTGTCCATCTTTTAAATTTGGTTTTGTGAGAGGCTCTCACAGTGTAGGCTGGCCTTGTGCTCACAGCAGTCCTCCCGTCTCATCTTCCCAAGTCCGGGGCTTATAGACATGCTCCACCACACCCGGCTCATTCACCTTTTTTGATCTTCATCAAGTGTCCTACTCTCACTGATGTGTGTGACCTTCCTTATGATAATTCTGGACCATTTGCATCCTTTCTGACTTGTTCCTGATGGATGGGAAGACTATTTTATGTGATGAAAAGGTCTTCAGGCTGCGGTTTCTCTACTGGGAGGTTATCTTGTAAATCTTGTGGAGTAGGTGGTACTCACTTGGACCACGTGGTTCTATCAGCATCTCTTCTATCTACATGGTTTCCTGGTTTGAACGGCTGACAGGATTTCTGATCACAGAAGACCTGGCCTCAGATGCACCGCTGGCAAATGCCATGGGAGACCTCCTCGACACTGCCCTGGTAAGGACGGAAGTGCTTCAAGGGATGATGCCAACAGAGATGGGCAGGAATATAAGTGATTTGTAAAATTTCCTTCTGTTTTGAGTTTGGATTTAAAAAGAAATCTTTTGAGAAGTTGGCTTTTTATAAGATATGAATTTAAAAAGACTGCCATATTTTATGATTAAGTCATTGTGTGAAAGAGTAATATATTCAACCAGTTACTTAGGAAACTGAGAATTCATTTATTTTATATATTCAAATATGTTATTTGTTTGATGCTCATGTTAATGAGGTAACTACGATTCTAACCATCTTCTAATGGATTTTTAATTCTGTGTCTGCGTTCAGTTTCTGTCAGTTAGCATTCATGCGTTAGTGTCGGAATGTTTGATGCTTTGAGATAACAAGCTGTACTTTTCCTTCCCTTTTATCAGATCATTTCCAGGCACAGCGGGAAAGGTATGTATATGAAAAGTTACTAATTGCCTATTTTTCATCAATAGAGTATTTTGGCACCAATGGTTCAAATGACAGGCAAGGGTGATAAATCTGGATTTATCAACCACTCTACATAGTTCTACTGTGCTGCTGGAAGGCATTTGGTTGTACCGTGTGTCTCAGTTTTCTGCAATGTATTTTGCTTAGTGGCTCTTGTCACTGCTGTAGCCATCTTTCTTCTGTCCAGGGAATGAAAGACCACTTTGTCTCCAAAGCACAAGAGTTTAACTGGGTTTGGATCTGGTGTCTGCCTAGGTTCACATGCTAGCGTCCTGGTCCTGCTGAGCCTAATGTGAAGCAGATCACTGTGGCACAGCTCTGTGAAGGGATTAATCAGGTATGGGATTAGAGATGCCATGAGAATGGGAACTCACTGCTTAGTTGTGATTACGTATTAGAAAGAGTTTGGCTGTTGCCTTTTGCTTTTGTCCTCTCTGCTTCCAATGTGACCTTTTCCACATCTTGTTCCTGACACTGTGACTCCATCTACCCATGGGTTCCTCCCCAGAAGTAACAGATTTTGCTACCACGCTGTGAGCTAAATTATGTTCTTTTCTTTGTTAAATGGACCCAGCTGCAGGCATCTGGTTATAGCAGCAGACAGTTGCCCAAGACACAAACCAGCAAAGATTTAGCTACTATTGATTTGACTTGGAACTGAGATTGATTTATTTTGGAGCCAATGAATATAACTTTGTCTTTCCATTGTATACAAAGTAAAATACCAAATCAATGAATGTACAGGAAGAACAGTTTATTTTAGCTCTTGTTCCATTCAGTTCCAGTTAAAGTGTAGTTTGGAATTTTGAATTACAATAGCTTGGAAGCAAAGGCATACTTGGGATGTTTGAGCATCCCAGAACACAAGGCCATCACAACATGAGATGTCATTTTTTCTGGGGTGCTATTTGGTTTTAAGAGGATGTTAACAAGCTGATGTTATGTTTCCCAATGGATGGTGACTGAATTAGTCACTTTTTTTTGTCACTATTAATGGCCATTGAAAAGCATCTTACAGAAGGGGAGAGATTTATCTCACCCCAGGGTTTGAGGGGTTGCAGTTCATCATGACAGGGAATGCATGGTGGTAGGAAGCTATGAGCAGTAGGAGCATGGGGGACAAGCTGCTTGCTCACATCTCAGAAGACCAGGAAGCAGAGATGGAGATCTGGATTTCTTAATTCATGCTGGCCCCTAGCCTGTGGCCTGTGCTACCCACTTAAAAGAATACCCCAGTTAATCTTTTCTAGAAACACTGTAACAGACACACCAGAGAGATGCGACCTACATGATTTCAAATCCAGTGAGACCAGCAATGAAAACAATCATCCTAATTTCCAGTTGCTGTAATACAATTTTGAAGAGCATCCTTAGGCCGTGGGTGGGACACAGTCAGAACTTTTGAGCATTTGTATCTCTGACTGTAGTTCAATAGAATTCTTGCTTTGCCCTCTGTCTCCATCATAGCCCTGCTTCATTCTCTTGTGTTATTGAAATTGTGAACATGAACTTGTGGGTATAAGCACACACCCCATTGTTTAGAACGTGTGAGTGTGCACACACACCGTTATTTAGATTGTGAGTGTATGCACACACACTGTTTAGAACATGAGAGTGTAAGCATGCACACTGTTTTTATGTGGCTCATGAATTCTGGAATACAATCTTCAGGGAAATTTACTCTTTGATAGTCTTATCTATTTACAAAAATTTTCAGTTCTGGCACTACCCACTTCCTCCCCAATGCTCAGTGTATTTAGAGAGCTTTCAAGTTTTTCTCTCTCAGAAGGCATTGTTTTCATTGCTTCTTCCCTAGATCTCAATTCTGTAAGCATTACCTTTATCCCTCCAGACACCACCCCTCAAGGATGACGGTGGTCTGCCCCTGTTCCCAGGTCTGCCCCTCCACTCTTGGTGTTACAAAGTGCTGCTTTACATGGGCATTCTTGCCAACTGAGACGGCTGGATTTAGTAGAGGGAACAAATAGGACATTTTCTCTCCTCCTTCTGTTGGGTGCCACATGTGGAAGCATCTTCCTTTTCCCTGTGGTTTTGGCCCAGCTGTGGCTGTACTTTTGTAAGATGGTTGTATTGTTCCTCCCTCCCTGCCTCCCTTCCTCTCTGCCTCCTTTCCTCCCTCCCTCCTTCCTTCCTTCCCTCCTTTCCTCCCTCCTTCCTTCCCTCCCTCCCTCCCTCCCTTCCTTCTTTTTCTTTGTAGCTATCACAAAACACCTGAGAGAAATCAATGTACAGGAAGAACAGTTTATTTTGGCTCATGGTTTCAGGGGTTTCTGTGGCCATTTGGCCCCACTTTTTGGGCCCAAGGTGAAAAAGAATATTAGAGACGTGTGGCCAAGAAGTCATTTCACAGTGGCCAGGAAAGAGAGAGAACAAAGAGCTGGGGGCAGTGTGCATCCTTGAAGGAATATGCATCAGTGACCTGTTTCCTCCAACCAGATCTCCCCTGCCCTGCTGCCCTTAATAGCCCATTGAGCTATGAACTCACCAATGACGTTAATGTAGCCATGGATCACTCACATAGCACCACCACTACTGGTTGGGAAGCTTCAACTTATGAGACTTTGGGAACATTGTGTGTTCAAACCATAGTGCTGGCCTTGACTGCTTTCTTCTTAGGACCCTCAGTGCCGGGGTGTAGGGGGTGGTGGGCAGTGGCTTCCTGGCGATGAAAATCTGGGGGCTGCCTCACTGTTCCCAGCTAGCCTTCTCAGATTTCCCCTATCTTTCCAATGGTTCTCATGAATTAAACCCTGAAGACTTAAATGTCTACACTGGCTTGAAGTTTCATTTACACTTTTGTTTTTGTCTGTGTCTACTTTCATTTTAGCCTGGTGTTTTCTCATGCAAATTTTCTGCTAATTTATTTCCTAGTTTGTGTTGTCAACCCCAGGACAACGAAGCGAATGCTCCCTGCTTTGAAATATTTCTCAGAAATTACTTCTTAGTTCTGCTACCCTCTGCTATCCAAGCCCTCCTGTGTCACAGGGTTTGTCACTTTCTTGGCATTTGCTAGTCAGTGGGATACATACAGACACATACCGAGTCTTTCTGGCCAACCAGGCTTTGTTAGAACTTTTAAGTCTGATCTGGTAGGTACCAGGTCTGCCTGAGTTTCTGTTTTTCCCTGTTCATCTTTTCATGCTAGTGTGGCCTATTTGTTCTGATGACAGCATTCTTGTACTTCCTGGTTTGGTCTCCTACAATTGTATGAGTTATACTGGGGTAAACAGTATATACCTTGTGATAAATAACTTACATATTGAGATGATACATCTGAACCTACCAAAATTATACTCTGACCTGGCATTATTTTATATGGTGGTCACTATTATTTCCACTTACTACCTTAGTAAAGTCCACAAACAAAACTGTAAAAGGAGCTGGGTGGTGGTGGCTCACACCTTTAATCTCAGCACCAAGGAGGCAGAGGCAGGTGGATCTGTGTGAGTTCAAGGCCAGCCTGGTCTACAGAGTGAGTTCCAAAACATCCAAGGCCACACAGATAAACTTTCTTGAAAAACAAAACAAAAAGCAAACAAAACTGTAAAAGGTAGTTCATTCAGTTATGTATAAAATAGCATCTCTCTGTTTTTTTTTTACATATTAATGGCTGCAGAAATTTCTGTGTTATATTATTGAAGACCAACTTCAATAATATAAAGTTCCTGCTTCACTGCTATAGACCTTATAGCAGTTTAATTTGTGTATTATGTATAACATTTGTATTATTATGTAATACAAGTGCATATAAACCATGTAAACACCACAGCCCACATGTCTGCACTTAGAGCATTGCACGTGGTGGATAGAAAGTGGCTTCGTTCAGGTTACAGCAGTGACAGTGAGGCTACCCACTCTTTGCTTGGACTGCTGTTACAGTGCTCTGTGGGTATTTGGGAAAGCAAGTGGCTTGTAGTCTGCGGGCTGCTGCAGCTTGAAGCTGGCTGTAACCTGTCCCTAGCCTAGATTGTCCGGGCACTGCGTGCTGCTCTGGGCTTGTACTTCTTCCTGCTGCACAGGAGTCAGTTCCTACTCTTTGCAGCACCCATTTGATGCTTTTACAATTGCGTTTTCAGGGACAATCCAGATGCTGGATTCCTTCATCCTTAATTTAGGATTCCTGGTGACAGAAGGCACAGTGACGCCCTCCATTCAGCGAGAGGTGAGCTGTGACTGAACAGTAAGTTAGCGGTTGCTCTGGAAAACTCAGAGAAGGCATGTGTGAGTTTTTTTATTTTGTTTCTTTCCCACGGATCCTCCTTCCAATCCTGAGCAGGCTCTGAGTACTCTGAACTGCATTTTGGAAGCTGCCCCCCGGGAAGAGAGACGAAGGCTCACTTCAGCAGAAGGCATGTGCAGACTTATGTAAGTGAACCCACACTCGGGTGATGGTGTAAGCCGCTAGTCTCTGCGCCATTCTTTGTCCTTTACTTCAGCCCTTCCTTCAGCGGCTGTCTTAGGAGGTCACCACGTGTCAGGTTGGGAAGGACTGAAGCTCAAAGGATAGACTTTGCCAGACTTTGGTCTTAAAAGTGCAGGGTTTCTTTTTGTTGTTGGTTTGTATTTTACAATGAATTTGTGGGCCAAAATGCTTTCTTAGATGATTATGTAATTGCGAACTCCACTGTTGACTTATGGAGGGATGTCAAGGGGTATGTGTGTATGTGTGTGCACCCCACATACACACACACATACACACACATGCACACACACTGTTTTAGTGGAGCAGCTGTGGCTACATAGATCTTAGAATGTGATATTTGAAAATAAGGTTTTAAAATAGACAAGTGAATTGCAAATGCACACTGTTTTGAATTTTGGACTTGAACACATGTCTATGAGGATGGCTAGCCAGCAAGGAGGACATCTTGGTGACAGTGACCCTTCCTGTGACATGCCATGAACAGAGTGTCACCCACAGGAAAAAGCACTGGTTGCTGAATAGGACCTCTCTGTTTATTGTGCTTCTGTATGCACGATGTGACTTGGGCTGATTCACTGGTAAGAATCACCACTCTTCATTTTATCTTTTGGGTTTTTTTTGTTTGTTTGTTTTTTGGTTTTTCGAGACAGGGTTTCTCTGTGGCTTTGGAGGCTGTCCTGGAACTAGCTCTTGTAGACCAGGCTGGCCTCAAACTCACAGAGATCCGCCTGCCTCTGCCTCCCAAGTACTGGGATTAAAGGCGTGCACCACCAACGCCCGGCTATTTTTTGGTTTTTTTGAGGTTGAGAAAGTATCTGTGGATTATGTATGATACTGAGTTTGTTGGGCCTATTCCAAGGTATAACTGGGTCATATGGTTGATTTAGTTTTAGCTTTTTCCATGCTGATTTCCATAATGGCTGCACCCATTTGCAGTCCCACCAACAATGAATGAGGGTTCAGTTTTCCCTACATCCCCTATAGCATTTGTTGCCAACGGTTCTATTGACCTTTGCCATTCCAACTGGAGTAAGACGAAGTCTTAAAATTGTTTTGATTTTCATTTTCCTAATTGTTAGAGATGATGAACATTTTTGAGATATTTCTTAGCCATTCTTTTCTTCTTTTGACAACTTGGGTCTCATTTTTTTGAATGGGATTTTTTTTTCTTTTTTACTTCTATGTATATTCTGGATAGTAACATCTCTCCATTCTGTGGACTTTCTTTTTCCTTGGGTGACTTTCATGAGCTGTGCAGAAGCTTCTCAGTTCATGAAGTCTCACCTGTCCATCATTGGTCTTAACTCTTGTGCAAATGGAAAGGATTTCCTGAGTAGGGCTCCTACACCTATATAATGGAGAGCTCTGCCTGTGTTTCCTTCTAGCAACTCCAGGCTTCCCATTAGGTCTTTGATCCCTTTGAAGTTAGTTTTTGTGCATCATGTTAGATACATCCAGTTTTCCCAGCACCATTCACTGAAGATGATTTCTTTTCCCAGCTTATGCTTTTGGCATTTTGTCAAATACTAAGTGTCTGAAGTTACAGGTGAGTTCCTCATATTTGGGTCTTGGATTTTGTTCCAGTGGTCTACATGACTGTTTTTGTGCCAACATCATGCTGTCTTTATTACTGTATCTCTGTTATATAGTTTAAGATCTGGAACTATAATCCTCCTACCATTGTTCTTTTTGCACAGTATGGTTTGGCTACCTGGGATCTTTTGTGCTTTCATTTTAGGATAGGCTTGTTTGTTTGTTTCTATTGCTGTGAAGAATGAGATGGGGATTTTGAGTAGGATTGCATTGGATCTATAAATAGCTTTTGGTAGAATGGTCGTTTTTCACAATGTTAATTCTACCATTCCATTAGCACAGGTTGCCTTTCAATTTCTTAGTATCTTTATTTCATTCTTCAAGAGACTTACAGTTTTCATTGTAGAGGTCCTTCGCTTCCTGGGTTCAGTTTATTCCTAGATGGCTTATTTTCTTTGAGGCTATTGTGAAGGGCAGTGTGCTCATGATCCCCTTCCTTGGTGTTTACTGCTGGTGTGTAGAAAAGCTACTGATTTGTGCAAGTTAGTTCTGTATTCTGCTGTATTGTTGAATTTGCTTATCATTTCTAGAAGTTTTTGGGTAGAATGTTTGGGACCTCTCATGTCATCTGCAAATAGGGGATAGCTTGAGTTCTTTCCCTATTTATATCCCTTTAATTTCTTTTCCTTGCCTTATTACTTTGAGTACAATGTTGAAAAGGAGTGGGCATAGCGGGCGTCCCTGTCTTGTTCCTGACTTCAGTTGGATTGCTTCAACCTTTTCTTCATCTTGGATGATGTTGGCTGTGGGTTTCTCATATACAGCCTTTATTATGTTTAAGTATGTTTTTTCCAGCCCTACACACTCTAAGATTTTTGTCATGAAGGGATGTTGGATTTTATCAAAGGCTTTTTCTGTATCTACTGATACAATCATGTGATTTTTGTCTTTAAATCCATTTGTGAGGTTTATTACTTTTATTGACTTGTGTATGTTAAACCATCCCTGCATTTCAATAATAGAGCTTGGTCATGGTGTATAATCTTTTTGATGTATGTCTGTATCTTCCTTGCAAGTAGTTTTTGGTTACTTTTGAATCTATGTTCATTAGGAATGTTGGCCTGCTGTTTTCCTTGTGTGTACCTTTGCTTCATTTTGGTATTAGAGGAATACTGACTTTGTAGAAGGACTTTCTCCTTCTGTTTCTATTGTCTTGTTTAGTTTACAAAGGACTGGTTATGGATCTTTGAATGTCTGTAGAATTATGCTGTGACTCCATCTAGCGCTGAACTTCGTTTTCCTGAAAGGCTTTTTGTAATTGTTTCAGTCTCCTTGCTTGTTAGGATCTGTTTAGATTATTGATTTCTTCTTGGTTTAATTTTAGTGGTTTGACTGATCTAGAAAAATTACCACTTCTTTAGATTTTTCCAGATTAATGGAGTACATTTTAAAAATATTACCTTCTAATATTATGAATTTCCTTGGTGTCTGTTTTAATGTTTCCCTGCTCATTTCTGATTCTGTTAATTAAGTTCTCTTTTGACAGTTGGGTCAACATTCTGTCAATCTTGTTCATCTTCTCAAAGAACCAGCTCTTAGAAGTGTTGATTCTTTGTATCATTTTCTTCATTTCAATTTTATTGATTTCTGCTCCGATTTATATTACTTCTGTTGACTGAACTTAGATTTGGTTTGTTCTTTTTTTTCAAACCAACTTCTCGAGTTGCATCATTAAATCATCTATTTGTAGTTTTTTTCCCTGACATTTTAATGTAGGCACTTAGAGGCATTAATTCCATCATAGAACAATTTAACAAGGTATTCCAGAGGTTCTGTGCCAGATGTTTTGTTGTGCTGTGTTTTCATTTGGTTCCTGGAAGTTATTTCTTTCTTGATTTCTTCTTTGACCCATTCATTGTTTAGTAATGAGCTGACTAATCTCCATAAGTTGTGAATTTACTAGTTTTTGTTGTTGTTGTTTGCTATCAGTTTTAAATGTTATTGTGCTGTGTTGAGGTAGAATACAGGAGTGATTTCAGTCAGTTGGAATTTGTGAAGATTTGTTTTGTGTCCCAGGATATTATCTATCGTAGGGGAATGTCTGTGTCATGCTGAGTAGAATGTGTGTGTATTGTTTATTGCTTGGATATAATATTCTGTAGATAACTGTTAAGTCCATTTGCTATATAGTGTCAATTACTTCTGATGCTACTATAGTTTTCAGATAACCCATCTACTGAATGACCTACTATTAATGAATTGATGCTATCAGTATCTGTACTTTCAGCAGTAGATTTTTAAATGAAATTGGGTACCTCTGAGTTTGGTGTGCATGTGTTTAGGTTAGTAATGCTTGCTTGGTTACCTGTCCTCTTGGTTAGAATGAAATGTCCCTCTTTCTCTTCCGATTAGTTTTAGTTTGAAGTCTATTTTGTCAGATAATTAGGGCAGCAATGCCTGCTTGCTTCCTGGTCCTATTTGAATGAAGTGCTCTTGTCCATCTTTTTACTATAAGGTGCTGTCTTTAAAACTAAGATGTGCTTCTTGTAGGCAGCAGATGGATGGATTTTGTTTCTTGATCCATTCAGTCAGTCTGTCTTTTGATTGGAGAATTGAAGTCATTGGTATTTAAAGGTATTATTGAAATGTGTGTGTTAGCTGTGCTTATCATGTTGCTTGTGTTCAGTGGTATTTTGTCTTTTAATAATTATGGCTTTATATTTCTTTCTACAACCTTTTTCTATGCTCATTCATCTCTTCAAACCAAAATAATGCTGGTATTTGACTTAGGTTTGGTTTGTTGGACATGAATTTTTTTAAAGTTGTTTATTTCATTTCTTTCTTTTTTCTTTCTCCTTCCATCATGGAAGATGGTTTTTCTGAGTGTATATATTTTTTAGGTTGGCTATCATCATCTTTTGGGACTTGGAATGCATTGCCCTTCTGGATCTCATAGTTTGCATTGGAAATCAGCTGTCATTCTGATGGGTTTCCTTCTGTGTGTCACATGTGTTTCCTTCTCTTGCAGGTTTTAATACACTGTCTTTGTTGTGTGTTCTTGGTGTTTTTATTATGATATGCTGTGGGGATTTTCTCTCCTGGTCTCATCTTTGTGGTATGCTGTGTGCTGCTTCTGTCTGTCTGTCTTTCCTTAGTTTAGGGACGTTTTCTTCTACGATCCTGTTGAAGATCCGGTTTATGAATCCCATTGACTTGGGATTCTTCTCCCTCATCTATGCCTATAACTTGAAAATTGGTTTTTCTCGCAGTGTTCCACATTTCCTTTGTCTTCCTTCCCCAAGTTAAAGAAGGTGTATGACCCTTGTCTATTTCATCTAGACCCTCTATTTCATCTTTGAGACCCATTGTTCTGTGCTCTGCTTGAGTCATTCTACTTGTGAAGCTTTCTTGGGGTTTTCTAGTTGGGCTGTTGTGGTTTTTTCAATCCCATCTTCGTTTCTGCTTGAATCCTCTTCAGCGTTTCTATCTCTCGACTGAATTCTATTCTCAAGCCTCAGGCTGTCTTCCCCATTCCGCTGGCCTTGCATTTGTGTTTTCTCGGGTGTCCCTCAGGCATTTGCTGTCCTTAGGCTCTTCCTCTCTGATTTCATGGAGCTGTTTCTTTGTGTCGTCTTCAAACACCCGGCCTGAATTTCATCTAGGCGGTTCTCCTTGCAGACTCCTGTGATGAGATCTGGGCATGTGCATTCTTTTTTTTTTTTTTTTTTTTTTTTTTGAAGCAGGGTTTCTCTGTGTAGCCTTGGAGCCTGTCCTGGCACTGGCTCTGTAGACCAGGCTGGCCTGGAACTCACAGAGATCCACCTGTCTCTGCCTCCTGAGTGCTGGGAATAAAGGCGTGCGCCACCACCGCATTCCTTTGTCAGTTCTGAGCCTGTTACAGATGGGGCTGGTCGGAGAAGATGAGAAGATGTGGCAGGTCTAAAGGTTGGAAGAATTCAGGTGGACAGAGGGGACTGGGCTGGTACACAGGCTGTGCTTCCTGTTCTACGCCCAACTGCAGTGGGGTAGACGTTTGAGTGGAAAAGTCGCATATGAAATTGGAGAGCCCTGTGGTTTGATGGATTGGTAGCTAAGCAACTGGGCCAAGCCTAGAGCTCTTCTGTAAGGCAGATGGGCAAGGCCCCTCGCCTGGTGGGTTGTGGGCTAACTCTGGTAGAGTGTGGAAAAGGCATGGGTGAGTACTCCCGTGGGCTGCTGATTGGTGGAAAGAGAACAACTAGAAGTGGTTCATGCCTGTAGAGGCTGAGGCAGGAGGATTGCTATGAGTTCAAGGTTAGCTGGAGCTTCAGCAAGACCCTGTTGTGAAAATAAATCTTCCTACCAAAACTCCCAAGAAATCCTAAGAAACCTCCAACTTCAGAAGCAGATTTCTCAATGGACCCACAGATCTTAGGAAGCTAATTCACTTCATGCATGTTAGGGGATTGGAGAAATGGCTCAGTGGTTAAGAGCCCTGGCTCTTCTCCCAGAGGTCTGGGGTTCAATTCCCAGCACCCACATGGTGGCTTACAACCGTGTGTAACTCCAGTTCAAGGGTTTCCAACATCATCATATAGACATGCACACAGGGAAAACACCAATGCACATAAAATGAAATTAAATACATTATTTTAAAAGAAGAAAATGTTGGACTGGAAAGATGACTCAGAGGTTATGAGTACTGACTGATCTTCCAGAAGTCCTGAGTTCAATTCCCAGCAACCACATGGTAGATCACAACCATTTGTAATGAGATTCGGTGCCCTCTTTGGGCCTGCAGGCAGACATGCAGACAGAACACTGAATACTTAATAAATAAACCTTAAAAAAAAAGAAAGTGTTAAAAATGTATGTTGGTCATCAATATATGTACTTGAAGAAAATTTCCATTGAAAGGTATTTATATGCACATTGTAGAAATTCTGATACTGATTTCATATATATGTATGTATACATATATATGTATATATATTATAGGTTTTAAACTTATTAATCTAATGAGGCTTTACTTCTTGATGCCCTCTCAGTAAAACGTAGTCTATGTAAATGTTTCAGGAAAGAACTGGCGAGGATGATCTTGACTGTGGGAGGTAAGCAGTGTTTAGAATGTTGAATGCTTAGAACATTGGACATTAGGAGATGGATGGGGATTAAGTCATGCTCCATTTGAAGATAGGAAATTAAGATTTTGTTTTACTTCTGAGAGATTCTGGCCTGCTGAAAATCATAATAGCGAACAGACACCTGGCCAGTTTTGACATATTTTAGTGTCTCACTACATGTGCTTTAATTAAAATTAAATTTTTTCTATGTAAAAGCCATCAGAGTCACAGATAAAGCCCTCTATGTCCATGTCCCCACTTCCTGTTTGTCACTCAGAGTTCTTTTCATTCTCAAACATAATTTTCATCTGCATAATAATGACATGATTGTTTCACAGATTTAAAAACATTAGGTGACTACTACCTTGTCGGTTCATCAGATCATATCTCTCTTTTCACTGTTACAATTATTTGAGGTTTGGGCTATGGGTGTAGCTCAGCTGGTCGAGTGCTTGCCTAACCTGTACAAAGCTCTGGGTTTCAGCCCTAACTCCCCATAAGCCAGGTGTGGTGATACATGTCTATACTCCCAGCATTTGGGAGGTGGGGAAGGAGAATCAGGAGTTCATGGTTATCCTTGGCTATAGTGAATGTGAGTCCATCCTGAACTACAGTAGGACCTTTAAAGAAAAAAAAAAAGAATTATTTGGCATTTGAGCATATAGTATAACCTTAATGAGATTTTATTTTTGTTGTAGAGCTGTTGTAAGGCTATTTGATCTGACTTGATATTTTAATATGCCTTAAATATAAAGCCTAAAAATATATGTATGCATTTATATGCATGTATGTGCAAATATATATGCATATATGTACAAATATGTATTTCATGTTGCTAGGGGTTGAGCTCAGCTCCTTGTACATACCAGTCAAACATTCTACCCTAACAATATTCCCAGAAATAGTATTTTAAAGATATTCTCTATATGAAACTATTCACATTTCCCCGTAGCAATCCTTCAGTATACTTTGGATGGACATAACAACTCTGAATGCATCTTGTTGACTTTCCCTGAGTGTCTTAGCCCTAGACCAAATGCTGACTTTAAATGTCTTATCCTCTGTCATGTTGTCTGCTGTGTTGTGAATCTCTAGATTATAGCCAGCAGGTTGCTCTATCAGAGGCTTTGTGTAGGATGGCGGTTGGAACACTGAGACATGAGCTTGCTCTTCAGTGGTTTGATGATGCAGTCCTGGCTGAAGCTTTCAAAGAAATTAAGAACCGGGAATTTGAGACGGTGAGAATTCTGGTCATAAGAGTCTGTTCGGTCAATATTTAGTGAGGCTCCTCTCAGAACTTTCCTGGGCTGTAGACTTAGGAGAAGATTTAATTTTCTTATGCTTTCAGTTGTGAATCTAGCCTCTAACGGCTGAGCCATCTCTCCAGCCTCGATTTAATTTTTCTTGAGGAAGAAAAATTTCATTCTCTCTCTCTCTCTCTCTCTCTCTCTCTCTCTCTCTCTCTCTCTCTCTCTCTCTGTGTGTGTGTGTGTGTGTGTGTGTGTGTGTGTACGAGTATGAGAATGAGTGCAAACACTGCTGGAAGCCAGCCGGAAGCTGGTGTTGTGTCCCCTGCATCTGGAGTTGCAGGCTGTTGTGAGCCTTTTGACAGAGGCGCTGGGAGCCACAGTTGGACGATCTGCCTAGTGGTCCATGTCCTTAACTGCTGAACCATCTCCCCAGCCCCTCACTGTTTAAAGTGTGATTGGATCGCAATCTTAACTTTCTGTCCCCCCGCACCAGTGAAAGAATTTGAAGGTAACATCAGCAAATATTTGAGGAACTCGTGAGAAGATACATATAGGGCTTCCTTAGAGGGAACTGACCAAGGAGTCACTGTGAATTTGCTGAGTCCCAGCAAGGAAAGCATTTAGAAACCGATAGAAGATTTGAATCCTCTTGAAGAGTGGGGATACATTCGGAGAAGAAAGAGCAGAGAATTGGAGTCTTGAAGAGAGAAGCCGTGACCTTGGCAAGCAGCTGGCATCAGCATTTGCGCTGCTGTGAACCACAGAGTGGTTTTGCTGTATGCCACCTAGCGGCTGCAGTTGAAAGCGCAGAGATTTGTGGTGGTTGGGTCTTTGTTTTGTGAAGGCTTTGCTTACTGGGGTTGTTCCTAAGGAGCACGAAAAGAGCTCTCGGGGTTGTGTATCTGCTTTCTCCTAAAATTGCTAATGTATTTTTGTTCTTTTCAAAATGTCTTTAAATTAGGGCTGGAGTCTCAGGAAACGGTAAAGTTAATCTCAAGTGTTCCTTTTAATGAAGCCTTCTAATCAACCCCCCTGTGTAATCAGGATTTTTGTACGAGTCACACTGTAATAAACTTGAACCTTCACCTACTGTGTATCTTAGACTCTGACTGGCATATTTGCATAAGACATTTAGCCAGAGTGCAGCATGTTCTAAACGAGAAGGTCATGGTGCCAAGCTCTTTTGGCCAACTTGAGTTTGAATTTTACCTTAGAGTCCCACAGGCCTGACTCTGGCAATGTTTGCATAATGTAGACAAGGTCGAGGACTGGTGAAGTCTTAGTATTCATCTGTAAAGTGGGATCGATTCCACCTTAAAATGAGGAGTTTCTTAGGGTTACTATTGCTGTAATAGTGACACCATGACCAAAAGCAACACAGGCAAGAAAGAAAGGTCTTATTTGGCTTACATATCCCGAATCACAGCTCACAGAGAGCCAAGGCAGCAGCTCACACAGGGCAGAAACCTGGAGGCGGAAGCTGACAGATGCCATGGAGGGTGCTGCTTTGACTGGCTTGCTCCTCAAGGCTTATTCATCCTACCTTCTTATAGCGCATAGCACCCCTAGCCCAGGGGTGGCACCACCTAAAGTGGGTTTGATCCTCCTACCTCATTCACTTAGGAAAATTCCCTGCGGGCTTGCCTGCAAAATATTTGGGAGATGTGTGGGAAGATAAATATAGGCCTTCTTTAGAGGAAACTGAGCCAGGAGACAAGCTGAAAATTTGATGGGTCTATATCTATATCTATATGTAATTTATTTATTGTGTATACAGTCTTCTGCCAGCAGAGAGCACCAGATCTCATTCAAGGTGGCTGCTGGGAATTGAACTCAGGACCTCTGGAAGAACAGGCAGTGCTCTTAACCACTGAGCCATCTCTCCAGCCCCCTTGATGGGTCTTATTGAGACAGTTTCTTAGTTGAGTTCCCTTGTCTACGATGATTTCAGCATCTGTCGACTTGGTGTAAAACTACTCAGCACAAGGAAAATTCATCGAGAGAAGTCGAGAATGCCTGGGATGATGTGGGCAGCCAGACCTCCCCGCCCCCCATCTGTCTCTGCAGATGATGAAAACAGAGTAAATTATCTCATTTCCAAAATCATCTCTGCAACTACCTACCTGTCCATCAACTTCTCTAGTGACCTGATTTTAGATGAAAGCCTTATGCTGCTCATGTCTGTTTAGGGCCAAATACAGGTGTGAAGTGTGAGAAACATTTGCCTACAGCAGCCAGTCTTTGGAAACAGAAATGAATATAAATCTAAAACCCGTGTCTGTTGTCCTCAGAATGTCAGGGCAATGGGCTCGGTGCCATGATGACTGTTGCTTAGGAGAATTCTACAGGCGGTGCTCGTTCTTGGAGTATATGGCATAGATGACCTGCCAAGGAGAGGCATTGGAAATATGTCCACGTGATTCACCCAAAGTTAATAGGTTGGATGGCGGGCATTAGGGAAGTGTGTGCCAGATCAGTTAGTTAAATACTGGGCTCTAACTCATCAGTGAGATCTGTTTTTCTTGCTCACTCTTTTGCCCAAATGAATCTCTTGCACATTGACTTGTGAGCCTGAGGGTATGGGGAAGCAAGCTCACAGCCTTCTCTTTGGGCACAAAACATTGCTGACACAAAGCAGCGAATCCTTATGAAGACCTAGGGTTGGTTGGGAAGGTAGTCACGACAGTGGGCTTTTAAATTTAAGACTTGTACTGCTTGTTTTAGGACTGTCGGCAGTTTCTCAATTTCCTGAATGACAGACTTGGTGACAAGAGAAGGTAACATGTGTCTTTGGAATTATTGTAATTGACTAATTATAATCTGATATTGTCTGGTGCTTAAAAGAATATCTAGGATCTTTTTTAGTTTTAAGAGACTATATATATAGGATCAGCTAAGTGGCTATTTGATTAGAAATTTAGGAAGACCCTGGTCTAATGGCTCACACCTATAATCCTAATACACAAGAGCCTGAAGTGGGTGGGGTTTTTGTTTGTTAGATTTTTTTTTCAATTTTATGTGTATGAGTGTTTTACCTTTGTGTATGCATAGCAGATGTGTGCCTGGATGGCATTACATCTCCTGGAACTGGATTTATAAACAGTTGTGAGACACACTGTGGGTGCTGAGGACTGAACTCAGGTCCTCTGTGAGAGCAGCAAGTGCTCTCAACCAATGAGCCATCTTTCCAATCCTAAGAGTTCCTGGAATTCTCGAAGAGTAATTTTGAGAAGACTAAAGGAGCTTGAGGATAGGCATATCACAGACAGGTATTTGATAAGACAGTATTCGCTAAGTTCACTCTGTTCTTTAGGATTCGGACCAGGTAATTTTTCTGAAATGGGTGCTAATAACTGCCTGCTGGAGAGGAGATACCTCCCCACAGTGGATCTCCATCTGCAGAGTTGCAGCCCTCTTATATCTTGTGTATAGGGTACTTCCCAGCATGCCACAGCTGTGAAAACTCATTATAAGATGTCTGCAGGTTATTTTGGATTTTAATTGTGAGGTGTTTTGCAGGGTCTATTCATTCCCATGCTTGGCTGCTTTTGCTGATGATCAGGAGGTAGGCCTGTCTGTCTGTCTGTCGTCTGTCTGTCTCTTCTCTTTCTCTAAAGAGTCTTAAGGGTGGTGTGAATGAAACACTATTGGGTTTATACACTTATGTCAGACCTGCTGCAAGTACTCTGAAGGGCCATTTACTTATTTGTGTGTATGTGTATGTGCACGCGTGCACACGCAATCATGTTCATATGTACATGTACATACATGTAGAGGCCAGAATAACCCTGGGTGTCATTCCTCAGGCACTGAGCACATAGGGGCCTTTAAAAAAAGAATGCTAATTTCTCTTAGTGATCTCACCTTCAAACTGATCTGATCACATCATAACCAGGATGTGTTTTTGGAAAAGTCAAGGGTCTGTGGCTATACTGGGAGAAAGGATTTCAGAGTTCAGAGTGTCTGGGGGTGTCAGACCCTTTTCCCTGTTCGCAGGGAGCATTATTCGTGTCTGAACTGGAAAGCAGAGAGTCAAAGTTCTCTGTTTTTCTCCTTCTAGCTGATACCCTCCCTCTTTTTCTAGCAACAGGGTGACTTTGCTTTCTCTGCACTTTGTGATTTATAGCACAAGACACACGGTACAAGCGACCTTTCTGAACTGTGTGCCGTTATAGCTCAAACACTGTGGTCTCAGTGCACAAGACACACGGTACAAGCGACCTTTCTGAACTGTGTGCCGTTATAGCTCAAACACTGTGACTCCAGTGTTGCTTCCATTCTACCTTACACATTGGAGTCTAAGGATAGCCAGTTTATTTCCCATCTTCTTTGGTTTCTAGAAGACAGTACAGGGGCTCCAACCAATAGCATCACAATTTCCAGGTGAAGTAGATAAATTTACCTAGAACCATGACTCAGCCGAGATGTCTTAAGTGTCTTCATCAGTCATTTCACTGTCATGGCTTCAGAGACCCCCTTCATGGCTTCTGGAGCTGAGCTTCTCAGCACATAGGACACCCAAAGTTCCTTCTGTCCACGGCTGAATTTGATGGATGGATGCTTGCCTGTCATGTCCTTCTCCTTCTCTGCCTTCCCAAGGATTTCATGACCTGCTTGGTTGTCCTTGCCAGGGTTTGCAAGCTTCCATCTGCTTAATTCCTGGCTCTCATACTCGGGTCATGCACTAGCTTTTAGTGTCGGTGTTGAAGGGGAAACCCTCTGTTCAGCTCTGTAGCTGCTGTGATAGGCTGCAATGATGGGAAGGAAAAATGTCCAAAGAATCCTATCTAATAGAAAGGTGTTACAGAATAGTAGGTCTGGTGTTTGATCCAGTTTTGGAGGAATAAAGGCATAATACATACGGTGGACCATCCTTAAGCCGAGAGTCTAAAATGTTCCAAAGTCCCTGACCTATTGAGTACTCCATGACATCAAACTTCAGAGCTTAGTCAGAAAAGTACCTGCCTTACATGCAAGAAGATGGGAGTTTAATCCTTAGAAATCATCCTATTTTTTTAAGGCTAGGAGTGGTAATACCACTTGTAATTCCATTCCTGGGGAGGTGGAGACAGGGGGATCCCTGGACTCACTCAGACAGAACTTGGGGAAATCTGGGCCAGGATCCTGAAAAATAGAAAGGTGGATGACACTTGAGGTTCAACACCCCAGGTTGTCTTCTGGCTTCTGCACACGTTTGATATACTACACACATGCACATCCATACCCCCCCCCACATAAACATATAGAGGGAAAAGTCTGATGGGCCATAGAGATGGCTCATTGAATAAAGGGATTTGTGCCAAGTTCAGTCCCTGAGTTATGCCTGGTAGGAAAAAACTGGCTCCTGCAAGTTGTCCTCTGACCTCTACATATATGCCATGACATGCACTCATGCACATGCAAATACACAATACAGTGTAAAAGAAACGAGATATCCCACAACTGTCTTCACACAAGGCACAGGTAAAACACAAGTAGACTTGAGTTATTGTATACAATTCCCTTCAGAAGGCGAGTGTCAGTTTGCTGTATGGATGAGCTCATTCCCCATTATGTACCTGCAGACATGCCACAGTCAGAACCACTCTGGTCTAGGTATTTCAGATGAGCGGTGCTCAGCCTGGTCTCCCTGACATATGTCTACAAAGTCTCTGGGGAGGATTAGGGCATCACTAATGGCCTCTCCAGACAGATGCTTGTGGGGAGAAGGGCAGAGAAGACATCTACTCTTGCCAGAGCACCACATTGCTTGAATCCTTGATTTTGGCTCTGGGTATGTATTTGTTTTGTAAACGATAAAAACACAAGCAATTTCAAATCAAGTATTAGCTGTTCTCTAACTGACGGTCAGCTGGACACCAAATCGTCACACGTTTGCTCACAGTATCTTTTTTGCTAGAAGTTTCCATCTCTATTCAGTGTGGTTTGCTACCGTTTCAGCATGAAACAGGTTCTCCCTATCCCCATGATTTTCACCAGGAGAAAAAGAGTGTGTGGATAGAGTTGTGTGATACAGTTAAGTATCTATTAAGTATTGAGGACAATAGGATCTTCCCAGAAATGGAGTGTGAGACAGGGACCCAGATGCTGATTTGCACAGGATTCGGGTACTGGGAGTTGCCAGTAGTTCTGTTCCAATGTTAATAATTTCAATTGCACCCTTTGATACAAGATTCCTGCATAACTTGCTGAAATTCTCCCACAGATGAGAAAACCAGCAGATGAAAAATTAGAGGAATTTTGGATTGATTTCAACCTAGGAAGCCAAAGCGTGACTTTTTACATAGACTACAGAGAGGTAACTAGGACTCATTTCCCAGCAGCCCTGAGTGTCTAGGAATTCTTTGTATAAATACTATTACACATTCTGTTATGCACTCATTATTTTTACCCTGTCTTTTCATCAAGAGTGCTCTGTGGGAACCAGTGCAACTCTCAAAGGAAGCAGTGGTCAAGTATTACGTAATGGGTAAGATGATGATGTATGCCTTCCCTTGGAACTTTGTGTTGCTTCTGTTGATATTACAGTATTTACTCTAGAATGGATTTTGATCATGTTCTTATTTGGCATCTTCTTTTGTAATTCTTTATTTAAAGATTTATTATTTTGCCTGTTCATGTCTGTCTGTGTCCAGGAACGTGTGTATGTGTGTGTGTGTGTGTGTGTGTGTGTGTGTGTGTGTGTGTGTACAGGTTTCCACAGAGGCCGGAAGAGAGTGTCAGATCTGTTGGAGTTAGAGGTGTTTGTGGGCCACTTGATGTGTGGGTGCTGGGAACTGAACCTGGGTCCTTTGGGAGAATAGAATGAGCTCTTGACCTTTGAGCCATCTCTCCAGATCCAGAAGTGAGGATTCCCTGAATGGGAACCGAACCCAGCCTGAAGTTGTCAGAGTGCCAAAGCCTAAGCACTAGACCACCAGGGAGTGTTTGAAATTTTCTACTGGTCTCATTAAATGAAAGAGGGGGTTAGTCTCAATTTGCAATTTAACTGACTCTTTGAAAGATATTAGCATGTAATTAATATAAAAATGGTTATGCTGTGTAAGTTCTTTTTTTTTCCTGTTGTGTGTTTTACCTGTGTTAAATCTTTACAGTCTGTTGTGGGTGCTGTACTGGCAGGCCATGGTAGTTTGTATTAGCCAGTGGTTTCAAGTGGGCTTGGCAACCCAGGTGGAGACTGACCGGTTCGTCCCCCTTTCTCCTTTCTTTTACCTTGGTGGGTATATGGCTCTTAGGTCTGTCTGCTCTTTCATGACCTTTCCATTCTCTCTAGCGCCTGCCTATTTTGTACTTGGCATGTTTTTTCTTTTCCTGGAGACCGAGTTTTAATTTTGATATGTTATTTTCAGTTTTGAAATCTACTGTTCATTTGCCAATAGTATTGTGGAAGCGGCTGTTGTCTGAGACCCAGACATACTGACACGTGCTTCTATTCCCTCTTCTTAGGAGGTGTCTACTGAAATGGATATTGGCATATTGGAAACTGAATTTTAGAATTATGTGGGATTTCAGAGAGAGACAGACAGAGAGAATTTTGCTTAGTATATTTGAAACTAAAATACCTGTTGCATAACAAAAATTCTCTCATAAAAACATTGGATAGCGTCATTCAAGATGGCATTTATCCCTTTACCAGTAAAACAAGATCCTTCATGTTTTCAATAATCAGCTTCTAAGTCACATGTTTTGTGTATATGTAGATAAAAAATTGAGTCATTTCTATTTATTATGACTTCATCCTCTCATTGAAGAAAATTCTGACCAGTTGACAAAGGTTTCATTATGCTGATGCACCTGATATAACACATCTTGTTTGTTAGAAAGTGACAGGATGAAGACATTAATCGTTTACCTGAAAGAGCCGATTATTGTCAGCAAGAAAGAAGCAAAGACAATAGAAATCCACTTCGACAGGCAACTCGGCATATCCCAGGCTTCAGTTCGAGCTTTGGGAGAAGTTGAACAGGTGACAGCTCCCCTCCCCCTCCCCCTCCCTCTCCTCCTCCCCCTCCCCCTCCCTCTCCTCCTCCCCTCCCTCTCCTCCTCCCCCTCCCTCTCCTCCTCCCTCCCTCTCCTCCTCCTCCTCCCTCTCCTCTCCCTCTCCCTTCCCCTTTTCTGTTATTTGAGAAAGGGTTTCTTTGTGCTGCCCTGGCTCTCCTGTAGCTCACCCTGTAGACCAGGCTGGCCTTGAACTCATGGAGATCCCCTTGTCTTTTGCCTCCCAAGTGCTGGGATTAAAGGCCTGTGCTACCATGCCCTGCCTCATTCCCTCTGATTACTTGAAAATGTGTCTTCACATCTCTTCAATCTCCATGTTGGACTTTGATGTATCCTTTGGTCAAGAAGAAGACTTGAGAGTTCTGGGTTCTAATCCCACCTCTCCCTTGTGTGCCATGACCTTAATTATGTAAGACACAAAAGTCCCTCCTGTCTCGAAATGAATTGTTGCGGGTCCTGTGGACAGAGCGCAACTTGTCTGAGGTATTGTCACATCCTATGGTACTCCTTAGGAGCACTGCCAGGCTTCTTGACCCTTCTTCCTGGACCTGAGGGGACTGAGCAGGGGTTTCCCCACGCTGCACTAGTCTTTTCTGATAGGAATGCCCTGCACCTGCCCCGGGATTCTGTAGTCTCCATCTTGACCCCACTTTTTCCTACACACACATAGGGGTGGCAAGGTAAAGACATTTTAAAGGACATACAGTAACTGAGCAAGGGACTGAATGGAAAGGTCAGAGGAAGGGAAGACACAAAATGAGGGAGGGGGTCTTGGCTGGCTTCCCTTTGTTTTGAGATAGATATTCGAGCATCTTATAGTGAAAGTGCTCTGCAGATACAGTTCCCAAGTCCTGCACAGGGGGATGAGGCGAGGGTTCCCATGGACCTACACGAGGCGATGAGGTGAGAGGCGTGGAATACTAACCACTTAGGGAAGAGTCTCCTGCACTGTTAAAGGACAACTTGGCCTGGTGTGCTAGGTTTGCCTTTACTCGTAAGGACTATGAAAATCACGGACGTTTCCACATTTCCCAGTGTGAATAAGACCGTTTCTGTCTGCATGGGACAGGGCCACAGTTCCTGGAGTAGGAAGTCCCTGTGAGGAAAGGGTGTGTGTGTGTGTGTGTGTGTGTGTGTGTGTGTGTGTATGTATCACGTGATTGGGTACTCACTGCATACTCACATTGAGAGAGAGCCACATCCCTGTCCCCCAGGGAAACCTGGATTAAAACTCACCCCAGAGTTTGGGGAGACTTGAGCTGGAAGAACAGAAGGAGGAGGCCTTAACGCCCCACACAGTCTTGAAGCCCCGCCCACATGCCCAGCCCCGCCTCCTAAAGGTTGTGCTCTCAGAAGTACTGCACTGGGGATGTTTCTAGTATGCAAAATTTGAAGAGCACATTCAAGTCACCAGAGATGATCGATGCGTTAGGACCATGAGAGAGTGACCAAGAGTAAAGCAATAGGGAGCCAGAGAAGGTCCTAGAAGGTGGTGGTTGAGGGATGAGGAAGGTGTGGGGATTGTGAACCAGAAAGAGCAAAAGAAGATGGCAGATACTCGGCAGGCTCCCTAATTTACCAGCGTGCTGGGGGCTAGCTTTAAAACCTTTTCTGTAACAAGCTACTGCATTGGAAAACTATGTGCCTTTGGCTTTGATTTCAGACTCCTGTTTTGACAAAAGTCTCCCCTGACTTCAAAAAAGAAGATGGGGAGATTCCTAGTAGCCACGAAAGAGAAACAGGTATGCCGAGAAGTCGCAGAATGCTGACTCAATTCCCTGTAGGAGCACGAGGGTGTCTTGGATGAAGTCCACACATGCTGAGCTGGTCGTGTAACAGCATCCCATGAGAGCCGATTGTAGCCTTGAAGCTCCTATTCCATCTGCGAAAGCCTTCTTTGGGGACACAGCTGGAAATGACCTAGAAGAACAGATGCTGGGGCGGTGGGAAACGGGACTCTACAGAGTCCTGACTACTGGCACAAAGCATCTTCTCTTGAGTTTCAATTTCAAGTGCTTAGCTTTAGATTTGAGATTTGAGGTACAATTTCACTACCAGTTCTTACCACAAGGTGGCAATATACCAGGGCCGTGCTTGCCTGGAGAGTTAGGACAGAGTGCCTGCTTGGCCCTTGGAGGTTGTCGTTTAGATGTTCCTTTTCTCATTGAATACAGAGCGTGCAGAAGAACCCACAATCCTGCCGGGGTTCGTGGATGACGACGACGACCTCGAGGATGACGACGACAACCGTTGCCTAATAACTCGCCGCAGCTTCAATGTTCAGTCAGAGCCTGCTGTGAGCAGAAGAGGCTGGGAAAAGCTGGTTGGGGATTTGTGGCCCGCAGGATAGACAATCACTTCTTCTCTTGAATGCTAGCCCCTTTTTCTCTTCAACAGCTGTCTGCCATTAATTTGTCGGTCTCCCTCTTCAGATTGCTTTTATCTGCCGAGCTTATGTACTCGCTCTCTTCATTTGCCGTGCGTGTCCATGAAATGCCTGCCCGGACTGGTCTCTGACTTGACCTCTCATTTGGGACCTGGAGAAAGCTGTCTGCAAATTAACATAGGGGACGGAGCCTCATGTCGAGGGTCAGATGTGGTTTCCCTCTCTGCCTGGCGGGCGTATGGACCCGTTGACTCAGACTGTTCTTCTTGGGGCTTGGTATCTATCAATCAAGGTGTCCCAGTTAGGGTCACTATTGCTGTGATGAAACACCATGACCTAAGCAACTTGGAGAGGAAAGGGTTTATTTGGCTTTTACTTCCACGCCACTGTTTGTCATGAAGGGAGTCAGGACAGGAACTCAAACAGGGCAGGAACCTGGAGGTAGGAGCAGATGCAGAGGCCATGGAGGGGGCTGCTTGCTGGCTTGCTCATAATGTCTTTCTCAGTCTGCTTTCTTATAGAACCCAGGACCACCAGCCCAGGGATAGAACCCCACAAAGTGGGCTGGGCCCTCCCCCATCAATCACTAGTTGAGAAAAGGCTTCGTGAGTTTAAAAATTAACAGGACAGCGCACCCTCGTGGCTTATTTAGTCATTTTTTCCTCGTTTCCTTATGTGAACATATGGTATGGAGGTGTAACTGATAATGGTGTCAGCATTTTCATGTTTGACAATTAGAGATTGGTATTTCAGGTAAATTGTCACCTTTTAGGTGTATTGGGAAGTTGAACCTTCACTCCTAGCACAGAAGCTCCTGGAGACATCCTTGTAGTGTTTTCTCTGAACCAGTGCATATCATGGTCATCTTCGGTAGTAGCAAATTCTTGTGATTTGGAAGTGAAGTTATGGAACAGCAGAGTCATTGGAGTCAGTTTTATTCAGTTGTTCTTCAGAGCCAGAGTGGGTTCCAAAGGCTGGAGCCTGAGGCTTCCCTGATAACAAAGGAACTTCTTTTATCTTGCAGCAAACACATACAGAAGAAAGTTCACCTGAAAAACCAAAACCGCATGACCCCAAACAAGGTACGGAGAGTCTTCTCCACCGTCACTGAGTGATCTGTTTAAATATTTGCTCAAGATACTTACCGTCATTTTATTTTTAACTTTTGGTCCCTAGAAGTTACTTCAAAACACAAGCATCCTTCAGATATGCAAGAACCATCAATTCAAGCTCAGGCTTCTAAATTAAATGATACAATGTAAGTGATCTTTATTTTTACCATATTTATTTTGTTTTTTAATTGTCATGGTAATCATACACATTGATGCTTCCAAGCCTGCCTGTGTCTGCAGTGAGTTGCATGTTTATAGAGACATTGTGATATATCCATCCATGTATCAGCATAGTAATTATCGTGTTTATGGGAGATAGGGTGTTTTTTTTTTCCATACAAGTACCAATTGTGTAACAATCAATGAGAAGTTCTTGGCATATTCACCTTAAGCATTCTTCATCTCTGTGTAGTGAGAGCATTCGGCAGCGTCTTGTTGTTTTTGAAATGGAGACTACAGTGTTATTGGCTGTAGCTACCCTGATATGATGCCCACACCAGGACCATTCCTCATGTCTAGCTGTGATTATGGACCGGTTGTACCCTGTCACACCCGTTCACCTAGCTCCTGGAGACCACCATTTTATCTCCCCCTCTGTGGGTTGGACTGTGCAGATCCCACATGACAGTGAGGTCATGCAGTTCTTATCTTTGTCCTCCTGGTTTATTTCACTTAGTGGGATGTCCTCCAGTGTCACCCATGTTGAGAACTTCAGGGTTTTATTCTTGGTGGCTGAGCAATATTCCAGTGTGTATATGTACCACATTTTCTTTATTTGTTCCTCTCTTGGTAGACATCCAGGCTGACTCCCCATCTTGGCTATTGTAAATCTACAGAACCACACTTATGAGCACGCTGGCAGTTTAGGGTTTCCCGTTTCCCTAACCTGGCCATTCCAGTCTAAGCTCCATGAGGGTTTTCTACAGAACAATTTTGAGTTGTGATGGCAAACTCTCCTGCCCTATAGCCCAGGTTGCCTTCAGCAATGCATTTTTCTGCTAAATTTAGATTAAATGCAAGATCAGTGTACAAACTTCAAACTCAGGCATCTTCTGTTTGAAACACAAAGCAGAACCGTTTGTAACAGCAGCAGGACAGCAGTTGTACTTAAGGTATTAATTTGCAGGGTACTATTAGAACACACCCATAAAAGAACTACTCCGGGACACAGTGAGCGAGAAGAGGAAGACTTAAGTAGGTGGAGTGATCTTGTACTAATAATTGTTAGGGGGATAATAATAGCAAAATGTCAATTCTTCTCAAATTGATCTAAGTATTTAATGTAATTCCTAGTTTGACTATCAACAGGCTTAAAAAGAAATTAGTGAGCCATTTCTCAGTTCCTTGTGGAAAATTAAAGGCCCTGGGGTAATGAAACAGGATTTCAACAAGAATTAAATTGACAGGGCTTTCACACTACCTGCTCTCCAAACTTACTAGAAACTTACTTAACTAAGAGAGGGTGGTGCTGTCATGAAGATAGGGAAGTAAAATAGGAAGGAACCAAGAATGGGTTTGCAGGCATGTGGATTGTTGGTGTATGATGAAAATGCAGAGGCAGTTCGGTGGACTATAAACAATGTGAAAGTAACAGTATGCCCATGCAAGAAAACAAATGACCTTCCAGTCTTTACACTGTATAAAAATTCACTAAAAGTGGGTCATAGGCTTATATATAAAACTTAGAATAAATATGTGAGCTTGCAGAGAGCAGTTTTGGAGATACCAAACCAAAAATGGCCTGCAAAAATGTTAATTGATGAACTAAACTTCATCAAGATAAATCAAGCAGTTGTGCTCATTGAAAATCATTGTTAGAAAAGAAAAGGCCAGCCACGGCCTTGTTGAAAGTATTTGTAAATATTTGCGTCTGACCTTGTAGTTAAAATAGTCAGTGGTAAAGATATAAACTAGTGAAAATACAGGCAAAAGATTTAAACGAGCTGTGTCCCAAAGGAAACATGCAGGTGGCAGATGAGTACCAGCTGCTCAGTGTCTTTAGTTACAAGGGGAATGTTCATCAGACGACACAAGATGCATTGTGCATCACCAGGATGGCTAACCTTAGACATGCTGACTGTACTGTTACAAGGGGAATGTTCATCAGACGACACAAGATACATTGTGCATTGTCAGGATGGCTAACCTTAGACATGTACAGCGTGGAGAGGGCAGGGCTCTCATGCCTGGTGCTAGTTTCAAAGCATTGAATACATACCTACCTTCTGGCCCATTTATTCCAATCTGGTGTATTTTCCAAGATGTCTCCAGCATATGTTCACAAAGGGAATGTGTGCAGATGTTCATGGCAGCCTCCTTTAGGACAACCATCAAATAGAAACAATCCAAATACTCCTCAATGGATGAGGGAATAGACATATTTTGGTAAAGATGCATGTCCCTAATCCAAATACCTGGGACAAGAAGTATTTGGGGTTTAGATTTTGGAATATTTGTGTGTATATAATGAGAAATCTTGGGAGTAAGACCCAAACCTAAACATAAAATTAATTTGTCTTTTATATGTCTGATACCATGGGACAATGTTGATTTTATTCAGTGATTTACTGTACCCCCTGTGCTGCCAGGCTGCCCACCACCCCGCCCCCACCTCCACCCCGCCCCCATCTCTACCCCGCCCCCTCTCCTAAGAAGGACCCCATAAAGCTTCTTTTCCTTTTGAATAGCAGTGTCCCCTTCTGAAGAGTCTGTGGAAAGAGTCTGTGTAAGAGACATCCCATAGACTGTGTCCATGATCAAGAAGCCAGACATTTGCAGGAGGAGGAGGAGGAGGAGGAGGAGGAGGAGGAGGAGGAGGAGGAGGAGGAGGCAGGAGGTGGCATCTGTCCTGTTAACTTGATATATTTTATTTTAGGGAAGATTCTGCCTTTGAGGGGGATGGAGAACAAGATGGAAGGAGGCCGGTAATGTAGGACTTTCTGTTGTTTTAAGACAGTACTTTCTAAAGGTCTGCTGTGAACATGCCATCTTCAAAGTTGCCATGATTCTGCTCCTTGTTTTCTCAAATAACTTTCTCTAATTCACCACACAAGAAATTATTACAATTTTAAATGTAAAATTGGTGTCATTTCTAATAGTAGATAGACTCCCAGACAAATAACAATGGAAAATAACAACACTAATCTATCTGTATGCAGTTACTTATTCTTCTGTTTTTGTTTTTGTTGTTCATATGTGCTGTAGGTTTTATTAACTACTAAATGTGGAGAGGGAACTCTGTAACAGCCTGCCTCATGCAGTTAGATAGATGAATGAGATCAATCAGCAAAATTAGAAGAGGGGTGAATTTCATGTTAAATCCTGTTTGCTGGTAACTAGATCATGGAAGATTTAGAACCAAATCCCTTCAGTCAACCTGTTGTACAGTAGCATATGTTCACAGACTTTCCCAAAGGAGCCACATTGCCTCATGGTAGATGTGTGGTGACATATTGTTTATGATTTATTAAAGCCACTGGAGATCAAAATAACAAAGCAGCCACACTAGTTAGCAATAGAAACTAGATGGTGGCGTTGCACACCTTTAATACCAGGACTCAGAATTAAGAGGTAGATGGGTCTCTGAGTCTAAGACCACCCTGGGCTACCAGGGAGTAAATCAGAGCTCATGGCTTTAATCCCGGGATTTGAGAGGTATAAAAGGTAGAAGCTTTCAGTCTGAGAGTTAATCTCTAGCCACGTTGAGGAGAGCATAGCAGTCTGAGTGAATCTGAGGAGCAGTGAAGTCGGAGCAGCTTGAGGATCACCTCTTTGGTCTGAGCTGAGGTAGAGGTGAGAGCTAGTGGCTGGATGCTTGGCTTTTCTGATCTTCAGCTTGAAGCTTGAACCCTAACATCTGTCTCTGGGTCTTTTGTTTATCATGCTACGCAGATGATAAGAGATGATGGTTCTTTCTCTGACTGTGGCCCAAAGAGGCACATTGTAAACCCAACACGTAGCTTTAAGAGGTTTTGACCTGTTCAAGAACTGAAACAGTACACATGTGGTAGCTCACACCTGTGATTCTAGCATATAGGAGGCTGAGGCAGGAGGATTTCCATGAGTTTAAGGCCAACCTGGGGTATAGAGTGAGACTGTGTCTCAAAACTAGCAAAGAACCAAACCATAATGGAATGTTTCTGAGCTGATGTTTACATATGTGGCTTTCTGTCTTTGTGAGCCTGATGGCACTCACCCAGTGAGCCACAGCTAGTTGTCTCTAACCTGGGAAAGCTCACTACCCCAAGCCTGAAGTCTCAATGTGTTTTTAGAAATCTCAGGAGTGAACACTGAAAAGAAAGGCTTTCCTAAACAGAGATCATGAGCTGTCAACAAGCATGTCCTGGCTCTCCTGGCTTTCTCCTGCAGTTGTTCCTTACCCTCAGCCCCTGAAACTCAGAGTGGCCTCGCCCAGGGTCTGTAGACAACAATGAAGTCTGGGTCTATGCTCAGGAAATATTGCTGCAGAACACAGCCAAGCACTGGGAATTTTCTTAAAGACCAGCGTTGGGCTTTTGTTGCTGTGACAAACTAAGAAAACCAGCTGTTAGGAGGGAAGTTCTGTTTGGCTCATTGTCACTGCTCCAGGGTGGGACTTGGGGGAATGGAGATGATAAATGAGGCAGACTAAAGTCTCATGGGACAGCCAACTTTATACGCTGAGGTTTAAGAAATGTCACATGAGTAAAGTTCTCCTGAGTTCAAGGTGTACACAATCACAAGGACAAGTCACAAGTGGTACAAACATGTTTTTCCATAGAGGCATACAAAGGGTAGTTTAAACATTTGATTAATACAACAGCAACGAAGAATGAGTAATACGAAATAAACTTACTTCTATCTGCTACACCTTGGAGGAGCACAGAAGCTAGAAACAGTTCCATGTTTTAAAGAAACTGAGGTCACAAGATTCTTGTCTTGTTTTCTTGGAGTGGTATCATCACCAGCAGTGAGAATTCTCCTCACACAACTCTCTTCCTGGTTGTGGTCCGAGAGTTCTGGTTTCAGAAACTTCAATCTGTCACTACTTGGCCTGTTGACTTGGGCCCGTGGTGGCATGGTAAGACCTGACAAGAGTGCATGTAGGAGGAGATCTTTTCACCTCTCGGTGGTTTGGAAACAAGACCGGGGAGTTGGCAAGTGTGCCAATGTCCTCTTCCAAGGCACCTGAAGTGAATTTACTTCCTTACCTAGACTCTCACTTCCTGGTAGTACCCAGACAGGGGAGCAACCTTCAACACAGAAGCCTTTGGGGAAAATGTTTGCGATCCAAACTGTGGCAATCACTGACCCCCAGTGGTTTCTTGTGTCTAGTCAAATGTAAGAACCATTTTTGTCAATTCTTTCCATGTTTTTGTAAATAATTTCCAGAATGATTTGCTGTAAAATCCAAGTGAGGTCAACGTTGCCGAGTGACTTTTTAAATTGTGTGCTTTAGATAGAAGGCTGCTGGATCTTTGTGAGCCACTGGGCTGAAGAGCTCTTGACCAATGCTGGGAGGGTGTGTGTGTGAGGGTGAGTGTGCAGGGGGTATTGTTTTCCAACTGTTGATTTTTTTCTCAAGTAAAGAGTAAGATGTAAATAAGGCTGGCTGTTGTTATGCCCAGATCTGAGGGACCCCCCAAAAGACCAACACAGAGACCGACTCCCATATGTAAAAGTAAAGAGCCTTTATTTCAAGATCAACTTGGACCTTCAGTGTGTCTGGGATTGGAGAGTGTGAAGTTCCTTTGGGGTAGGGTTTTTATCATAGCAGAAGTTGGGTTGAGGGGATTTTTAAGGTGCAGGACCCATTATTGGCTGACACTTGTCTAGGGGCATCTTGGTGAAAGGTGATGGGTGTGTGCTGGGCTAATGGACATCTTATAATATATTAGGTATTTTCCCCTTGAATGCTGATTGGTTCTTTCCTGGGTGGTGCCTGGGTGGTCTCAGTTTGTGGTCTTTCCTGGAGTAACCAAAACTCAGGCCTACTTTCTGACTGGTCTTTATTGAGCCTGTCATGGCAACAGTGTAGCCAAGTTGCCCTGGACCCTACAGCTGCTAGTTTCTATTAGCAATACCTTCTCTGTAATCAGTGTGTCTATAAGGAGATGAATGGTAAAAGGGGGTATAGTCTATATGCACAGTTGAGACAGTTCAACATTTCAAAAGAGGACAACTGGGCCATTTTTAAGAATATGGGTAAATACAGACAGCTGAAATAAGCCAGGTACAAAAAATTTCACTATATATGAATCTAAAATAGTTGAATACATAGAAGAAGAGAGGAAAATGATGGTTACTAAGGGTTGGGAGGGTGTGGGAGGTGGTGGGCACAAAATTTCAGTTGGACAGGAGGTTCAAAGGATGTATGGTATGTGCACTGGTTATAGGCAGTAGTGCTTTATACATGAAAATTACTATGAAGGTAGTGTTCAGGTGCTTTCTTTTTTAAAAATATGAGGTGAAGTAACACATGCACTCATTAGATTGATTTAACTATTTCACAATGTACAGGTATATAAAAATGTTTGTATACAATAAATATGTGCAATACTTGCCAGTTTAAAAAGAAGTAAGAAATGACAAAATGCTGAACTGATGAACATTTGGAAGAAGGGTAAATTTGGGTTGTAAAACATGAGTTTAAGCTCACCATCACCCACCTTACATGTTATGGTGATGGTATCACAGCCAGGACTGAAACTGGTCCACTCCTAAGCTAGTGACAGCCTTGGAGCAGATTCACATCTCAGATGGGTCTGTGTCTATCAGCTTGTTGAGTTTCCTAGAACTCTGGTAGCTGTTCTTATGCTTTTAACCACTGATAGTCTAGGCTTAGTTTCAAGATGCTTTAAGCTTAAATGGTATTCTTATTTACTTTCAGTTCTTATAAAACAAAATGAAACAATGTTTGTTTTGCAAATACGTTCCCCTGTCTCCTTTTGCCTCATTGTGGGTAAAACTTGGGGCTGTACACATTGGCCATTAAGCACTCAACCATGGACCTACAACCCAGCCACTGGGAAGAGAGTTTTCACTTGATTTTGTCATGTCAGTATGTGTTGAAGTGGTGGTGTAATATTGGCAGGCAGCTGCTTTGGGACAGTTACCAGTCCCTTTCCAGCTCCAAATACTCAACTAAAGAGAATTTGTCATCCTTTGCCACAGCAACTCTCATGGAATGAGCTTTTCTTTCCCCTCGCATCTATACCTTTTCATTGTGGGAGAGAACCTAGGCTCGTAGCAGGTGTGTGTGTGTGTGTGTGTGTGTGTGTGTGTGTGTGTGTGTGTGGTTTAATTGTAAGCAGATGGTGGTATGTGTGGCATGTTTAATTGTATGCCACGTGGTGCTAATACCCACTTTTGCTGTTCTCAATCATCATCTGTTTTGGAAAAGTTTAATCTTAGGAAACATTACTTCTCTGAGGGTAATGAAGATTCAGGTTCAAGCATCAGTGAACGATCTTGGACCCGGGGTTACAAACGGAAATCCTCAAGAACATATTCCCAGAGGAGGAAGCCAAGAATCAGTTCTTTCAGGGGTAAGCTGGTTTGCTTATGTTCTTCTGGGCCCCTTTTCAGTTAAGTCAGCAGGTGTTCATGCCTCAGTATGTGATGGGAGGAGAAAGGTACCATGGAAATATGTGGCCTTGGGGATGTCCTTCCGGGAAACACGTGCAAAGGCAGAGTGTTTGCTCATGAAACTAAATGTGGGGTCAGCCTACAGTTGAAATGGGAAGTACAGCAATACAGCGGGCAAGCAGGCAGGGGGAATCTGGAATAAGCTGGAACCACCTTCTGTAAGAAGTGGGTGGGTCTCAGCTAACTCTTGGGAAAGAGTAGGATTTGAAGAGCTGAGAAGTGGATTCATTGGTTCAGTGAAACCGAAGCATGAGAGTGATGACCAGGGCAGGGGTGGAGGGGAATGTGGCTGAATGACTAGAAAAGGCTCCAGATGGAGCCATTAGCAGAAACTCATAGTGTACCCATATATGATTGGGGGCGGAGGCGTCTGTATCGCATAAGGAAACACCCATTGTGTGCTCACTTTCATTTTTCAGTCCTGCCACTTTCCCCCATCAGGAGCGGCAGAGCTCGTGAGGAAGATCAGGTAAGAGCGCTTCACTGGGTGTCCTGGGTCCTTATGGGTCAACCTGCATCACTGTCTTCAGGACTGTGAGACTAACAAACCAGCGGTCCCCTGGCATGGAGTCTGCTAACGTAAAGGTCATGGACATCTAAATATTTGTTATGAATCTCAGGTAGATTTAGGTCTTTTCTGGTCATCCTGAATACTGCTAACGGATCTTTATTTAAATACCTTTGTTGTCCTTATTTCCTACAATTGCAAGCTCTTGAATTTCTATTCCAAAATGAATGTTATTTTTCTTTAGTTTTCAATTTTCTGAGATGATTTTTAAATCACTTTCAATGGTTTTTAATGATTTCAGCATTTGCACCTGAAGTTTGCAAGGTTGAAATATCTCTAGTTCATATGAATTTTACCCATAAAGTTATAAAATTACCAAACTCTCTTCCTTTATCCTCGCTTTATATCAAAGGACTTAGGAATAGGGACACTATAAAGGGAGACTTTCTCCATCTATCTCAGACCCACTGGACTGGTTTCTCTCCACCTACTGGGTCCCACAGCCACTTAAAAATTAACCACTCAGAGACTTAATACATATTTATAATTGTTTGGTCATTGACTTAGGCTTCTTATTGACTAGCTCTCTCTTTTAATTATTAACACATTTCTATTTAGCTGTGTATCACCATGTGGTCTTGGCTTATCGGGGATGCCCAGGTCTCTTGACTCCCTGGCAGTTAGCTACATGATATCTCTCCTGTCTTCCTTCCTCCTGCCTCTTTGTTCAGAATTCCCACCTAGCTAAATTCTGCCTACCCATTGGCCAAAACAGTTTTAATCATCAACCAATAAGAGAAACACATAATCACAGTATACAGAAGACATCCCCCACCAGGACACCAGTGCCCTGGCAAGGAAGTCTTGTTAGCTGAATGTCTTCCTTCTCTTAGTAGTTGTTTTTAGTTTCTTGTCAAATCACACACACACACACACACACACACACACACACACACTACAGAGTACATCACCAGCTCATCATAATTTGATAAAGAGTAGTTAATGGGATCCCAGGGGTGCCCCACCTGCTTTTGCAGAAATAGGATGCCATTAGTAATTCAGCCCCAGGTCCTCCTGTTTTATTCTTTAGGAAGAAATAGGCTAAACCTAAGAGTCAGGATTAGTATGGTGTCCCTTGGTGTCTGGGGCAGCTGGTTCTAGTACCCTGTTTGGATACCAAAATCTGTAGATGATCATAAACTTCCTAAAATAGTGTACAATATTTACATATGACCTGTGCATTCCTCCTGTACATGTGGAATCACCATTAGATGACTTAAAATACCCTATGCAATGGAATGCTACCAGGATGGCTTGGTAGGTGATGGATCCTGCCCCAAGGTTCTGATTGAGTAACTTGTAGGTGAGAGTTGAAGATGTACATTTCTGTTGAGTTCTTCTGCTGCTAGTCATCTGGCCTGGACCACACTTAGGGTCACCAGGCTGGAGTTACCAGTTAAGATTTACTTCAGGGTTCTTCCAGTTTGTGGATGTTAGGGTTTTAGTATTTGCTGTTTTTAATGCAATCCAATATCCAATCTTCTTAAAGGAAATGTCCTGGGAGTTTTTATTGTTATATTTGAGTGTTATGAATATTAGCATTTAACAAGACTATTATATTTTAGGTTAAGCTGACACCAGTATGGAAGGGCATCTCCAGGCAAAGTGATACCACTCTTCCAAAGTTTTCTGATATAAAACTGCAAGGTAGTTCTGTGCTTTTAACTCCCGAGGCATCTACACAGAAAATAGGTACTTGATTTTCAGTTAATGTATATTATAAAAAGTATATTTGGGGATAATGGTTTAACAGAAACTAATTTTTTACTTTGTAAAATTGTGTGTGTGTATGTGTGTGTGTGCGTGTGCGTGCGTGTTTGCTGAGGGGTGCGTGTATGACAGCTTCCATGTGGAGGGCAGAGGGCAGCTTGCAGGGACTGGTTCGCTTCTTCCATGTGGGTTCCGGGGATTGAACTCAAGTCCCCAGTCTTCTCACACAGAAAATGCCTTCATCCACTAAGCTCTGTCCCTGGCACAATCTGTGAACAAGATGGTGCCATGATTTTCCTGTTTATTGTTTTCGTTAACTAAGGGTGGAAGACACTTTATTTTGATACTTAAGCATGGCTTGTACATGAGACTCTGGGACTCCTCTTAAAGACTAGACACTCAAATGGTGACCAGCAGAAAGGACCCCTAAACGGTGAAAAGGACAGAGAGTAAATAATTTTGGCTTTTGACCCTGTGTCCATGTCAGTTGTTCAACTCTACGGTCACAGAACAAAGGCAGCCACAAATAAGAAGCAGCAATCAAGCTTCTCAACGAGGAAAGGTACAGGACTTGATGGAATCGTGAGTGAGTTGTACCCAGCATTTAAAGAAGTCACAACAGAATTTCTCAAACTCCACAAACCCAAGAGGAGATAACAGTCTGAAATACACCTCATGAGGCCAATAGCTCTTCAGCTATCTAAGCTAATAAGGGAATGGGGGGAAAAGGAGTTACATATGAATGTCCCTAAAGAACATAGATGCAATACTCCCCTGGGGTGCTGGCTAGTTTTCATGTCAGCTTGACATAGGCTAGGGTCATGTGGGAAGAGGGGCCCTCAATTGAGAAAATGCCTCCATCAGTTTGCCTGTAGGTAAGTGTAGGTAAGGCTTTTTCTTGAGTGAGAGGGAACCCAGATTACTGTGGGCGGTGTCAACCCTGGGCAGGTCCTGAATAGTGTGAAAAAGCAGACTGAAGCCATGAGGACCGAACCAAACTGTTCTTCCAATGCTCCTGCTCCATGTTCCTGCCTCGAGTTTCTGCCCTGATTTTCTTCCTGCCTTGACTTCCTTTGATAATGCACTGTGATATGAAAATGGAAACCCCTTCTCCTCTCCAAGTTGCTTTTGGTCATGGTGTTGTGTTTGTAGCAATAGAAACACCAAGACAACTAGTAAACTGATTTCAGCAGCACATTAAAAACATTGTGCAACATAATCAAGTGGGATTTATCCCTGGCATTCATGGATTGTTCAACTTATGAAAACTGACAACATTCACCACAATAACAAAATGAGGATAAAAGTCATAATTTCAATTGATTTGGAAGACTATTGGAGAAAGTCTGCATCCTTTGATGATAAAAAAACACTAAAAATTTATATGTATATATATGAGGTACCTCAGCATATCAAAGGCTATGCATTAAAAGCTTATATCTCATATCAAGGGGTAAAAATGTTTTGTCAAAGATCTAGAAGAAGGTGGCAAGGTGCCCACTCTACCATTGGATACAGTTCTAAAAGCCCTTGCCAGAACAATCAACAAGACAGAAATAAAAGGAATGTTTGAAGCTATTACTTGAAAGAAAGGAATCCCAAAAATGTTACCCCAATTGTTTAGAATTAATGAACCAATTCATTAAAATTAGATGAAAACCAATACATAAAAATTAGTTGTGCCTTTCCCTGGTGAAGTACGACTCAAGATATCTGAACGAAGAGGCTCAGAACAGAACCCAGCTCCTCCACAAAGAAGACACGAAGTGAAGGGTACCCTGAACCACAGGAGGTGAGCCCTGGGGCAGAGGGATTGCAGTAGATTGCCCCCGGCCTATGAGATCCAGGTGCTTGCCCTCTAGGATAAGAGAGTGTTGCTAGGTGTGTGGGGGCTGTGCCAAGGCAATAAAATGGTTCCTATCACCTCAACCTGTACTGAGCCCAACACCCGCTACTGACAGGGTCTATAGGGATAGGACACCTAGGTACCCCTGCTGCCATGTGTGCAGTGGCCTGAACTCCTTTGATTCCAGCTGAAAACGCTGTGCCTAGATGGATATGCATAAAGGGCCTTCCAAGGGAGCTTCTCCTAGCTCTGGCTGTAGTCTCACTGTTGGGCATATAATCTAGAGGAAGGAAGAACACTAGTGTTTATGCTCCCTAACCCTATCAACAGACTCTGCTGCCACCGTCATCAACCACACACTGCTGCCAGGACCTAGTGTGTGTACAAACTCATGCCCTAACCTGTCTCTGGGTACCACCTTGACCCATACCACTGACTGTCAATGATGTACCTCTTGTGGTTTTTATTTAATGGGCCGTCTCCTTCATTTTAAGTATTTCTGTTCTTCAAAGTTTCAATCTCTTTGCTAAATCTTCTAGTTTGGATTTTGATCTCCAACTCATTAACTGTTAGGATCACTCTGGAGACTGTCTTGCCAAGGTCTTGGATTGGATAGATTTTCTTCATCTGATTGTCTCTTGTACATGATCATTAATTCTTTTAAAAACTAAAATTCTGAATTCTTCCTCTGACACAACAGCTGTCTCAGGAGTTTTGGACTCCCCTATACAGGTTATTTGGGTGGGGATGGCTCATGGGTGGTGGTCATGTCATATTCTTAACAACAGACTTTTTGAAGGAACACTAAGTCATCAAAGTCAGGAGAAGAGTCAAAATATATTGAAACAAATGAAAGGAGAAATACAAACATATCCAGTTTTATGAAATGTAGCAAAAGTAGCATTAAGAGGGAAGTGCGGGGGCTGGAGAGATGGCTCAGCAGTTAAGGGCATTCTTGCTGAGGACCCAGGTTCATTTCCAGCATCCACATGATGGCTCACAGTCATCCTTAATTTCAGTTTCAGGGCATCTGACACTCTCTTCTGGCCTCTGGGAATCACGAACATAGTACACATACATGCAGCCAACACATATGCGTGCGGATGGGCACACACACCTTTAAAAAAAAACGGAAGCCTATACCAATTAGTTTTTTTGAATGTTTAAGATAGCCTAAATGCATCTCAATCAAAGAATGTTAAAAAAAAAAACAAACTCACAATGCAGATAGGGAAAAGTAATAAAAACTGGAGCAGAGATAATCAAAATAGGAAAAAAGTAAGGCAGTGAAAGTTGTACTTTATAAAGATAAAACAGCTACACTACCAACAGCAGACTACGACACGGATATAATTGGTGATGGTGGGGACATTGTAACTAATACCGCAGAAATACATAGATTATTACAGATTATAAAACGCTACATCAACAAATTAGAGGCTTAAAAGAAATGGACAAATCTCTGGACACACATTCTACCAAAGCTGACCCACCAGGGCATAAAGTAAGAAGCAATGGAACTGGAGCAATAACAAACAGTTACCTGCAAATTAAAGGAACCGGGGAGCTAAACTGCTGAGTTTTTACCAAATTTTAAAAGAATAGTGAAAAGCCTCAAATTATTCCATTAAGCTAAACAGAGAAAACATTTACTCTTAAAGATAACTGGTGTGAGTATGAATGAGTGTGCCAGAGATTGACATCAGGTGTCTTTCTCAATTGCTCCTTACCTTAATTTGTGTGTGCACATGCAGGCCAGAGGAGAACTGTTTGGTGCTAGTCCTTGCCTTCTCACTCTCTCAACACAGGGTTTCCTGACCGCTGCATATTTAGGCTAGCACAGCCCACGAGTTTCTGAGGGCCTTCCGCCTGTGTCTGCCTCCTTTCTTTCCCATGGGCACAATGAGGTTATCGATGTTTGTGCTCTTACATCTGCCTTTTACTTTCCTGTGTTTGTACTACCATAGACGTTTGTGCTACTGCACGTGCCTCTTATGCGGTGTCTAGGATCCAGACTTGGGTCTCCAGGCTTGCATGGCAAGCACTTTGACTCACTGAGTCACCATCTCGACCTGTTGCCAGCATTGGTAATAGCATTGCCCTGTTATCAAAATGTGACAAGAATACAACAAACTACAGCACAGAACACCTGATGATTATATATGAATTCTTAACAATACACTAGCAAGCCACAATTCAATATATCAAAATATCTTTCACCATTATAAAGTTGGTTTCACAGCCAAACATTAGGCAGAACTTGGTTAATCCTGCAGAAGAGGAAGAGAAAGGACTGTGGGAGCCAGAGGGGTCAAGGACACCACAAGAAAACCCCCAAAATCAACTAACCTGGGTTCACAGGTGCTCACAGAGACTGAACCAACAGCCAAGGAGCCTACATGACTATGACCTAGTTCCTCTGCACATATGTTTGTGTACCTTGGTCTTCTTGTGGAACTCCTAAACAATGGGAGAGGAGGCTGTGTCTGACTCTGTTGACTGTTTGGAGACCCCCCACCCCACTGGGTTGCCTCATCCAACCTGAAAATGAGGAAGGTGCCTAGTCTTATTGCAACTTGATATGTCAAGTTTGGTTGATATCCCTGGGAGGAGGGAGGGTTTGAAACTGCAGTCAGATTGTAATATATGAGAGAAGAATTAAAAATACACTACTAAAAAAATAAAGGTGTGCAAAATTCAAGAATGATTCGGGGGGGGGAGGTGTGCGATGGAATTAGCCACCCAGGAAACGACTATCAAACCTGCACTGAGTGACTGGGACTATAGACCAGTGAGAGAGCTTTTGGATGATGCACAAAAACAAACAAATCTGACTATAACAAGAAACAAGCTTGCCAAAGTTCTGACAACTTATTTTAAAATACCGTTGGTAAGGATGTGGGCAATGGCAGCTCTTATACAGCAAGCTACCACAGAGACCAGTGTGAGGCTTCTTACGGAACAAAGAGTAGACTTACCATATGGTGTAGCTGCCCCGCTTCTGAGAATGCAGTCAAAGGGAATGAAGTCAGCATGCCAGAGACGGAAACCTTTAGGGTGAGGCTTAAATAGGAGCTAAAATGTGGGGTCAGCCCAGGTGCTCCTACACAGAAAGATGCACAGGCAGCAAAGATGTAGCATTTATATGAAATGTGTTATCAAGCCGTAGAGAGGAATGGCATCTTGCCTTTTGCATCAAAATGGATGGAACCTGGGGGATTTGTGTGAAATAAGCCAATTGTAGACCAGTACCACGTGTCCTTTCTCATTTGTAGAAGCCAAATTCCTCTAAGTGCATGCCATTTTGATGTGTAGAAACATCACACTCCTTTAATATGTGTAATTCTTGTTTTAAAATCTGTTCTGTCCTCTATGCTGGCAGAGAGTTACCTGAAACAAGATGAGAAGATGATCCCATTTATAATGGGAAAAGCAATAGGACTAAACTAAGCAAGGAAGGGAAAGTTCTGTGTACTGAAGGAGGAAGGAAGACTCTAAGGAAGAGTATTTGAAGAAGGAATGAATACATGGAGGGCGCTCTCGCCTCCTGGGCCGGAAGAATGGATGTTTTAAGAATATCCAAAGTAATTTGCAGCTTACATGCAGTCTTTGTCAACATTCTAAATACATTCTTCACCTAAATAGAAAGAAAATAAATTCCTAAAAACTGGCAAATTGTTGATATTTAAAACCTGTAAGAAACTTGCAGTTTCAGTGTGAAAAAAGAATTAAAAATGGACGAAATACCCAAATGCCCACCAAATCTATGGAAAGGTGCTCGGTGTCCCAAGACGATGGAACAACTTAAATGTCCACTAGTGAATGGGAGGTTGACAAAGACTGTGGTGGCCATAGGATTCCATCCATGCTCTATGAAAAAACGAAGTCTTGCCTTTTGTGGAAAAGGTGAGTCTACAGGGTGTTTCCCCACATGAAATGAGGCCAATGGAGAGATGCTGTTGTATGATCTTCACCCACATGTGGAATCCAAAAATTTCAAAAGCCACAGAAGCAGAAAATACGATGTTTACCATGTGGGAGGAGAATCAGAGATGTCCAAGCAAGCGAGTCTTATATTTTTAGACGAACAATTTCTGCAGGTGGTGAATGTGTTAAATTAATTTGGATGTATGGGCGTATCAAGTCATCATACACAGGAAAGAGTATTGAAATAAAGGAGGCAATTAAGTCAGAGGAGAAACAAGGTTGTGTGGAGTCCTTGTCCGTGTTCTTAGGGGCAGATGGGCAGCAAGCCGAGGGAACTGACTGTTCATTTTATCTCAAACCCTGCAGTATACATGTCCCGAGAGACTTGAAAATTTTGTTTGGGACTGTTCCTCATCTTCTATGATAAGATCTGGCATAGAGAGCAGTACAGAATGCTATTTATCTGTGTTTCTTGTTCTAATTACTCGCTGGGAATTGTTTTCTCTAATATTCAGAATTTCGAAGTCCTCATGTATTGGGCGGTCTCTCTCCCTTAGAGCACCCAGAATTTGAAGAAAACGTACCTCAGGTACCATTGATTATTCATTCAATTTTCTAGAATTAAGATTATATTTGCATAAAATAACTGCTTATTCTGTCGACAGGATGCTACAGTACTGTTTTCTTCTTTTGCAATTATGTATATGTACCAATTATATGTATCTGTATTTTGTGTTTTAGATTGCGAACCGAGAGACATTCATGGAAAACAGTAGCTTCAAACACAAGCTAGAAAACTCAGAACACACAGGTGGTTAAGTAATTCATTTATTAAAAACAGAAATTAATCTGGGCCATTTTTCAGATTGCACCAGATAAAAATCACTTTGCACATGTTCCTCTCATTTTTTAACTTTTTATTTAAATTAGAAACAATCTTATTTTACATATCAATCCCAGTTTCCTCTCCCTCCCATCCTCCCATACCCCCACCGACCTCCCCATCCTACCCCCCATCCACTCCCCAGGGACAGTGAGGCCTTCCATGGGGGATCTTAAAAGTATGTCACATCATTTGGGACAGGGCCTAGGCCCTCCCCCATGTGTTTAGGCTGAGAGAGCATCTCTCCTTGGGGAGTGGGCTCCCAAAGTCCATTCGTACGTGTTTTTAAAATTGCTGATATTCTTTGATTTCATGATCTAATTCCTCTACTTTATTTTCAGGTCCCACATTTTCTCTTCTGCTTGATCCTTTCTACCAGTCAGAATTTCCCCTGAAATTTCTGATTGGGTAATTGAATTTTTCATTTCCAACTTCATGTCAGCTTGAATTTTCTTCAGTATTTCTATCCTTTTTTGTAGTCACTTTTTGAATTATTAATTGTCTTCATCATTTCATTCAGCATATGTTTACATTTTCCTGGGTTTTAAGCAGGTGTTTACTCCTTTTGTCTTTAAGTTCTTCCCCTTGTTGTTCTACTCTTTAAACTCCTTGATTCTTTGGTCATTTTTTCTAAGTTCCATGTCATTGGGTTCATCTAAGTAATTCTCCTTGGCAAAGATTTCTACAGTTCTTGGTTCTGGGGAGAGTCATGTCCTCACCTCTCATGGTTTGTGCTTTGTGATATGACCTGGGCATGTGGACCAATTTCACTGGTTGTACACCTGACCAGCCTCTATTAAGTAGAAGGTTTTGCTATTGTCTAAAACTGGATGACTTCAAGATATGGTGTGAAGAGCTTGTAGGTCAATCCTTCTGCTGTTTGACTTTGATTTTTGGCAGGAGAGATTGGGTTGATTCCAATTCACTGGTAACCAAAAAGCAGGTGAATTTGGCTCAAGTTGGGTCTGAGCATAGAAAGGTTATGGTATAGGATATCAGGTCTGGGACTGACTTACTGATAGAATAAGCAAGTGTCTTTTCCTGGTAAGCCAGGATGATGTGCCTGGCTGTTGTGAAGGTGGGAGATGCTAATACTTAGCCTGGGAGTGTTGGGGTGATGTTAGCAGGCACCTGAGGCTTCACTCCTGTGCTACTCCAGATGGTCTGAGGAAATTGTCTGACAAGCTTTCCCTCCTATGAGAGGTAGTCTGGCAAAGTCATCCAGCTGGTGTATATTCCTGGGTAATTTTGGGTGGGCTGGGAAAAGCTGTGTGGGGTCTACCATGTTTTCTTTAGTTAACACATCTGTTGATAAACACATAGGTTCATTCCATAACTTGATTATTTTGAATGATGCCTTAACCAGTTGTCTTGGTAGTATGCAGACTTAGATTCCTTTGGATATAGGCCCAGGAATGGTATAGCTGTGTTGTATGGTAGCTCTGTTAGTGTTTTGAGAATTGTCCATACTGGTGTTTGTACCATGCATTCTTACCACCAGCCGCCTGGGTCCTGTTGCTGCTTTAGCCCACAAATAATACTACATTAATTATGAACCTGTTGGCCATTTGCTATTGTTTCTCACTGGCTAGCTCTAACTTAATTATTGACCCATAATTACTAATATATATTTTTATAAGGACTTATCTGTCTGAGGATGCCCTCCTGACATGTTCTCTCCTCCCAGGAGATCACATGGAGATCCTCTACCCTTTTCTACATTTCCCAGAATCCTCCTCGACTCCTTGTCCCAACCTATCTTGCTTCCCTATTGGCCAACAGTGTCTTATTTACATATACACAGAAGGACTTCCCCCATCATCTCCTATTTTCTGTCTAAATAAAAAGAAAGGTTTTAACTTTAACATAGTCAAATTATATATAACAGAATAGTTATCAAGTAAGAACTATAGTTACAATATTTTGTCCGTTAACATTTAGTAAGATTTTTAAAAAGTATTTTATTATCTATCCTATCTGTGTGAGTCTAAAGTCTTAGTTGTAGCTTATCTTTTATCATAACTAAGGAAAACTATAATTATAACTATCTGTCTTCAACTCCATCAAAGACCACAGAAGGATAATATATAAACACTAGAACTGACAGAGACATCTTGCTACCTGGACAGTCACCCAAAGTTCCTCTGTAACCTTGGGGCATCCATCTTCAGACCATATGCCACAGTGTGTCTGGAAGACTTCTCAGCAAAGCAGGAAATTTTAAATAGTCCACCTGCATTGGAAGTTTGTCAGTCATTTTTCTGTGTCCTGCAGACTCTTCCATGAAGCAGGAACCCTGTAGGACTTTCCAAGGTCAGCAGTCACTTTCCTGTAGGTCCTGCATGTCCAGTTTATACAGCAACAGTCAAACAGTCCAGGCAAGAGCAGTTTCTTGCCCAAATTACTAATCTTGCCATGTTGAAAGCAAACTCCATAATGAGTTTCTTTGATGCCCATCTTCTTCTCAGATGTAATTGGTGTGCCAGAAGCAGACATTTCTCATTGTCAAGAAAAACCCTAAACCATTTTAAATGCCATTTTCTGAAGGTCTTTGAAAGGTCTGAAGACTATATATCTATCTCAAATATCTCTGTGTGTGTGTGTGTGAGTGTGTGTGTGTTTGTATGCATGTGCTTGTGTGTTTGTGTGTGTGTCTGTAGAGGTCATGAGTGTAAGAGGGGGTAGATTGGGGAACACAAGAAGAGTTGGGTGGGGAGAGGGCTGTAAAAAACCCGAATCAACACAGAGCAGTGCAGATGCAGTGGGAGCATGTGTGAGATGCTCAAAGGAAAGAGGACACTGGAAGCGAAAGGAATGTGCACACAGAGTTTACTGTAGTGCTGCTTATGTTTAGAGATACCGGATGGAGGTATTGCTGCCCCAAAGCAATCAAGATTAGAAGATGCTCCAGGATCCCCTGCTCTGACAGGTAACTTCATGCACCCAGCCAGCAGCTGAGGAGGGATGATTGATGTGTCTGTTCTTAAGGTACCATTGTGCATGACAAGAGCTACATTCTAAGATCACCAGGGCTACTGCAGCCTGTGTGGTAAGCATTTTGTTCTTTCCGAGATGAACAAATTGTTATACAAATTCTAGATAAAAGCAAGCATCCTTCTCTTCAAGCATTTTATGTCTGCACTGTAGCTCTTCTTAAAGATCTGCAGATTCTAAAATTAGAGGCTTCTGCTTAGCCGATAGTTATTGTATTTGTGTGTACATGTAATTTATAATCAAAGGGAGTGAACTGGCATGTGTATGTGAGCTTAGTCACCTTTCTGAGTGAATAGTATTATGTATTTAAATGGAAGGCTCCAAAAAGACAAATTGGGAAGCCCAGAGGCATAAGAAAGTTATGATTTGATATAACCTACATTCAATTCCTGGAGCTGCTGGTGTAGACTTGCAGAAGTCATGTGTTGCCGATGTTTCATGTGAATCTAGAAACAGATAACTATGGTTTTTGTAAGGAATGAATGAGACCTGTTATATCCTCTGTTATTTATGCACACACATATGCATGTATGAAAGTTAGAGGACAACTTTCTGGTGTCAGTTTTCTTCTTCTTCTTCTTCTTCTTCTTCTTCTTCTTTTTTTTTTTTTTTTGCTTTTGGGTTTTTTGTTTGTTTGTTTGTTTGAGACAGGATTTCTCTGTATTGCTTTGGAGCCTGTTCTGGAACTCACTCTGTAGACCAGGGTGGTCTTGAACTCACAAAGCTCTGCCTGCCTCTGCCTCCCGAGTGCTGGGATTAAAGGTGTGCGCCACCAACGCCCAGCATCAGTTTTCTTCTTATACCATATGGGCTCCCAGGATTGAACTCTGGTCATCAGCACCGTCACCCACTGAGTCATTACACTGTCTCCCCTGTTGTGTGTTCTTTACAACTCCCTGTAATACCCAAGCCTTGTTCATAGATACAGTATCAACTGATCTGATTTAAGGTGCTGAGAAGGTTTGGCTGGGATGAACACTTGAAAAAGTGTGGGATTTGGTGGGAGGCAGCATGAGGTACTTGTCTCACTGATTTAGAATGAGCTAGCTAGTGAGGTCATGGCCAGGGTCGTCCGTGCTTCAGAATCAGATCCAAATAGCTAGCTGGGGGTGTGTACAGTTTATATTTGTGCTCCTGGGAAGTTGTTGTGTCCTCTGACCACCAGATTGACCAAGCATGTCTACTTAAACATTTTTGTCATCATTAATATTTTATTTTTGTTTATCAGATATTTCTACTCCATCTCAAGAAGATGTGCCAGAAACTGCAAATAGTTGTGCTTTTAAAACAGCCTTTGAAAACTTCACTAGGGATCTGAAAAGAAAATTTGAGGTATCAGTCCACTAAAGCAGGAAATGTGGAATCATCCAGAAAAACACTGCCTGACCTCATCAATAAACGTGACATCTACAACAGTTCAATGAAAAGGCAGAGGTTACCGGGGACCAGAGGTGGGGGTGGGGGTGGGTTGGGGGTGGACAGGTACTGGTCAGCAGGCACAAATGGATCGAGCGATCTCTCCAGTTCCATGTTTTCAATTTGTCAACTACATTTCTCAATAAGGTTGGGCAAAAAGCCAATAAACAGAAAACACAGCTCACTCTGAATTTAATGTACCAAGTTTCTTTAATTGTTCAGGAGTGCAGTGTCCTTCATGTGCAAAGGTCTCCTGAGTGTGAGGCAGGGGCATTCCTCTAGGCTATGGTCACTGATTTTTGTTGCCATTCTGAACTGTAGTTTGTATCGTTAAGACGACTCCCTGTCCATTCTCTCCAATGGGACCAAATGTTCCTGACTTGGTTTCACTGGTGGCATTTTCAGAGGGCAATGATTTGGCCACAATGACAGACGGGACCAAGATACAGAGGGAGGAGGATGTGGAGGCTGTCTGTTTAATAACAGCAGATCTTTGAGACCCTGGGCACGCAAGCCACCCAAGCTTTGTCTGTGAAATGCATATCACAGCAATTTCAGGCTCCTCAGACTTTGTCTTATTATTTGAAAGTTTCCAATGACTTCTGTATCAGCATATTTGAGAAGCATCCTCCAGAGTCCTGTTTCTGCAATAAACTAATGTATAATGGGAACAGTATATACATCATATCAAGAGTATGAGTATATATTTATATGTATATATAAATAGTGTGAATGTATTGTATCAGTAGTATGAATATAGGGTTTTCTAGTTTCTCTTGTTCTTGATCATACCAAACCCAAGGCAATGCCTGAAATGTACACAGGATGATAGCTTCCTGAAGTCTCTTGGCAGGAAGGTTTCCCTTGAGCATCACTGGATGCTGCTGGTATCTTTCTAATATGGTAAATACTCAACTTATGGGCCATGCTTACCCAAAATGCGATTATTTGTTTTTTGTTTGTTTGTGTGTGTGTGTGTGTGTGTGTGTGTGTGTGTGTGTGTGTGTGTGTGTTATGGCTTTAGCTCAAGCAGAAAGAGATTCCATTTTCTTCAGAGAAGGCAAAGGAAGTACCAGGCTGTCTAATCAGATTTTGGAACCAGATATACACGTGCAGGTAAATACTGGCTAGAAAAGCAGAGGCATGGGAGTGAAACAACATTTATCTCGTGACGTGTGTGTGTGTGTGTGTGTGTGTGTGTGTGTGTGTGTGCGTGTGTGTGCGCTGCATGCGCTCATGCGCAGGGGACAGGCTGAGGAAATATAGAGTGAGGGGATGGGAGGCTTCCTGTGTATTTTAACCTTTATGGTTTCTTGTTCTCCATTTATAAGATGAGAGCTGGAACTCAGCATTCCCCTTCATCCTCTTCATCATCTACCAATGAACAATTCTAAAACAGGCTTCTTTAAAAATGATAATCCCCTTGTGAAGACAGGGCAGGCCTGGGGAGCCATGGAAAAACTGACTACGTGAAGTGTGGTATATTCACGCCACTGACTGTTGCCCAGCCTGGGGAAGAAATTTACGTATTTGGTTAAAGAATAATTACACCACTTTCTCCCTTCCCCTTCCACCCTCTACCCCTCCTAAGTGCCCTCCCTCCAGCTCCTTCCATGCCACCCTCTCTCAAGCTGTAAGCATTGCATGGTTCCACTTAAATGAGAGGTCCCCACTAGGGTGAGTAGAAATTTACAGAGACAGAAAACACCAGAGAGGCCGAGGGAGAGGACTGTTACTGTTTCATTGGCGCACATTTTATGTTTCTCATGATGAGCAAACTTTGTAAATGTGCAACGGCGAGGCTGCAGAGCACCGTGAATGAGCCTAGTGTTTGGATTGCCCTCTTAAGCATGCTTAGAAGGGTGAATGTTATCTTGTGCTGTGATAAGAAAATAGAATACATATAATACCCTTATGACCGAGTCAGTAGAAGTGCCAACGTGCCTGCATGTCAGCGGAGTGAAGAAGGAAAGAAGTGAGCACTGGATTTCCGTGTTCTAGACTCAGTTTAGAAAAAGTGCTATGGAAACATTTTTTGGATGAGATTTTGGGATCAAAGATTTGAGTGGCATAGAGAAGAATTTTGAGAGAATGGCTTGAAATGGGGCAGGTCTGGGGGTGGCATTTGCTTAGCTGTCATAGAAACGCTCTTGGGTTACAATTGTTTTTCAGTTTCTTATGTACATGCAGTGGCCAGACAAAAAGCCACGGAGGGCTCTGGATTTGTGGGCCTTATCTTCAACCCCATATCCACTCAGCTAACACATGCAGAACAATAATTCCAGATGCTCACTCCATGCTCAGTGTGAGGGCCAGCTGTGAGATAGCTTTCTAATTAACAGATACCTGAGGTAGCCAGGCATGGTGGCCATGCCCATAATTCCAGAACATCACAGGCTGAGGCAGGAGAGTTGCCATGATTTTTGGCCAGTCTGGGCTACGTAATGAGGTTTAGATCAGGCTTAGAATGCAGAGTGAGACCCCATTGCAATAAAGGTAGGTACCATGTGAATGTGTTTGCACATATGTTGAGTCATGATTTTGGAGGATTTAGTCTGTGATCAATTGGCCCTTGCTCTGGGCTTTTCGGTAGAGGGAAGGCATCATGGCAGAATGGGTAGTAGAGAAAACTGCTCAATTGACAGGAAAGAGAAATAAGAGCCCTGCATCTCAGGGACACATTTGGGGCGTGCTCACAATGATCCCAGTAGGTCCTATCTCCCTCAATTTCTAATGCTACTACCCTGGAACAAAGATGTTTAATGTTTCCCATCCAAATGAGCAGAAAGCCACAGGGACTCTGTTTCTATGGAACATTGGGCCTAAAGGAAAAGAGAGACAGTGTGCCAACAGACAAGCCATTTATATGATGGCTAGACACAGAATGCTAACTGTTGGAAAATTTGAAACTAAAACACAGAGGCAGGAAAAGGGTGCGTGAACCTCCAGACCATAGCTCTCACAGCAGCCCCGTGTCAGACAGAGGGAAAAAAGCAGAAGGTAGAAGGGGACATTCAGTCACCTTTCCTGGGACCCAACTGTCCTGCATTGTGAAGCTAGGGATGACATGTGGCCCCCTCTGGGCTGCTGCCAGGGGCTAGGTGAGAGTCCATGGGTTTCTGGACATGAAAGGGTAGGCAGAGAGTGAAGACTTTAAGACAAGACTGTCTGGTGGACGGGCTCTCTAGAGAACATCCTGTTACACCCAGTTGATCCCACTGAAGTCTGTTGCTTCGTGTTTGGCAGGCTGAACAAGCTGGAGAGGTTTCACAGCTCTGTTCTTCAGGAGCTGAGCGACTTGGAGATGGATCTTCAGGCTCTCACATGCCTGGAAGAGGATGCTCTGGCAAGTCCCTTGCTTGTCCTGTCTCTGGGAACAAAGAAGACATTTTCTAGGGGAAAAAGGAAGCAAGGAGTGTTTAGTTGAAATCTTTATTCCTTTTCAGGAGTTTTGGGAGAAACGGTCGTCTGACTTGCGATCATCATGTGATCAGCAAACATTGAGGTACCTTAAAAACCATTCTTTCTAGAAGCATCTTTTTGTTGCTTTTTGTTTGTTAGGGTTTCTATATGGAGCCCTGGATATCCTGGAACTCAGTATGTATTCTAAGCTGGCCTCAAGCTCACGGAGGTTTGCCACCTCTGTCCCCTGTGAGCTGGGATTAGAAGTGTGTGCCACCACATCTGGCTCACTGACATTTCAAACATAACATTTTACTTACTATATATGTATTATGATGAAGGCTGTAGCTTGTATGCCACCACGCACATTTAGAAGTTAGAGGATGATTTTGTGGGGCCAGTCCTCCTGCCTTTAAATGGATCCAGGGATCAAACTCAGGTCGCCAGGCTTGCATAGCAAGCATCCTTATCTACTGGACCATCTTGTGGCCCCAACATGACATATAGAACACATGTACATATAGAACACACTTCTCTCCTACTTACTCCTGCCACTTTCTCTTGTGCCCCTCCTGTCCCTGCAGGTCCCCTCTTTCTCAGGAACTAGTTTCCCCTCTACTGGCAATAGCCACCACTGTCTCTCCCTATCTTGTACCTGCTTTTGAGTCCTGGAACTGGGAGGAAATCCCACTTTGGGGCGGTGTGGAAAAGCAAATAATGTGTTAATGTTACCCCCGTGACTCTCAGAGCTTTGGCTTCGCAGGGCCTCTGGCTCCTTATGGGTTCCCCAGCCCACACTTTGAGAGCAGCTGAAGAAAGCCACTCTACTTTAAGTCTCAGGGAAGTCTTCTAAAACACAATCGGCTCGTTTATTTCAATTATCCCCTACTCCCGATTTAAGCAGCCCACTATCCAGTTAGCAACATTAGATAGTAATTACTGTATATACTTATCTCCCTCTGATTCAGGCCCTGGGGTTGGGGGGATTTAGCATGTCTTAGGGAATAGCTCTCTCTTCCAAATGTACATCTTTAAACTTTTGCTTTTTTTCTCTTTTCTTCCCAAGGCATGAACACAAACAATCCCCTGGCTTGTAAATGCAGATAAATATGGTGCTTTTAGCTCACACTGACTGATGTCTGGGCTGGCTGCTCTGGGATTGAGTGTTCAATGTTTAGTATCCCTGCAAGAGGTTAGGTAGCTCAATCCTGGGGATATATCAAGGATACCCTCAAACTAGGTTGTTTCAACCTCAAGTCTACAGCTTCAAGGAGTTAAGAATTCAGAGCTTTGAATGGTGGTTGTAGAATGCCTCATATGTGTGGGCTAGTGGTCTTGACAGAGGCAATTCCTAAGATAGACTCAAGTGGAAATATATATGAAGCCAGCCTGGTCTACAGAGTGAGTTCAAGAAACCCTGTCTGGAAAAACAAACAAACAAACAAAAACCAAAAAGAACCCAAAAAACAAAAAGAAAGAAAGATAGTAATTGGGTTGCTACAAACCCTCCTCGGGCATTGTCAAGTATCAATCTATAGACTAACCTGGTGATACATACATAGATGTACATTCTTGTTTTTAACATGCCTAATATGAATGTAATAAGTGATGGATCGATTTCTTCCAGGTTTAACTCAACTCAGTCTTCATAAGAAAAGCCAAAGTTTGGCTTTATGACTGCACCCTCAGGTAGGTAGAGAAATTGACATTGTTTGGTCCTTGTGAGTTAAGCGCGGAAAAATCTGCATGCTTTCTATGTCCTTTCTGCTCTGAGCTTCCTCCAACCCTATGATTAGGCTCTCAGGTCAGTCACTCAGTCTTTATAATTGAGTGCCTGCCCCACCTGTCAAACACTGCAGTCAACATGGAGAGACCGTGGCTGATCAGCATGCAGACACATTCCTATCACATCAACATCAGAGAGATGGCTCAGGAGACAAAGCCGTTTTCCATTCTCTCTGCTTTCTTACTAACAGTTAAGCATAGAACTGAAGGGTTGTGTTTAAGATTGTGACCTCCTAGAATGTCAGAGTCACAGACGTGACTCCAAAAAGGAGTGACAGTCTTTTGTTGACTGTGAGTTCAAAGGGCCCAAGAGGTATGATGGTTGTGCCTTGACTAATCACTGTTCTCCGTTTCCTTTCCCACCAGGTACAACAGCATGAGGAGGGAGATGGAGTCTGTGGTACCTTGGCCCAAGAGCTGTCCTTCAGAGCTATGCTCAGCAGCAAACAGCCCTCAGAAGCTGCTGAGAAAGGGCAGCATGATAGGGAGGGATAGGGCATGTTCACAGCTTGTACCATATTACTCATTTGTTCAGAGAAACTAAGCTTTCTGTTCAAACTTGGTCCAGTCATAGAAAAGTCCAAGATGTTTAGCCATTTCAAGTGGTTTACTTTTCATATCATTTAAATAGAGTAAACTTTATTTCAGTTTGAGAAGTGCTTTCAAATTTTGTGGAAAACAGAACTTCAGCCATGTCTGCATAGAGATTATTTCATAAACCCCTTTAAAGGAAAAATATCCCGAAAACAGAATGAGATGAGAACAGGTTGACATGAATTATAAGGGGGACACGTTTGCTCTTGAGAGATTCCTACTTCTCCAGGTCTCTGTCCCAAAGCACATGCTCAGGGGAAGAGACACATTCCTCCTGCAGACATTCCTCTATTGAGATGTATCTGCAGAGGCCTGCATGCACAGTGGGGTGTCTGAATTATTTTAGAGAAGTTAAACATATTATTTAAGGCCACTCACAAAGTCAGATGGTTTACGGCTGGATAAGTAGAGACTGTGCATTGATCAGTATGTTCTTGATATAACACAGTGAGTTATATTATAGGCTACATATTAATTTGTAGTTTTTCTTAATACAAATGTATGTAATCCTAATTATCGAGTTTTTTCTTTATAACTTTTAATGAAGTTGCTTTAGTGCATTGCCATATGCTTTTGCTTATAAGAACACATATATTCTTTAAACTAAATTTATCTATCTATCTATCTATCTATCTATCTATCTATCTATCTATTTTACAACCTGGCTTCTGTTTCCCCTCCCTTCTCTCCTCCAAGTCCCTCACTTCCTTTCTGCCCCCACCAGTCCACTCCCCCCCTTTTCTGTTCAGGAAAGGGCAGGTCTCCCATGCATACCAACAAAACATGGCATATCAAGTTGCAGTAAGACTAAGTACCTCCCCATGTATTAAGGTTAGGCAAAATGATCTAGTATAAGGAGTAGGGCCCAGAAGCCAGTAAAAGAGTCAGAGACAGCCACTGTTCCCACTGTTAGGAGTCCCACAGAGGACCAAGCTGTACAACTGTCACGTATATTCAGAGGGCCTAGGTCAATCCCATGAACGCTCCCTGGTTGTTAGTTCAGTCTCTGTGAGCCCCTGTGAGCCCAGGTTAGTTGATTCTGTGAGTTTTCTTGTGTCCTTGATCTCCTTGGCTCCTACAGTCCTTTCTCCCCACAGACCTGGATTATAACATAGTTATCCTATACTTTGTAGCTAATATCCACTTATGAGTGAGTACATACTGTATTTGTCTTTCTGGATCTAGGTACTTCACTCAGGGTGATTTTTTTTTTTTTTTGGTTTTACGAGACAGGGTTTCTCTGTATTGTTTTGGAGGCTGTTGGTCCAGCCTGGCCTCGAACTCATGGAGATCCCCCTGCCTCTGCCTCCCGAGTGCTGGGATCAAAGGCGTGCGCCCCCACTGCCTGGCTGGGGTGATTTTTTTCTAGTTCCATCCATTTGCCTTCAAATTACCTAGTGTCCTTGTTTTTAACAACTGAGTAATAATCTATTGTGTAAAGGCACCACATTTTCTTTATCTGCTTCTCAGTTGAAGGGCATTTAGGTTGTTTCCACGTTCTGGCTATTACAAATAAAGCTGCTATGAACATAGTTAAGCAACTGTCCTTGTGGTATAAATTAGCATCCTTTGGGTATATGACCAAATGTGTTATAGCTGGGTCTGTGGCATAGATTGATTCCCAGTTTTCTGAGTAACTGCCACATGAACTTCCAAAGTGGCTGTACAAGTTTGTACTCCCACCAGCAATGCAGGAGTGTTCCTCTGACTCCATAACCTCTCCAGCATGATGTCACTTGTGTTTTTGATCTTGGCCATTCTGACAGGTTGTAGGATGGGATCTCAGGGTTGTTTTGGTTTGTATTTCCCTGATAGTTAATGATGTTGAACATATCCTTAAGTTTTTCTCGGACATTTCAGATTCTTCTGTTGAGAATTCTCTGTATAGATCTGTACCCCCTTTTTAAATTGGATTATTCAGTTTGTTGGTATCTAGTTTCTTGAGCTTTTTATATATATTTTAGAAGTCATCCCTCTGTTGGATGTGGGCTTTGTGAAGATCTCTTCCCATTCTGTAGGCTGCTGTTTTGCCCTATTGACAGTAAACTTTTCCTTACAGAAACTTTTCAGCTTCATGAGATCCCATTTGTTAAAAAGCACATATACTTTTAAGTACAGAAAATTAACAAGTGATGTGCATGTACATGCATGTGCACATATACTCACATACAATTAAAAATAAAATCTTTCAAAATATCAGTTAATGAGGTTAACTGTTCTTCATTTAGAAACATCCAGTTTAAGGTTCATCACTTCTGATGAAATAGTATTTTGTAGGTTTCACTGCTATTTCTGATAGACACCTAAAGAGTACATGTGACTTCCTTTAACTGGGGAACTCACATTGAAGCACTATTTTCTAGAAAACCTTGAGTTCAGCTTATATGGAAGAATCTAGGATGCACAGTGAGATGGGACTGTAGATATTAAGGACTTCTGTGGGAGACAAAAGGGCATCGAGGTGATTCCTTGTATATCAGATGTAGCTGATACTGCAAAGTCATAAGGAAAGAGGTCATTTTTACTGGGCAATCAAGAATGGCTTCCTAGAGGAGAGGTACTATTTGAAATATATCTTTCAGGATAAGGATGGTTTTCTTAGGACAAAAAGAGAAATAAATATGGCCAGTTGAAGTATGGCAGACCAAGAATTTGTTCAAGGTCATGAACTACAGAATATTCTAAGGAATGAAGTTTGTCTAGGCCCACATTAACCTTCATTTACTTACATGTTTGGAAGGACTGATTGCATTGGTGAGAACTTTTGCTAGAGAATGATAAAGTTAGCACAGTGGCTTAGGAAGACTAGGATGTATGCAGTGGAATCCAGTGTACTTGGAAGAGGCTACTGCTATGGCAAAGGCTCTAATTACAGCATACTTAGTACATTAGTTACCTTTGAATTGCTGTGAACAAAGTATGTGACAGAAACGGCAAAGTTACCTCCAACTATTGTTTAGAGGGTTCAGTCCAGAATGGTGGGGATAGCATCGTGGAACCCATGGGAGGGGAACAAGTGGCAGATCTTCCCTTCTTGTTGCATGCAAGAGAGTAGGGAATATCTAGAAATATGGGCCAGGCTCAGTCCTTCAAAGGCCTGGCTCTACTTCTCTTAGTGAGGCCCCATCTCCTCAAGGGACCATAATCCCCTAAAATAATGCCACCAGTCTAAAGTCAGGTGTTCAAAACATGAATCTGAAGGAATGTTTGAGACTCAAACCCATGACAGGAATGAAGGGAGGGAGACACATCTGAGTGACAATGGTACATCTTGAAAACCCAACCAGAGTCTTTCCTGAGCTTGGTTGCAGGTGCAGTGTTGCTGTTGGCTTGCCCTCACGGGAATGCTGTTCTGAAGAGATCAATAAGATCAAACAATTATACAAATAAAGGGGGAAAACAGCTTTCCAAGTGCAGTGCTGGGCTGTATGTGAGCAGCCTGGACCTGGCTTGACCTGGAGAGTAGCAGCATAGATGCCTGATGTGGGCATGGATGTGATTTGGGGGGATGGCAGACTCTTTGGCCCCAAGCGACCTCCTCACCCTGACTCTAATGACTTTGCATGGTACTTTGGGATCATTTCCATCTTTGGATCAATGCCTGCTTCCCTTTTGACATGGTCCTAGGGAGGAATGATGCTCTGCCCACCACAGGGGCTCCACTGCCCTCTGTGAACTTGGCTTAATTCCTCATAGCGAACACTCCTCTGTGTCTGACCGTCCATGTTCCACAGCAGCTTTTGTAAGTATTTGCTTTGTCCCCATGACTCTGCTCACTGCTTGGCACGCAACGTGATAGTTCCTGGCTTTTGCACATCTAAGTGTAAAGTGTGGAGGGTCCTATGTTCCACGAGACCCTTCCATTCCCAGCCCCTGCACCATCCCCTACCCGTGGCAAGGACAGAGGGAAGTTGGTCCTTTCCAGGGCTCACGGCACTCACAGATTCTGTAAGATTTGAGACTAAATGACCAGAGTGATTGGGTAGGTAAGTATATTCTGAGTTTATTTCCTGTGGTAGCAGGATCCAAGGGGTGCCCTGGCCTCCATTCACACTTCCTGTTTCCTCCTTCACCTGTGCTTCCACACACCCTCACTGTTCAGACACTATGTGAACTAAAGCATGAAGTTGCCAGCTGAGCAAGCTTGGTGGTGGATTGAGCTTCTCTGGATTGAGCTTCTCTGGAGAGTTCCTTTTGTGTGTGTGGGGGGGGAGGGTGAGACTGACTCCTGACACAACCCAGGCCAGACGCTGATGGGGAATTCCTTTTTCTCTATCATGTCTGTGCTTTAGTTTTTGCAGCGGCATCTCTTGCTGACAAATAGCACTTTATGAAATTAAAAAGTTTCTGAGTAGCAGCCGGGTGGTGGTGGCGCACGCCTTTAATCCCAGCACTCGGGAGGCAGAGGCAGGCGGATCTCTGTGAGTTCGAGGCCGGGCTGGACCGATAGCCGCCGAAACAATACAGAGAAACCCTGTCTCGTAAAAAACAAAAACAAAAAAAAAAGTTTCTGAGTAGCAAAGTAAACAGCCAATTGATTGGCTTGGCCGGTGAGCTGCTGAGATCTTTTCTCTCTGCACCCCAGGGGTGGTGTATGGTTACACACTAGTGTGTGTGGGGATCTGAACTCAGGTCTTCATGCTTGTTCACTTCACTTTACACACAGGGCCACCTTTCCAGGTCCAGATTGTTGTCTTTTAAGTGGAAAATTGAAACCATTAATACTTAGCTTCATGGAAAGGAGTATATAATTTCATATCATCATCTTGACTTTGTATGATTTGGTGTTTTTCTATTCCTCTTTTGCTTAAATGTTATCCAAGAGTGGTTCACTCTTCCCTGCGACCCAATGGATGTGTTTGTCTTTCTCTTCATAAAAACAAAACAAAATAAAATCCTTCAAGTATCTTCAGTAGATCTGACTTAGTGGTCATAAATTCCTTCAACTTATTTTTTTATTTAAATTAGAAAAAAGTTTGTTTTACATGTCAATCCTAGTTCCCTCTCCCTCCCTTCCTCCCCTGGTCCCCACCAACCCCCTATCCCATCCCCTTTCTGCTCCCCAGGGAAGGTGAGGCCTTCCATGGGGGATCTTCAAAGTCAGTCATAACATTTGGAGCAGGGCCTAGGCCCTTCCTCATGTGTCTAGGCTGAAAGAGTATTCCTTTGTGTGGAATGGACTCCCAAAGTCCATTCGTGTACTATTGATAAATACTGATCCACTGCCAGAGGCCTGATAGATTGCCCAGTTCTTCTAACTGACACCCACATTCAGAGGGTCTGGGTCGGTCCTATGCTGGTTTCCCAGCTATCAGTCTGAGGTCCATCAGCTCCCCCTTGTTGTTCAGGTCAGCTGTTTCTCTGGGTTTCTCCATCCTGGTCTTGACCCCTTTGATTATCATTCTTCCCTCTCTGGAGCTGGATTCCAGGAGTTCAGCTCAGTGTTTAGCTGTGGGTATCTGCCTCTGCTTCCATCAGTCAATGGATGAAGGCTCTAGGATGGCATATAAGGTAGTCATCATTCTCATTATCAGGAAAGGGCATTTAAGGTAACCTCTCCACTATTGCCTAGACTGTTAGTTGGGGTCATCCTTGTAGATCTCTGGACATTTCCCTAGTGCCAGATTTCTCTTTAAACCTATAATGGCTCCTTCTATTATGCTATCTCTTATCTTGCTTTCCTCTATTCTTCCCCTGACTCAATTTTCCTGCTTCCTCATGTCCTCCTCTCCCCTCCTCTTCTCCCCTTCTCATTTTCCTAACTCCCTCTCCCCTCCCACCATGATCCCAATTAGCTCAGGAGATCTTGTCCCTTCCCCTTTCTCTGGCGAACCATGTATGTCTCTCTTAGGATCCTCCTTGTTTCCTAGCTTCTCTGGCGGTATTGATTATAGGCTGGTGATCCTTAGCTCTGTCTCTAACATCCATATATGAGTGAGTACACATCATGTTTGTCATTTGGTGACTGGGCTACCTCACTCAGGATGGTTTCTTCTAGTGCCATCCATTTGCCTACAAATTTCAAGATTCCAATGTTTTTTCCACTGAGTAGTACTCCATTGTGTAAATGTACCACATTTTCTCTATCTACTCTTCAGTTGAGGGGCATCTAGGTTGCTTCCAGGTTCTGACTATCACAAATAATGCTGCTATGAACATAGTGGAACAGACATTCTTGTTGTATGAATGTGCATCTTTTGGGTATATGCCTAAGAGTGGAATTGCTCTACCTTGTGGTAGACTGATTCCCATTTTCCTAAGAAGCTGCCATATAGATTTCCAAAGTGGATATAGGAGTTTGCACTCCCACCAGCAGTGGAGGAGTATTCCACTTTCTCCATATCCTCTCCAGAATAAACTGTGGTTGGTGTTTTTTGTTTTAGTCATTCTGACAGGAGCAATATGGTATCTCAGAGTTGTTTTGATTTGCATTTCCCTGATAGCTAAGGTTGTTGAACACTTTCTCAAGTATCTTTCAGCCATTTTAGATTCCTCTATTGAGAATTCTCTATTTAGTTCTGTACCCCACTTTTTAATTGGAATATTTGGTGTTTTGGCGACTAGCTTCTTGAGTTCTTTGTATATTTTGGAAATCAGCCCTCTGTCAGATGTGGGGGTTGGTGAATATCTTTTCACATTCTGTAGGCTGCCGTTTTGTCTTGTTGACTGTGCCTTTGCCTTACAGAAGCTTCTCAGTTTCAGGAAATTACATTTATTAATTGTCGATCTCAGTGTCTGTGCTTCTGGCATTATGTTCAGGAAGCGGTCTCCTGTACCAATTTGTTCAAGGGTACTTCCCACTTTCTCTTATAAGAGGTTCAGTATGGCTCACGATTCTCTGGATTTCTTCAGTGTCCGATATTGCCCCCTTTTCATTTCTGATTTTGTTAATTCGCATGCTCTCTCTCTCTCTCTCTGCCTTTTGGTTAGTTTGGATAAAGGCTTGTCTATCTTGTTGATTTTCTCAAAGTATCAACTCTTTGTTACATTGGTTCTTTGTATTGTTTTCTTTGTTTCTACTTTATTGATTTTAGCCCTCAATCTGATTATTTCCTGGAGTTCTTTTTGGTCTAGAGCTTTCAGTTGTGCTGTTAATTCTTCAGTGTGACTATTCTCCAGTTTCTTCATGTGGGCACTTAGTGCTATGAACTTTCCCTTAGCACTGCTTTCAAAGTGTCCCATAAGTTTCAGTATGTTGTGTCTTCATTCTCACTGAATTCTAGGAAGTCTTCCATTTCCTTTTTTTAAATTTCTTCCTGACCCAGGAATGGTACAATTGTGCATTGTTCAATTTCTATGAGTTTGTAGAGTTCCTGGAATTTGTGGTGCTGTTGAATTCTTTTAAACCATAGTGGTCTGATAAGATACAGGGAGTTATTCCCATTTTTTTGTATCTGTTTAAGTTTGCTTTATTGCCAAGTATGTGGTCAATTTTAGAGAAAGTTCAATGTGGCGCTGAAAAGAAGGTATATTCTTTTGTGTTAGAATGGAATATTCCATAGATGTCTGTTAAATCCAATTGGGTCATAACTTCTGTTCCTTTGTTTCTTTGTTAAGTTTCTGTCTGGTGGTCCTGTCTAGTGGTGAGGTGGTGTTGAAGTTTCCCACTGTGAGGTTTTATGTGTGATTTGAGTTTTTACTACTGTTTCTTTTATGAATGTGGATGTCTTTGTATTTGGGGTACAGATGTTCAGAATTGAGACTTCATCTTGATGGATTTTTCCTATGACGAGTATGAAATGACCTTCTTTATCTCTTTTGATTGATTTTTGAAGTCTAATTTGTTAGATATTAGGATTGCTGCACCAGCTTGTTTTTTGGGTCCATTTGATTGGAAAAATCTTTTCCCAACCCTTAACTCTGAGTTAATGTCTGTCTTTGAAGGTGAGGTGTGTTTCTTGTATGCAGCAGAGGGATGGATTCTGCCTTTGTATGCATTGTTAGCCTATGTCTTTTTATAGGCAAGTTAACATCATTGATATTGAGAGATATTAATTACTATTGATTACTCATTCTTGTTTGTTTTGGATTTGTTGGTGGTGGTGGTATTGTGTGTGGAATTCTGAAGGTGAGGATGTAATTATATTACTAGACCCAAGATAAATGATAAATGGGTGTTTACTGTGGGACAATTAAACAGAATGATACAAAGAACCGCTGGATCATTTCCTTCCAGATCCGCTGACCCAACAGAAAGAGCATGTAAAGGAAAGCCACACCTCAAGCTCCTTTCTTTCTGCTCTGTCTGCCTGCCTGAAGCCACACCCAAAAGGGTATGGTTACCGTTTCTGACCAGACCAGATGCCTACAGATTCCCTTTCCCTTTTTTCTTTGGCTGTTGGTAAGGTGGGATTTCTATTGCCTATGTTTTTGTGAATTTAGTTAACTTCCTTGGGTTGGAATTTTCCTTCCAGAACCTTCTGTAGGGCTGGATTAGTGGATATGTATTGTTTAAATATGACTTTGTCATGGAATATCTTGTTTTCTCCATCTATAGTGATTGAAAGATTTGCTGGGTATAGTAGTCTGGGCTGGCATCTGTGGTCTCTTAGTGTTGGTAAAATATCTATCCAGGACCTTCTGTTTTTCAAAGTTCCCATGGAGAAGTCAGGTGTAATTCTGATAGGTTTACCTTTATATGTTACTTGGCTTTTTTCCTTTCCTGCTCTTAATATTCTTTATTCTGTATGATTGGTATTTTGATTATTATGTGGCAAGGGGACACTTTTTTGTGGTTCACTCTATTTGGTGTTCTGTAAGCTTCTTGTATTTTCATTGGCATGCCTTTCTTTAGGTTGGGAAAGTTTTCTTCTATGATTTTGTTGAATATGTTTTCTATACCTTTGAGGTGGGTTTCATCACCTTCTTCTATAGCTATTATTTTTAGGTTTGACTTTTTCACAGTGTCCCATATTTCCTGACTATTTTGTGTTAGGGATTTGTTGGACTTAAGATTTTTTTGGTTGATGAATCTATTGATTTTTTTCTTCCATTTCTTTAAAGGATTTTCTCATTTCCTCCTTTAGGGTCTCTATCATCTTCATGAAGTTGTTTTTAAGGTCGTTCTCTTCTGCTTCATCTGTGTTGGGATGTTCAGGTCTTGCTGGTGTGGAGTCCCTAGACTCTGGTGGTGTCATATTGATCTTTCTCTTGTTTAATGTGGGTACTGGTCCAAGGTTCTCTTCCAGTGGGTGCAAGTAGATCCAAAACTCTGATGGCTCTCCTCTTCCCATGGGTGGAGGTGGGACTAGCATTGCGACACTGGCAGACTCTGGATGGGCTGTGTGCCAGGACAGGTTCCTCTGTGGGCAGTCCCTAAGCCTCAGGAGGCTCTGAATATGGCACCGGAAGGTGGGCCAGAAACAGGCCCATGCTTACCTCCTCCCATGGGTGGAGGCAGGACTAGCTCCTTGATGCTGGTAGACTCTGGATGGGCTGGTTTGCAAGGATGGGTTCCCCCATACACAATCCCCAGGCCAACCTTTTTTTTATGGACTTATAGCTTTGCTGGATATAGTAGTCTATATTGACACTTGTTGTCTTTCAAAACTTGCAGGCATTGTTACAAGTGTCTCCCTGATCCTGTATCGTCCAAAGAGCCTCCCTGCTCCTGCATTATCACCAGTGCCTTCCAGTTCCTGCATCATCCTGAATGTCTCCCCACTCCTGTATCCAAGTGCCCTCCAGATCACTGCAGCTTTCCTAGTTTCTATTGAGAGTCTGTGGTTACTCTGATAGGCCTGCCTCTATCATGTGAGTTGCTGCTTCTCTCTGATCACTGTCACTATACTATCTTTGTTCTCAGTATTTAGTGAGTTAATTATAATATGAAGAGGTCTTGTCTGTTTCTGTTCTAAATGACTTCAGTATCTACATAGGCATTTTCCCCCTAATTTAAGGAAATTTCTGCTGTGGCTTTGCTTAAAATGTTTGCTGCTCCTTTAGAAGGGAATTCACTTTCTTTTATGCCCATGATGTGGCTGTTTCAGAGTGTCCAGTGTGTTGTACGAGTCCTGCCCATGTCTCTTTATTGGAATGTCCCAAACCCCAACCTTGTCTTCAAGTCCATCTATTTTATACTCCCCTTTATCTATCCTATGGTGAAGCTTTACACAAGATTTCTATTTGACTATTTGTTTGATCTCAGCTTCCTTTTAAGTTTTTCATATCACGCATCAGCCTTCCTGTTTCATTCATTATATAAATACTACATTAACAATAGCACTACTTTTTAAAAATGAATTGAGAATCTAAGATTAATCACTAAAATATCACTTTATTGGAAAAGATAATCCTCAAGTAATAGAATGCTTGGAATACCACACAGGCAAAGATTTTACCTTTTTGAGCCAAATAAGAAAAAGTACAACACGTTTTAGCATAAAAATCAATTTATTATACAACAATCACACAGAATGCTTTTTATCTAAAAGAAAAATGGCTTCTGCCTCCCTTTCACCCCAGTCATGATACTGTGTTCTTTAGATGCAGTACTTCCAAAGGAAAACAAAAAGTAGACCCCTCAATTTCCGGAGAAGTGACCTCTACTAACGTTCTTAACTGACTCAGGAATGTTGGGAAGGACTAGAATGGTCTCTTACAAAATTCTATTTTGGTAAAAAAATAATAATTCTCTGATGAGGGAAGACAGGAACTTATCCACCAATATGTATAAATATAATTCTGACAGGTTGACATTTTCTATGCTTAATTACATTCAGCAAACATTCCATTTTATTTCCAAAGCTGGGGAAATTAAGGTTTTATAGTACCCAAGTACTTTTGTTCTCATGAATAAGAGGGAGTTTACTTGGGAAACTGTTTTATCAGATTATAGAGATAGACGTTTTAAATACTTCTATTTTAGAAAATTCACAGTAAGAATAAATGGGTTCAGATAGTTACCAGATCCCATTTTTGCAGCTCAGGTTTCACAGCTCTGCATGTCTTGTTGGCCCTTGAGTGGTTTAAGGCTTAGTGTTGTTCTGAGCTTTGCTCTGGGAGGTTTAAAGCTGGTTGGTTCTTCGAGCTGCTGCTATTGAACTGTTTGTTATATAAAAATGACGTCCTCTGTGTGACACAGATGTGAAGTCCTGCAAACATGCCAACTGCAGGTGTGCTGCACTGGCAAGTAGGAGTAATGTGAGTGCAAAGACCAGTGATGCCTCTTCAGTCTCATTTTTACCCAGAATTCATTTCAGTAACAGATTTCAGACCATGTTTGAGAACAAAAACTGAACTCCAGTTACACCAAGGAGTTTGCTCCTTTGGCTAACCTGTGTCTTGTCACAGAAGAACAGTAACATAACCTGCAAATGAATTATTGGGAAAGAATAACACACTGGCTTGAGTCAAAGTCACTAGAGATGGTGGTTAAGCACCTGGGAGCAGATCAGTTTGAGAAAATACATTGACTATTAGGTGGCCACCAGACAGGAGTCAGTTCAACAGGAATGATAACGAGGGATGGCACAGGACACAGGGACCACCACTGAGAAGGGTTAGGTATACTTACGAGTTTAAAAAGTCAGTACAAGTGGAAGACAGGGGTAGGCAGGTACTACTGTTGGCACTTAAGAAAAGCACCCAAGTATATATTTGCTAAAATGGAGGGGAAACAGTCCAAGTTAATGAGTCATGTTTTGGAAAATGTACTGTTTCATGCTAGGTGCCATTTTTAACAGTGGTGGGAAGGCAGTGGCCAGGGTCGTGGTCGGTCTGCCTCTGAACTGGCTTCTAAGGGAGACCACAGTTCTGAGCACGGAAAGCATATGCTGCTTGGGCCAGACACATTCTCAAGGTGGCTAATTCTCAGCCCATGGCATCTTTCCAATGACTATATCCTTTTCTATTTTCTGATACTTCAACTTATGAAGACTGGATAGCAAAGATGATGTCTGTTTTGCCCCTGTTGATTATGATTTATAAGTACTCCAGTTGCATGTCTGTGACGAGAACTGCACTTGAACTCCAGCCTTTGTTCAGAAAAAGCATGGCAGCTCTATGTAGACACAGCTTTTGATAGGGAGACATGACTCTGTGGATCCAGACTAGCAAGGGAGGTGGGTGGGCAGGAATGTGTGAGTGAGGACGCCAATTGAAACAGAGACAGCTCCCGCCGAAAGCCCCTGAGTTATGATGATTTGACAAAAGAAACTTTTTTTTCTGATTGAGACAGGGTCTCCTTGTACCCATGTAGCCCAGGTTGTCTTGACATTTGGGATCACAGGTGTATGCCACCACACCCAGCTCAAGAAGTTGTTGGTTCACAGAATGATTAATTCTCAAACTGTCTTGAAGATGAACGAGTCATCACAATGTCACTGAATTTAGAATCAGTGGTTAGAAACTGTAGCCGACTCCCAGGTTTCAGCGAGGGAGACATGATGCTTCTGCCTTGTTAAGGACCCCATTTAAACACTTCCTAGGTTGATGCCTTAAAGAGCAAGTGGACTGACAGTTATTGCTTGACATGGACTAGAGCAGACCCTGCATTCACAATATAATTAACATTTTATTTTACACATTTAATCTAAAGAAAATTAACTCTGAAGACTTGCCATGAAAACGAAGCCCGTGTCTCCTGGTTTTCTGTGCGAATAAGGCATTGGGAAGAGCTCAGGAGGGACGGGCTGCTGCACCTGTTGTGAGGTTTGTAGAGGTCGGCATCGCTTCAGTTAGTAGAGTAACCTAATAGCAATATATTATAATACATTCTGGGTACAAATGATTTACAAACTCAAAAGGAATTAGTTTATGCTAACACAACTTTCAATTCAGTCTCTGCTTTAAAACAAGCTCATCTGCGGGGCTGCTGCACTCTTCATGCTTTCCCGTCCCTCGCTTATTGCACCTTCCTGTTTGTCACGCCATTAGCCGCCATCAAGTGGGCCTTGGGCAAACCGTTCTTCACCTCTTTGCCTGCAGGCTGCTCTCGCGCCTCTCTCTTCGCTGGCTTTCTTCTGTACGTCTGTCAGAGTGCAGACAGGAGAAAGAACAGGAGATGTTTTAATAAGCCGGTCTCTACCTTTCTGACACAGCACCCCACACCTTGCCTTGGCACTGGACCATCTAGTAAGAATTGGTTTTTACCTGAGCAAGAGGCTTAAAAACAAAGGCAAATCATGAATGCAAGTGTAGGTTATTTTACGTTATCCGTATTACATCACAATTTAGCATTCAAAGCAGCTGACATTAGTTATTCACTTGGAAAAACATAACTTCCTTTAAAACTCAAGATTGTAATTACAACATTCTCTGATTCTGGCAGGGTTTAATCATTAAAACACATCATACCCTACTAATTATGTCATCTGCACTCAGCCTTATATGTCTCTTTCTCTCATTCTGATGAAATACCTCATCTGCCATCTCATATCAATTGACTGATTAAGACAAGGTCTCATTCAACCCAGGCTGGTCTCCAACTTACTATGTAGCCCACGATTACCTTGAACTCCTGATCTTCTCTACCTTTCCAGTGCTGGGATAACAGTATTTTTACTTTTTAAAAAAGCAATGATGGCGTTACCAAGGGTCAAAACTGGAATGGTAAAAAGTCAAGATGAAGTTTTTGTGGCCATTGCCTGCCACTGCTGGGCTACTGAAGGCCCGCGCCATTCCTTTCTAGCTCTGGTGCGTATGTGTGGATCTGTTAGGTTCCACCAATGTGTCTTTTAGACATGCTCAAAGGAAACGGGTTTGTCACAAGGGGCAAAGGCCAGCCAGTCCAGTTCAGAAATACTCTGAAAAACTGTCAAAGACCAGTCCCCACAGTGGCCCTTCACATAAAATCACTGTGGAACAAAAACTAAAAAGTGAGACCAACTGTCTGGGGAAGAAAATAGAGTTGAACAGAATTTCAAAAGTACTATTTGAATATAAATTATGGTTTTTGTTTTTTGTTTGAAGCAGCCTTTCCATTTCCCTAGCCCTGCCATTTAAAATTCTCAACCACCTGAGACCTTTGCTGCATGAGTTGGCATGGGTTCTTAAAGCCACTTTGAAGGACTCTCTCATTTAAACTGTTAATTGAAAAGAAAATGTCACTTGACAATGAGTGAGTCAGCATGCCCTGTCCATGCTGGGTTTGACTTAAAGGACTTTCCTCAAATGAACACTGCCTCCGTACCTCAGAGCCAGAGTGGCTGATGGAGGCTCCCTGAATTCATTATTAAACTAAACACTACACACTGTGGTTCCCACGCTTTTCTCCTCTCAGTCTTCCTGGCTGTGTTACTACACCTGTTCAGCTTTCTGATGTCAGATTTGGGCGGCAGCACAGGGCAAGACCCCACGTAGATGTAATGTAACTCAGTCCTCAGCAAAAGTTCTCAGCAAAGGCCAGCTGTTCGCTGGCTGTTCTTAGAGGAGGATGTGGGGAAAAGGGTTAGGCTAGTAAGTACCCTTTAATTCCTCCTTTGCATACCATTATCTTAAATACACAGTGCATTGGGCAGTTTGTCACTTACTGCTGAACATTTGCATCCTACATACCTGGACATAGAAGTTTAAGAACAGGATAACCAGGGTCATCATATAGGAAGACTGGAACACGAGACAGCCAAAGGGGAAGCCACAGGGCTTGACCACGGCACTGAGTGTGTGCGTGATGGTGAGTACGAACTGCACCTGCAAGGCAGAGGGGGCTGCAGGTGAGTACAGGCCCCACTGAGGTGGGCCCTATCTACCCAGCTACCGTCCCTTGCTGTATCCTGCAGAAGTGAATCAAGAAAAATGCCTCAATAGTCTACTACCCTGCCCAGAGACTGTATTTGAAATTATATAAGCATATAAATTTGTCTGTTTTCTCACGGAAAAGTAGCAATTAGATCATCTTTTATCAAAATTTGTACAGTAACTTTAAAAAGTGGTTATGTATATTCCAAATCAGAAAATTTCCATCTAGAAGCTAATTGCAAACACAAAAGACACTATAATGACTGAAGTATGATTCCTCACAGCCATGTTAAGATAAAAGGCAGCTTAGTCACAGAGCCTGAATGGACTATTCCTTCCCTGTCTGAACCACATGAAGAAGCAAAGAAAGAACATCATACCAGCTGAGCCTGTGTGAGGTATTTCTTCCACCAAAGGTACTTGTGCATGGACGGGAACACAGAGAGTCCATAGTAGGAGTACATGAGAATGTGAATAAAACTGTTCAGGGTTGGTCCGAAGAAGCCTAGGACAGTGGAGTGTGTGAGTTAGTACTCCAGAAAGTGAGATGCTCATCCTTCCTCATTACATGATGGTCTCTGCATCCTGACTGAAAAGTGCTAACAGGTGTAGACAATCACACAACAGCATTCACACGGAGAGACCCCAACTGCTGCTATCATTCTAGGATTCAGTATAACCTCTTAAACAGAGATGTAAACCTGAGAGATGTCCAGCCAACCAAAGCAGCCACTCCACATCTGCAAAGGGTTCGCTGTCTCTACTATAGTTATTCTTACCAATTAATCATGGAGGTAGAGAAAGGTGAACTTGAGTCTGGCTGCAGAATTCCACTAAAGGAGAACTGACTCTTTTGTCTAAACCTTGACTAAGCCATGTTGGTGACAGGACACCTCTGGCTGGAGGAACAACACAGCACTTGCCCAGTGGTTTGTTATGTCGTCCTGAATCTTCTCATTTGGAAACCACTCAAAGCTGTAGTGGGATTGACAGCCTGTCCTGCCGTATGATCTAAAGAGCTCTGCCTACTGATTCTTAGCTTAAATTCTTTAGCCCCCATTTCTCACCCTACATTAATTAGTAACCTAGATAACTGGAAAGCAAAAGAAACAGTGTGATGCATACGATAAGTTCTCAGCAAATACTGGCTAGGATGCACTATGATGCATGTTTCTATGGAAACCAACAATTTGAGAGTATTCAGTAGTACAAGATGAGTGATATTTATTTGCCCATCTGGGTTCTCATTTCTGAGTAGCTTTGTACTTACAATTTTAGTGATCATCTTGGAGATACAGCACACACATATTCACAGGACCATCTCTGAATAGTACAATGTGAATTTTAAATGCCTAATGAAACTGTTAAAACTGAAAAAATAATTCTCAAAACCTGCTCCTCTGACATTTGCTAATCTTCCTTAGCACCCAGAGGCCCACAGAGAGCATAAAGGCCATCTGTCTTCTGTGCACTTCCATTCCTTGCATTGGAATTTTCGCTTGTACCTTGACAGCCAGGGATGTCATGTAACCTACCGATGTCTCTACTTAATGATCTTTCAACTTAATGACAGGATCAAAATTATACACTTTCAGTAGAAACTGCAATTGGAGCCTTGACTGATGACCTGTAGTAACAATGGTCTAGCACTCTCTCTGGATGGTGGATGATGGAAATGATTGTAGCTCATTCCATACTACAACCAGGAGATGAGGCCACTTGGTATGTACCCTGTGCTGTGGCTATGGTACTCAGTGGACTAAGCCTGTCACACAGGGTTTTAACGTATGGTGCTTTCAACCCACAGCAAGTTTACCAAATTTGACTCTTTGGTGTGTCAAGGGCATCTGCATCCCACATATCCTGGGCAGTTTCTATTGTTGATACAAGACCCCAACTCCTACAGAAAAATACAGGCATGTGCCACCACACCCATTTAAAAATTTTTAAAGTCATCACTCAATTTGACTTGATGATGGGGCGTCCTTGTATGTACTAAGCCAGTGCTCCATCAATGAGTTATATACTTGACCCTCTAAAATAATTTTTTGTCCCATCTAATATTTCATAGAACATTTTCAAAATCATGGGAACATGATGATTTAAATAAATAAAAGTACTGTTCTCTTTAGTTCAGTCACAAGGGAGCACCCTACTCCATTCTCCCTGATGACACAGGGAGGTGTCACCAACCGCTTACAGTGAAAGAAAAATGTGGGGGCTGGGACTGAAGAGGTGGCTCAGTAGTTAAGAGCACTGACAGCTTTCTAGAGGACCCAGGTTCAATTCCCAGTACCCACATGGCAGCTCACAACTGTCTGTAACTCCAGTTCCAGAGGACCCAACACCCAAGGCAAAACATCAATGCACATAAAAAAGAAAGTAAAGCAGGGTTAAAACAAGACAACACAATGCGCCAGGGTAAAGCCAGGGTCAATACTACTTCGTGGAGTTCTTGCTCCATGCAAAGTATATGATATGAGTGAGCACACTAGTTTATTGTATTACATGTATCATGTGCACATTTATAGATGGGGTCCTGCCATGCTATAGCTCCTCCTACCCCAACCTGCTAAGTGCTAGGACTACAGGTGTGAACCACCACACCCAGCTTAAAATGTATTTCTTTTATAGCAGTTCTCATTTTTAAAGGTGAGGGCTTTTTTCTTTGGTGCAGAGAGCTCTTGGTTTTTCAGAACGTAAGGTCAAGAATCCCCAAGAGCTGAAATGATGGGTGTGTGTCACAGTGAGGTGGTGGCCATGGCAGGTGCTGCCTCAAGTGTCAAGGGCTCCCTTCTATGGAGTCAGGTGGCAAGGGCTGAGGCCTGCACCTCTCTGCCCATCTGACAATTGATGCATGGTAAAGAAATAAGTTTTTAAATTTAAGGTCTTGCTCAGATTTTGACAACATAAAAATCTAGAAACCAAATAACCACCAGCAAATGCGCTTCCTGTGGTGACAAGGACACTATCTTAAGGGCTCCCATTTCTCCTAATCAGCACATACTGGGTGGTAAGAGGTGTGCTGGTGTTCTCCCGAGACTCATTTTTCAGAACCAACAGCTACCAAGAGGACTTACTTTGACCACAAGGAATCCAGTTCAGAACACACCACCAGATGTTAAACATTGAGGCATGGTGGTAGACATGAAGAAAGGTGATCTGACTGGTCTTTTTTCGAAGAACAAAGAAAATCGTGTCCAGGAACTCCACCAGTTTGGAGAAGTAGTACCACCACAAGACCTTGGCTACCTACAAGTTCAAGAGGGAAAAGGGTGACAGTGTACCCCCAGTGTGCCCCAGCTCTGCCCTGCACACAGCATTGTGCATCCCCCCCCCCCCCGTGCTACCTCAGACTGCAGTGCTGTTTATCTGCTGGCTTTCCTTCCATGTGCTCTACCCCCTCTACTGAAAGATGGGGTATCTTTCCCAAACATGCACTCAATCAAGTCACTCCCCGCACCCACAGGCTAATGTTCACGACTCCCCACCTAAGGTCTTCCACTACCTTCCACCAGCACCCTGCAATGCTCTATGAACCCTCTGCAGCCTGTGTGGGTGCTGAATCTCCCACCTACATGGAAGACTCTTCCTGCCTCGCACACGCTAGGCATCCCTCCCTAATCCTCATCTTAGCAGGCACCTTCTCTCAGGATTTTACCCAGTTGCCTCCTTTCTCTCGGAACCATTTTCAGTCCCAGGCTGCCCTACTCTACCTCTGTAGTCAGAGCTCTGAAAGAGTTTCACATCACTGGAAGTAGATGCTTTCTTCAGGTTTTACAAGGAATGCATCGTGTCTCTGGGAGATGCAAAGAGATGTTCTGATTCTACCATGACTTACACATTTTTCTCCTATAGGTATTTTTTTTCTCCTTGTGTATTTGGAAATACACATATTAAAGACATGGTGCATGTTTAATTATTTGTCTTAATTTTTTCTCAATGACTTGGTGTTGTATCAGCCTTTAAAAGGTAACAGGAGACTCGTTTTCTTTTAAGATGTCATCTCCTTTTCATCCTTGTAAAACCTGCACTCTGTGTTTCAGCTCATAGAAGGCAGTGTTGTTTCGGATGACCAGTGAGAGGGAGTCTTTTGAGATGGTGCCTGTAACCATGGGTGACCCAATAGCCATGTGAAGCTCCTCTGCTGAGGGGACAGGGTCCCCTGAAATATATTCCCTGGCTCAAACCTGGAACTGGTCATGCCCCTAAGAATCCTCATGCCCTCTGGTAGACAGCAACTGTAAAAGTCAAGCTCAGTGCCTTGGGCTGTCACAGAATAAAGGGGCCTTTTCTTCAGATAAAAGATATGAAATATGGCCTCTTTCATGAGGTTAATTATGACACTTCCCATTTGCATCTATGATTACTGGGTTTAATTTTTACTACTTTTAAAAATAGACATCTCTTTTTCAAATAATAGTTACTAATGATGTTTATTAGATTACTTTATCCCTCAGTGTCCTGTGGCTGTCTAAAAGCAGCAATGCATTTTTATCAATAAGCAATAGCAACAAAGAATTCTGTATTGGGTTAAGATGCTGCCCCCCTGTGGCTATCTGCCCACATGGATATTCTCTAATTGTAACTTTTTTCTTTTTTTCTTTCTTTCTTTCTTTCTTTCTTTCTTTCTTTCTTTCTTCTTCTTCCTTCCTTCCTTCCTTCCTTCCTTTTTTTTTTTGGTTTTTCAAGGCAGGGTTCCTCTGTGGCTTTGGAGGCTGTCCTGTAACTTGCTCTGGAGATCCGCCTGCCTCTGCCTCCCAAGTGCTGGGATTAAAGGCGTGCACCACCACCGCCTAGCAGTTGTAATTTCTGATGGGTGCTGTGAGTTCATTTACCTTTGCTTCTAATGTTTGGGGGAGTAAACTTGCCTTGTTCCCTCTTAAAACTTAATTTTGTTTTACAATGTATATAAAAGGATGCTTCCAAAAAAAATCAAACAAGCTGTGTGCTGAGAGCAGTGTAGCTTCCACCCAATGCCCGCTCGCCTGCTTCCACAGAAGAGACTGTTCTAACTAGCTTCCTATTTCTCCTGCCACTGTGTCTCTTTAAAAACTATAATACACATGATGTCTAACACAAAAGACATTCCCTATAAACAGTCTGCAAGTGGCTGGTATTCACGTAAATATGTCCTGATGCAGCAGATGGTTCTGAGGCCATTCTCATTGTACCTGGTTGAGGCAGGGTGTGTAGGTTCAATAAGCCCTCCACCCAGCCATTTCTAAGACATGTCTGTCACTAAGTCTTTCCAGCACACCCAAAAGCTCTTCAGATTCCAACTGTAAAGGGGATGGAAACACTTCTCAGGGCTCACCCGGATGTCACCTTCTCCTGCACTGTCGAGGTTCTGACACTGCAAGTTGTAGCCTCCTTCCCAGCTGGAGAGGATGAGCTGCCAAGCATAGAGGAAGGCAAAGACATCAGCATAAGAATGTGAGGGTACTGAACATGTCCCACCAGCTTCCACTCATTAGGGGGAAGCGCCCCAGAATCTGACCCATTATCTTCAAGCATCAGTGAGGGGCTAGCTCCTGCTGCTGCAATAAGTGAGGGGCTAGCCCCTGCTGCTGCACATAAGCCAGGGTTTCTACCCCTTCACACACTTTACTTCTAACCATTCAGATCACCCAAGTGTGAGAGCATCTATAAATATAGTAAGAATTATTTAGCTATCTTACAACACAGAAGTATAAACAAATGTGAGAAAACTACACTAAAGTATCTTCACTTTCAATAAGTTTATGAAATGTACATGACAATTTTACAGATATTAAAAGGGGTCAGAAAGTTTTTAGCACATTTTCTTCACTGCATCTGTGCTACATGACAATCAATCGTGTGACTGACACCTCCCTTCCCATTAGTCTCTAATGAAAAGCTGCCATTTTAAAAAGCCCATCATCTGGCCACCCTTGTCCCGCTCCCAGGAAGCAGTGAGCACTCAGTAATACGCGATGAGAGGTGATTTGCTCAGGGTTGCACAGCTAAGGAGCGGTAGGCACGTCACTAGAACTCAGAGTACCTAACTCATTCTTTTCAGGTCTTTCCACGACACGAGAAAACAAATCTAGTAAATTCCTCATTAAAAATTCTACAAAAGCAGCTCTCTCCCAGAAGTCTCCTGGGCTTTATTAAAGATCCTGTCCTGAGCTGCCCATGGCAGGCTGGAGACCGGAATGCCTTAAGGGATGGAAGGTGTGTGTGTGTGTGTGCATACAGGTGCAGTTTTCAAACTAAAGGCTATGTTGCACACAAATATTTAAAATATTTTCAGGATGAAAGCTGTAGTTGAAGGATTAAGTATATGTTTTCCATACTAACAGTACAGCTGTGGGATAACCCCTTAGTGAATAAGGCATATTCTGTTTGCCCAGGGCTGTCACCAATCCCATGATGCCTATCTAACCACTTGGTTTTTCGAGACAGGGTTTCTCTGTGGCTTTGTAGCCTGTCCTGGAACTACCTCTTGTAGACCAGGCTGATCTCGAACTCACAGAGATCTGCCTGCCTCTGCCTCCTTAGTGCTGGGATTAAAGGCTTGCATCACCACTGCCCAGCAAGAAAGCAGCATTTTAAGATAAGGATTTACTGTCTTTTAAGGTCAATATAAAAGTCCTGTTTGTGTCATTACTAACTATTTATAACCTTTGCAAATGGTTTTACCCTAATTTTTCCTTTAAAATGATTGGTCTTTTTTGTCCCTTTTACTCTGTTATTTTTGCTAAAGCAAGCTGAATACTTTACATTTCTCCTTGTATTATGATTAGGTAAAGCAACCATTGCTTCTTCCCGTGGTTTGGTGCTTTAAAGGGTGGAGTTGAAGGCCTGGTAGGCAGCTAGAGCCAACTAGTGTCAACATGGGCTTGCCAGCATGGTCCAGACCAGACAGGGCAGGACCCTCCAAGGGGACATCTGCATCTCTGCACACTAACTGCAGGTCAATCATTTAACACAATTAGATCAGGATCGTAAGGTGTACGGCATGATCTTCAAAAGGCCCTCAAACTAAATCATGGTTCTGTGTTTAATTTGTCTAATTTGGGAAGGAAGCATATCAATGCAGGAACAGCTTTCTCGGACCTTACAGAGTGGTACCATGTTAACTGCACCTTTTGCAGTTCTGGCAGGCCGCACCTGACCAGTTCTTACACTTACCTCCACCAGCATATATGCAGAAAGAAGTGTGATCCCGAGGTTATAGAAGGTGAGGATTCCCCTGAGAGAAAGGGCAGGCCTGTTCTTCATATATTTGTTACCCAGCCATATTGAGAGCAGATATAAGACGGTAAGAATGAAGGTCGGAAGGTAAGAGTCCAACAGGAACCACCCTCGAACTCGAGAATCTGGAAAGAGATGCATATGGTGAGAAGCCCGAGGAGCCAGCTCCCCTGCAGTTAGCAATACTGGCTCACATACTCATCTGTGTAGCGGGAGCCCTTATCCAAGCTGGGAGGTTCCAAGGTTCCCAGTGACACTGATTTCCTGTCCTCATCGAGCACTCATCATCTGAGATGCACTTGCATAACCAGCTCAAGTTGCTTTTCCCTGAACAAACTCACAGACACCCTGGCTCTTTCTTTAGATCTCGGCAACGTCAATTGGAACTTTTTTATTGAGAATGTTCATTTTTTCACTTAAAGGAGGCAATTTATGGTTTTCTTTGCAGTAACTAAATTGCCAACACCATTGCTCTTGCACCCAAGGCCATTACTAAGTAAAACAGGTGTTATTTTGATATAAACCCTGTGCAACTGCATAGTCTTGACAATCAAAAGGCTAGTGAATAACTAAGGGGTGGATAGCATACAGATCATGAATACACTGAACAAAAGAATAATTCAAGTTCCAGACAGAACAGAGTTCATTCTATTCAGTATGTAATTTTAAACATAAAAATGTTACTTCTGAGCACTCGGGAGGCAGAGGCGGCTGGATCTCTGTGAGTTCAAGGCCAGGCTGGACTGACAGCCTCCAAAACAATACAGAGAAACCTTGTCTCGTAAAACCAAAAAAAAAGTTACTTTTGGAATTTTCCATTAATTTTTTTTGGAGTGTAGTAGATTGTGGGTAACAGAAGCTACAGGAACAAAATCTCATATAAAGTATCACACACACATACACACAGACACACACACACACACACACACACACACAACATGACGAGTTAAGCAAGCTAATGTGTAGCAGGGCTGCGCAGGTAAGTTTTCATAGTTACTTATGAGATGATTCAGAAGTTATCCAACTTCATGAGAACGGACACCATGGGCACCTGCACTCAAATGTACATATCTATATCCATATATGAACAATTAAAATTAATAAAAATAAATTCAAATGCTTTCATGGGCTGGGTGGTGGTGGTATACATCTTTAATCCCAACACCCGAAGGTAGGAGATCTCTGAGTTCTAGAACAGCCTGGTCTACATAATGAGACCTTGTCTCTAAAACAAGAACAATAACCAAACCCCTGGCATTTAAGGGCTGGAGGGAGGGCTCAGAGTTAAATAGCACTTGTTCATGCAGAGTACTTGGATTCAGTGCTGAGTGCACACATGGCTGCTCATAACCATTGGTGACTCCAGTTCTAGGGGATTTGGATGCCTCTTCTGACATCTGAGGTCCTTGCACATACAGTGCACATAGGTTCACACAGGCACACACACATTTAAATCTAAGGAACTTTCATGGGACAAATGGCTTCATAGAACCCGAATGACAAGAAGGCGGAAGGAAGCCACTGGATGCTTTGCATCAGTCACTGCATTTATTCATGCCAACTCAACACAATGACAGCCGGGTCTGGACTTGAATTATATCCGCCACCTCAATCCATATTCCTCGCTGAGACCCTCCCATTGGGAAGATCAGAGGAAAGAGGGTCATTGTATCATAATCCTAACACCCAGTTTCCAGAGTGGTAGCATTCCAGGACAGACAGCATGTGGCATTGTGGACAAAAAGGCAGTGCCTTGGAGTGGCTTAGAATAGCATGATACAAAACTGTGGCTAGAGTTAGTTGCCTCAGGAGCCAGGATTCACCAGATGCCCTTCCTCCAGAGAGTGAAACTTGACAGCCTATGATCACACTATAGCACTGGGTAACACCTGGAAGTGACCTGGAAGTACAAATGAGAATTGTCCTGTAGTCTCCTTTTGTTTAAAGCTCTACCTGGGACCACAAAATTTGCATGCTGTTTCTAACCTTCACAGATAGCACAAAACTGGTTCCACCACAGGCACTGTCCTTTTCTTGACCTTGCTGGTTCTCCCATAGACTCAGTTCACCTTCCCGGGATGCCCCACACTGTCTACTCCGACCCTTTCTTAGCATACTTACACACTAATGAGGAAACTGAGTGCCTTTGTGAGCACTGCCACTGTGCCAAGGAGTATTCTACAGACAGACAGCTCCCCTTGGTGATAGAGATGGAGTGGTAGGCGAGTGACAGCCTTGCAGACACAGAAACATGTACTATGTGCCTCCCTGCTTTCCTCTAATGGCCACATGAAGACTCTGCCTTCTGAAGGGAGTCATTTCCCACTCCCTTTCATAATCACAGTTCCATTTACTCAACAAGGTAATGACCACAGTGGTTTCTTGTTGGGGCTGTTGTGCGGTAGCTAACTGCGAGGCACTGCATCAAGCCTTGACAGTGTTGACAGATTTCTCAAAGCAATCCTAGATAAACAAGAGACATTCCTGAGATTCCTTAGGGAGCCTGAGCCACAGAGGGCAGAAAGCACAGTCATCAGCTTCCCTTTCTGCGTCACAGTGCTGCCGCTGAACCGCAACCTCCAAGACACATTCAAGCCCGACACCTGCTGTATGCATGTGACTTCCCTTGGAGCTGGGGTCTGCAGTTGTAATCATGTTAAGATTGCATCCTATTGGATTAGGGTGGGTCCAGACCCTCAGGGGTGTCTTTACAAGAGAGGAACAAAGGAATAAAGGAATATGTGAAGACATAGATGTCATCTGGGGACCAAGCGAAACCAGACTGCCCGCAATTAGACACTGGGAGAGCAACACCAGACAGGGTCTTCCTATTATGTCAAGGGAACAAAGTGAGCCCTATCTTGACTTCAGAACTGCAAGAATGATTTCATCATTTCAAAGCCACCTAATCCTAGGGAATGCATGCTTACAGCTTAGTGTCTTGACTGCTCCCTGACTGTTTCCATGTGCTGGGTTTCCCTCTGCAGTCACTGCCTGTGCTCTGTGAGGAAAGGAGGAACCAGTCACCTCTCCTGTCTTACCTGTAACTAAGAGTCTCCTCCTTACCTTAGAGTTAGGAGGAGACTCACATAAACTACATCAGCTGGTGCTCTGTTAACATAGCACCTGAACTTTGCATTGTGTTTATCATGCTGCTGCCTATGCATGCCACAGTTAAAGGTGATCATAACTGCTGCAACTAAAACATGGGAGCATGTGTTGTGTTGTTTCTTTGATACTTGAATAGTGGTTAGTCTTTGTGTCTGGCATATCCTACAGGCCATTGACAGGGTGTTCACAGCTGTGGTTGCCTCTGAGGTCATCAGGTAAGGCAGTCACTGTGTGGGTCACCTTTAAGAAGGGACAAGGATTCTTGATGTGACTGTACCAACCCAATTCAGTGGTCAAATTGTTAATTTTATAATCTCCTTGCTACCAAGGGAAAATCCACTAGAATTACTGAAGCACGGCAAACAACTACAATCCTTTCCTCAATTGGGCCCATGTCTACATTCATTCTAGCTCCCACTAACCTGTTAACAGCAAAGTTTAGTGTGAACTTAGTTCAGAAAGATCAATGTTTAACTCTCTGCTGGGAGAAACACAAAGCTCTGGGCTCCAAGAGTTCACAGCTCCTGTGGTGTCCTGCCTAAGCCAGAGGCTGTGCCCTCCACTCTGGGCCAGTTTCTCCCCCCTTCACTACAACTGCAAGCAGTGTATGCAGGTTACAGACACACACTGCTGCTCCAGCACGAAAGATCCTCACGGGGAAAGACTGGAAAACCCTTTGCCAAGCTGCACCGTTTCTATTAAAACAACAAAAGTCACCATTCACTTAGAACAGGTTTCAGAGCCTCAGTGAAAACTGGGGAGGTCCAAATAATCTCCAAGTTTGTGTAAAGACTGTGAGAAGTGGGAAGACTTCAGCTCCTCTTCCCATCTTTACAGTCTTGAGGAAACCTCTTGTAGAAACTAAGGATTTCCCACAGGCTTGTCAATCAAGCGCAAGCAAAGCAAAGTATTTGTCCAGACTTTATCTAGTCAGAAATACCAGTTTTGTGTTCCCAGAGCTGCTAATGCCGTGGTGATGGATGGGGAGCATGGTTATGGCTCCTGCTCTCAAGAGCCGAGCAGTCTCTAGGAAGCCTGTGCAGGAGAGAAATGTGGAGACTAGAGTACGAGGTGCAGGAGAGAGGAAAGCGCCCAAGAAAGCCCACAGCTGGTGTCTGCAATAGGAGGAGCTGACCAGAAGGGGAGAGAGGAGGACAGAGCAGGGAGAAATTCCAGGCATCGGGAAACAGCAAATAAAACAAGTCTACATATTTGAGGAGTCAAAGGATGTCTGGAGTGGCTGTATTCATGAGAGTGAGAAAGACAGGCTTTGACTAGAGGCTGACAAGTGATGGAGAAAGCAAAGAGGCCACCAGGCTTCATAGCTGAAACACTGGAGGGAAATTTACATTTCAACTGCCCCTCATTCCAGGAGACTCAGGGGGGCAGAAGAAGCAAGGATTCTGCTTTCTGGGAAAGGGGCTCCTTGTGCAAGGCAGTTTACAGTTCATAAGGACAGATGCTACAGTTTTTAGAACCCCAGAGACAAGCAGGCCACTCACCTCGTGGTCCAAACATGTTGTCCAGGAAAGCATTAACTTCATTATCAAAGGCCTTCAGATGCTCCTAAAAGAAAGGGAAAATAAAGCAGGATTTTTTAAAACTCACAAGCCACTACCACCAACCTGTAGCTACTGTATCTGTGAGGGCCTCAGCTTCCTGGAATGTGCCAGGAAGCACAGCCTCACTGTGACCAGCTCACACAGACTGTGGGAGAAACAACCCCTCTCGTATTTCCTCAGGTAAGACGCATCCCAAACCACCTGGTGGACTCAGACACGTGGGATCACTCACCCCAATTCCATTCCTCTCTAGAATGCTTACAGGCAAAGCTCTTCCATGGGGTCACTCACCTCAATTTCATTTACCTCCAGAATGCTAACAGGCAAAGCTGCTCTGTAAGCAGCTTCCAGTGTTTGAATGAAAGCTGCTGTAGGGAATGGGGTGTCTCTGTCTACAGGACATCAACAATTTTCAACATGGACTCAGCAGCTCCATGCTTCGAGGAACTAAACCTACAGCTCTATCTAAAGGGGGCTTGCTTTTCTAGTCCAGATAAAGAGCATTAGATCTACTTTCTATTACCTTTATGTTTGCACATTAGCAAACATCAAAGAATGTTACCTGGGTGTCTTGGATTAATTCTTGCCATATGAATTCAGGCTGGGGCCAGCTGTTACTAAACACCTTATGGCAAACACGTTGGCTACCACCATCCTGCCTTGCCCCCTGCCCTTGCCTGTCTGCTCAAGCCTCCTACTCGTACACAAAGTCTGCTGGAACCCCCTTTCAAACAATGGGGGGAGGAGAAGACTGAGCAGGATCCAGGGTTCTGGGAAGGAATTTCAGGTGATAGACTTTGATAGCAGCTGGTGTGATGCCCTTATGACAGCTTCACATAGAATGAACTCCACATTCAGAGTGGCATGCCATGGCCTTTTATAGTTCCTCATGCTCAGACAACCTGACAGGCTAGGTTCAGAGAGGAGGACTGATCCTCAGGCAGCTGAGAAGGGGACCTGTACAGTTCCAACTGTTGACACCTAGTCCTTTTCACAATGTGATCCTGAAATTTCAGGGGAAAAAATGGGTCGTCAGAGGAAGCTCGGGAGGAGGCTACAGAATAGACAGCACTCATGAGACCCATTACAGCCAGTGAGTTAGGAACTTTATCTTTCTTATTTCATAACATCCCTGTGGAAAGTGGTTTGCAAAGTCAAGCCTGAACTTTGGAGAGCACTGTTGTATCTTTGGCTTCCATGTGGAGCATCTTAGAAGTCCAGATTTGAGGAAGGGCAGTGACGTGACACCTCAGGACAGAATATTAGTTGTGTGGCTGTTGATCCACAGGCCTATGTCTGTCAGACATCACATTCTTCAACAGATGAGGGCCTTAACCTCGCAGATGGACTCATGGCATTTGCCACACCATGAACAAATGTTTGAACTTTTTTTGGTTTGTTTGCTCAGGTTTAAAATCCATTTTCCAAAATGTAGAGAGCTAAGAAGAGATTAGTAGACTACGGACTCGTTTCTGCGGTAAAGTTGCAGAAGTTACTTACACCATGGAAACAAAACACAAGGAGATAGGAAGAGAGAACAGAGATGGAAAAGGAGTAACAGGGCACCCAGGTCTTCATTCTTTGCCATTCACTACACACTGACACACCAAAGTCAGCAGTGTATGGTCCTCATCCTCATGGGGTTCTCAGTCTAGAGAGTAACTCAGAATTGAGGCCTAAAAGCATTATGAGGCTCTCAGAGCTGTGCAATTAAATATCCTGGAGAAACACCAGGAAGAGATGAGGCTCCTGCTGAATCCTGACCCTCAGGGACATTGTCTCAGGAGAGAGAGTCACAGATGCAAGCACTGATGACCAGGGTATCTAGTGGCTAACAAGGCAGAAAGGCAGGCAATGCTGGGAAAATACAACTATAAAGGCAGAAAGCAAGGTTTGCTTGGGGACTTCAGGGGGAAAAATAACTATCCTTCAAAAACAAGGGCTAAATAAGGACACTTGCACATACACATACGGAAGTCTGCAGCCAACAGGACTGCTGCAGAGCATGCTGAGGACGTCTTCAAGCAAAAGGGAAATGATGGCATATGGGAAGTAGAGTCTAGAGAAAACCATGAGCAGCAGAAGTGGATCTTATTGTAGAGCCATAGCCCAGAGCACCCTAAGCAATCCAGGCCGTCCACCCAATCCTGCCCACTATTAACACAGTCCCCCTGAGCCACCTCTACCACCATATCCACCTCGCCTTGCCCAGCTAGAAGCAGCACTGCCTACAACCTGCTTCTCCTGTAAGTGTGAAGATCGCCTAATGTGCTGCTGCCCATCCAGCAGCTCCACCTCACAGACTACAGAGAATGCCCTCGCCCTAGCCACTGGCTTCTGCAAGCACTTGGGGAACAAAAGAGTGAATTTAGTTTTTTGCCACTACAGTGCCGATTGGATGTCCGCCCATTCCTAACTACACCAGTTGGAGGTCAAATCCAACGAGGTTATCTCGAATGGGGGCTCTTCTCTGGTCTGTTTCTGAGCCTGTAGTTCCTGGGAAGAGTGCCACATCTTGAGCACCTCACTAGCCAGGTTTACCTCCAGGAAGGCTTCATACATTTGGCCGTAACAATCATAAATAAGAGCCGTTCTGTAGAAGCAGAGGCAGGAGGTTGGGAGAGATTAGCCCCATCCCTCCCTGTGAGTGCAGGACTGGATGCCTTGTCTTTCCCCTCCTTCCTCTTCATTCTATCTCCCCTTCTTCCTCCTCTTCCCTTCTACCTTTTGTTTGGGGCATTTTACAGGTGTGTGCATGTACACACGTGCATGTGCGTGCACACACACACAGACATGCTACAGCATGCATGTGGAGGGCAGAGGACAATGTGTGGGAATCAGGTGGTCTCTTCTCCCACCATACAGAACCCAGTTACAAACTCAGGTTGCCAGGCTTGGCAGCAAGCACCTTTCCCTGACTCTGTTTTACAGATCTGAGTTTTTTCCTATGGTGGTGTTATATTGTATTTTAAAAAGTGACTTAGAACCTTAGTGTTTCTTCTATTAGCAGAGTTTTTGAGAAAGGGTTGAAGACAAAATAGGCATTTTCAGCAGAAGTTCACTGCTTTTCAAAACAAGTATATTAAGACACAAAACAGATGGTTACATTTGAGTGTAACAGTGTAAAAAGCTTTACTTCTCCTTTCCAAATACAGTAATGCTGTAAAATTCAGTGACAGCAAATCAGGAAATGGGGTGTGATTCCAATGCCAGAAACTTCCTAAGAGCCTCAAGACAGAGATAAGTTGTAGGGAACTCAGGAGGAGAAGATGTGTTCCCTCAGGGACATATCTTTACCTTGTGTCCAGGGCTCAGGATAGCTGTCAAACACTGTGGATTATTCTCATCCTATCTGTCTCCCATTTGGTGGATTGCAGTAAAGCAAACCAAGGGATATCATATACAAATGACCCCAACTCCTTGACATCTAATAGGCCATTACAAGAGGAACCTGTTTTGGTGGTACCCTGCTATACATGTAGCCCAGGCTGACCAGGAACTTGCAGTTCTTGAGAATAGGAATTACCGATGTGCACTGCGACACTTGGCTCAGGAACAAGCATTCTTACTTGGCATAAAATGTGGAGAGTTTTAGAAAATCAAATAATTGTTATTAACTCCTTTGGCTGGCTGAGCCAGATTCAGTGGCTTCTAATGTTTTCTCAGCCTCCCAGTGTCCTTGTCCTCATGTGCACTCTGCCCCAAGCATGTCTGATTACTGGGGTGAGCCTACTGCACTATATTCTTCCTCTCTGCCCCAGTCTGGATTCTGCTTGCTAATGCCTAGATGCCACTTAAGCCCATTTTGTCTTCTCTGCATTTCCCTTCTCCCAAACTACTCAAAAGCCTCCTTGTTTGGCACACATTAGGAGTTCCATAGCTAGTTCAACCACTGTGGGAATCAGCATGGAGATTGCTCAGCAAAACAAAACTAGATCCACCTTATGACCCAGCTTCAAGACTTGAAGGACTTCCTGAAGGACTCTAAGCTAGCAAATCACAGAGATCCAGGCACACAAGGTTCATTGCAGCACTACTCACATGGCTAAGTTACAGAACCTATCTTGGTGTCCAACAACAGAAGAGTGAACTTAAAAACACATAGAATATGTATAGAGTGACATTTTTCAGCAATAACAAAGAACAAACTTGTTTGCAAGAAAATGGATATAACTGGAGATAATCAGGTTAAGCAAACAAACCCAAACTTGAAAAAAATATAAATTAGTATGTTTTCTCCTTATGGCTGGCGGAGTTTATGTAGATATGAAAAACTATACATACATAAGAAAATAGAGGGGAAACTCTAGATGACAACAATCGAGGAGGAGGAGGTAGGGTGAGAAGGGAGAATGGGAAGGATGAGGGGACATGGGCAATATATGCTGCATGCTTGTATGAAAATGTCCTTATGTAACACAGTACTGTGCACAGTGAATACAAACAATGGAATCAATTTAAATGATTTGAAAAATGCAAGTATCTGAAAAAAGTTAGGGTCTTCCCTCCAAGAGAATGGGGAAAAAAATAAACATTTTTCTTGTAAACAGTTTGATCTTATTAAAAGATATTAATGTTAACTGAGTAAAATGAAATCCACTTCACATTAAACAAGGAGTCCAGTTTCACAATGAGCAATTCTACTAGGCCAAAATCTTTGTCTTTAGCCATTACAACCCCTGATTCCACAGGAAGTGGTAAGCTAAAATAAGCCTCCTTGGAGATTAAGCCAAAGCCAGATTTCTGTACTCAGAATAGTCAGGACGACTGTAGTCTCCATGTCTTAAGGACACAGGAAGAATGAGGCTCTTTCACGAGTCGCAGTGGCAATGAAAGGAAATTGTGTTCGCATGTGCTCTGGTTGTCAAGTGCCGAGCAGAGGGGAAGCAGGTCGCTGCTTCTCATGGACAAGTGCTATCCCTTTGAATACGAAACAAAGCCAAGTTTCTAATGATGTCATGGGAAAATATGGGCCAGATTTTATTCCTAATTTTCCAAGGAAAG